ATGAGATTTAATAAGTCTTCTAAGAAATAATTTAAGTCGTTTTTTTTCATATATTTTTATCGTAAATTTTTAAGAGTGGCATCAATATGTGTTTACCATCATTAGTTTCATAAAAATGTAGCAACTGTGAAAACCGTATCTTTGTACCGCTGCTCATAAACTAGAAACCCTGTAAAACACACAAAAATGGGACAACCTGTACAAAGTACCACGAAATTTAATTTTATTTAGGTTGTTGATGTTTTTATTTTTTTTTTCCAAACCAGAAAATTAATTAAAAAAGACTTAAGTGAAGAAAAAACTTAAGTCAAAAAAGACTTAAATAACGTTATATTGAATTAAGTCTTTACAAAAATGACTTGACTTCAAAGAAAATGACTTAAGTCAAAGACTTAAAACTTAAGTCATTTGAACTTTATATTGAAATTGACTTAACACTTAAATAATTTTGATTTTAGAAATGACTTACGCTGACTTGTTGCAGCTCTGGGTACTACTGAACAAAATGAATATTTCCCGTGATCCAAATCACGATAGGGTATTTTATTTTTGTCTAGTCCCACTTCTGTAGTGTGTCGTCGGAAGTAAATAAAACCGTGCTTAATATAGACTTGAAACATAAATTATTTCACTCTCAAAAGATTTAAATGTTACAAGGCAACTATTAAACGTTTTGCGGTCCTGGGCGTAATAGAAAACATGCCTAATAAATCTCTTGCCGCCAGGAAAGTTAAATATCTTCAGGTTTAACGCTTTTAGGGAAATCTAGCCCTTAAATAGCCCGAAAATATTTTCTTTAACCCTCTCAAAACGTCAAAGCTTCGTATGATCACCGCTTGTGTCAAATAACAATAATTCAATGCTATTTAGGAGTCTAGTTTAAATTAATGTTACTATTGAACCCACTAAATCCTCAACATAATCTATTGTTTCTAATTTATCTAATGGATTATCAATTTGCAAAACGATGTTGCCAAATAAATCGTCACATAAATTGTAATCTAATGCACATGATCTTAGCACTTTAGTCGGTTAAATATATATATTTATGAACTTTTAATGATGCAGGGCAAGCATTTTTTTATTGCGTAAATTAACACATACACGCAAAAATATAAATTTTAATTTATTATTTTTCCTTGACCATTAACAAGATTTTAATTAATGTAATATGTAATTATATAGATCTTATAAGATTATTCTGTTATCTAGTGAGTAAATATATTTTTAAATCCTATAAGAAACACTCTATAACAAGTTTTTTCTATGATTTTTCTGTTAAACGTGGCTCATGAACAAGAAAAAAATGAATAAATCTACATGTTCAATATTTAATGAATGAAAATACAGTTGCAAAATTATTAAGTTATTTAATACTTAATTTTATGAATTGCTTGATTAGATTGTACTATGATGTTGTAAGTAAATAATTCAATATAATTTTGTATATATATTTTCCTTGTTAAGAAAGAACTGGTATTATCAATCATTATGGTCAGCAGGTTAAACAATAAAGCCGTAAGTATTGTGAGTAAAAGAAAATAGAGGATTTATAATCTGGAATGGAAAGGGCATTGCCAGAAATGAAATATAAGCCATATTTCGTTTTCCGATACATGTCTTCAATGGATCTTCTGTTTTATATCTTAATTTCTACATACTATCAGTGATAAATTTAATGAGCTTTCTGGGCTTTTTGTCATGTATTTGTATGCTAGTGGATATGTTTCATTATCTTATTTTAGCAACAAATTGTTGCTTAAATAACGCAAATAAATGTATTCTTTCTGAAGATCAACCATAAGGCGTTTTAATCTTTGTGACTGTAAACCGATCTGAAGTTTTTCCATTTTTCTTTGGCTGCAACAACTAAAAAAACCTTTGCAATACAACAGTAAGCTTTTAACTATCAATTACACACTTCTGCTTTAAAATTAATGGCCTAAAATTCAAGATCAAGTACCAAAAATCACTACTAATATACATCTATCTCTATTTTCAGATATCTGGCTACATTCCAGTCACTTTCATAACTAACTTAACCCAGAGGAGATACAATACCTTTATCAAACAAAGAACAATGGAAAAATATTGCTGATCGCTTTATGGAACTTTGCATCCTCTCGAACTACATAGGGACGATGGAAAGCACATAAAAATTCAAAAGATTCCTCAAGCAGGCTCAGCTATTTTCATCTACAAAGGCTATTAGTTATTTGTATTTATGGTCATTAGTGATGCAGATGGCATATTTACTACTGTTACAACAGGTAAATGAGGCTTTTCTCCTAAACAATATTTCGCGCCTTGCCTTGTACCGGTAAAAACAACAAATTTATGTTTCAAAACTTCTATATAATTAAAACAATATAATGCAATTCTTAGCTACATAAAAAATTGTATTAATCTCATTGTATTTTCCCTTCTCAATTTTCCTAAAACAGATTTTATAATTTTATATAACTTCGTGTTTTATTAACAGTAAATAAACCGATTAATATTTTTTAGTGTGAAACAATTGTGAATGAATTATTTTATTTCAGGTCCCATTCTACTAAAATTAAATTGTTATTGTTTATTGTAATAATCCTATTTGAATTGAATAAAGGTATTTACATACTTAAAAGCATCAAATAATTTATTTTTTTATTTCCTCAAATGATTAAAATTAATGAATTTTGAAGATTTTTTTATTAAAACAAAATTCGTAACAGTTATTTTATAACAGATATTATTATTTAATATTTTGTTTTAAGTTCAAATAATAAGATCTATTTTACCATATGAAGTTCGAAAAATAATTGTAGAATCTAAAATAGCATGCTTGCGCCATCTATGTGAATCTATCAAAAGAATAAGATGCCTTTTAGGAAGATAACCACTAGGAATATAGCTGGAAAATATTTCGACTGAGCTTGAACATAAGAAGATATATTTAAACCTTGTTACCCAAAGCAAAATAATAATACTAATGGATTTTTGTTATTACAAATTAGGTAGCAATTTTAAATAATGTGAAAAATATGTGAGAATCCTATAGAGAAAAATTATGAAAAAAATTGGAATTAACCATAGGAATTAACATTTTTTACGCAGGTTTTAGACCTCTCAGAAAAATAGTTGATACAGATATAAAATTAGGATAATTCGGGAATTTATAGATAATTTTATGTTTTCTTAGAATATATCAACCTTTATAGGCCTACATGCTTTGGTTTTATTAGAAAGTCCATTTTTTTCAACCCTTGTTTTTGAACAATTTTTCATCATGAACAATTTTTCATGATGATTAAAAGTTGGCCTTTAATTAGTTAATAAGCGTAGTTTAACTAACTTCTGTAACTTGACCAAAATCGCGAATTTTCATGAGTATATGTATGAAAAATGTAGAAAAATTGGCCATTTTTAAAAGGTCCTTGAAACATAGTAAATATAGTCATAAAATTATTAAAATCTCAGAATTTGTAGGAAATTTTATTTAGTTTCAGAATATCTACAAATTAAAAGACTTAGGTACCTACCTTGGTTTTGTCATAAAATTAATTTTCTGAACCCTTGTTTTTGAGCTGTTTTTGATGATGGTTTACACCCTCTACATCTAATACTGTACTCGAAAGATCATAATAGCTTATATATTCTTAATCTACACCAGTCGATTAGTAAATAACAGCAGTTTTAACAAAATCAGCGACATGAAGAAAATCGCGAAATTTTATGAGTTTTTTCATTGGCTATTTTTTAGCCATTTTCAAAGAAACATAGTCATAAAATTATGATACTCTCAGCATTTGTAGAAAATTTTATGTAGTTTCAGAATATCTACAAGTTAGAAAGCTTAGGTAACTTGGTTTTGCGATAAAATTAATTTTCTGAACCCTTGTTTTTGAGCTATTTTTGATGAGGTTTTAACGTCCTCTATATCCATTACTGTTCTCGTAAGACTACAATAGTCCATATTTTCTTAATCTACACTTTTTAATTAGTAAGTAGCAGCAGTTTTAACAAAATCGGCGACATGAAGGAAGTCGCGAAATTTCATAGTTTTTTTATTAGCTATATTTTTAGCTATTTTCAAAGATCTTAGAAACATAGTAAACATGGTCATAAAATTATGAAAATCTCAGCATTTGTAGGAAATTTTATGTAGTTTCAGAATATTTACAAGTTAGAAGGCTTAGTTACTTTGGTTTAGTGATAAAATTAATTTTCTGAACCCTTGTTTTTCAGCTATTTTTGATGAGGTTTTAACGTCCTCTATATCCATTACTGTTCTCGTAAGACTACAATAGTCCATATTTTCTTAATCTACACTTTTTAATTAGTAAGTAGCAGCAGTTTTAACAAAATCGGCGACACGAAGGAAGTCACGAAATTTCATAGTTTTTTTATTAGCTATATTTTTAGCTATTTTCAAAGATCTTAGAAACATAGTAAACATGGTCATAAAATTATGAAAATCTCAGCATTTGTAGGAAATTTTATGTAGTTTCAGAATATTTACAAGTTAGAAGGCTTAGTTACTTTGGTTTAGTGATAAAATTAATTTTCTGAACCCTTGTTTTTGAGCTATTTTTGATGATGGTTAAAACATCCTCTACATCTAATACTGTACTCGTAAGACCTAATGGCCTATATATTCCCAATCTACACCAATTAATTAGTGAATAATAGGAGTTTTAACAAAATCGGCGACATGAAGAAAATCGCGAAATTTCATGAGTAAAAATGTCGAAAAATTGGCCATTAGATTAAAGAAAAAAACCAGTAAACATAGTTATTAAATTATGAAAATTTCAGGATTTGTAGGAAATTTTGTGTAGTTTTAGAATATATCAATCTTCGTAGGCTTAAATGCTCTGGTTTTATCAAAAAGTCGATTTTTTCAACCGTTGTTTTTGAACAATTTCTGACGATGGCTATAAGTATATATTTTTAGTAGTATAAAAAAATTTCTCTAATTAACATTCGGTATATTTATAGCTCTTTTTTATTTGTTTCAGCAATAATGCAAAGGACTACTATCGGTATAGGACAGTTGCGAATCCAAGGTGTTTTTACATGCCAGTATTTGTGTATGGATGAGTGTGGTTTACTGTATGGCTCGGTAAGTGAATATTTTTCCAAATACATATTTATAACAAACCTGCAATGTATATTATTGTTGATTTGGCACATTGCAAAAACTTAAAAACTACTATATCAGAAAAGGAGATTAAATTATAAATTAAAATTTGCTGTTATGAGCAACAAGCTCAAAGCATGCTTTAAATAATGTACGAGCTTGGTGACTCGAGTTAATTTTAAAGGAGATCACCCGTCTCTGTCAAATATTGTTTATTTATATACGGTTATTAATATATTCCTTCACAATTCCTAGTGTCTACCAAAATTATTCTTAAAATACTACAAATTGGCTTTTAATAGCACTTGAAGAATTTCTAAAATTATTTGTCCCAAATCGTTAGCAAAGAGTAACGCTTTTGTAGTTTAAAAATATCCAAACCTGAAAGAAATACAGAAATAAATAACATCCCTAGTTTTCCAAAACTAAATTTGAAGAACTAGAGAACAATATTTTCGTATTGATATTTTACGTAACAGCAGATTAATTGAAAAAAGAATAAACCAGTTCCAAAGCGGTAGCCAACTGACCAATTATGCTAAAAATGAATATGTCCCCTTGCGTTTCAACGGCCAGTTTACTTGAAAAAAATAATTACACCGGTTTTAACATCTACAGGCTTCGGTCATTGTGGATCATTTTTTTAAAGTGTAAATTTATTCAAATAGTATTAATAAGAGCCATCCATCAACTTTAGATGATCCGGACGACATATGTCCAATTAAAGTATAGTTTTTAAATTAAATTAAGTGTGAAAAGTCTTGTAATAATTTTGGAAAAAAACGACTTTTTGAAAAAGGATTTATATTACTCAAAAATGTATTTTTAATGCTAGAACAAATGATATTTTTTCAAATTCTCAAGTTGCTCAGAAATATAGTAGGTAAACATAGTGTTAAAACTATGAAAATTTCAGGATTTGAAATTTTATGTAGATTAAAAATATACAAAGCGTTAAAAGTGGCAATGCTGAGGTTTTATTAGAAAGTTGATGTTTTCAACCCTTGGTTTTGAATCATTTTTGATAATCTTTAAAAGTTAGCCTACGGTTTTTTTTTAAATTTGGATTGGTTGTATCTGTCTAAATTATTTTCCGCGTTACAGGGCTGCAGCTTCATAATAAAAGTGATAGCATCTTTGTTTTTTTACATGGAACACCTGGTATATGATTGCATTTTTTCGACTACTTTCATATCTGATTTTTTTTTCTATTATAATAACCTATACCAATCTCTAATAGTTTTCGAGATAAAAAATAAAACATGGGTAAAATTGACAAAACATGATCACCGTTTCTCCATAAACGTCTAATGTGCCATCTCCGTGAATCACCCTATATAGTGCCGTACTCGTAAGGCTAAAAAGGGCTATATTTCCCTATTCTACGCCTTTTAATTAGTTAATAAGCATAGCTTCACTAAAATTAGTAGTTAGAAGCTATATTAAATTAAGGCTGTATACCGGGTGTGTCTCAAAAATGGCTCACCCCTATAACTTTTTTATTTTGTCAGATAAAAAAACGAGATTTGGTATGTTAGTATATGGCATAAATTAAGATTGATTGACGTATTCAATTGTTTTCGGTCACTTCCTGTTTCACCGGAAATGACTACAGATTTTAATTTTAAATGGCACCCTCGGTATTTTTCTACTTTATTCGATAGAAAATGACACTTTGAATAGAATAACATATCATATGTCAACTTTTGACGTTTTCGAATATGGTTTATTTGAAATTGTAACATGTGGTTCATAAAGACAATTTGAGTCGAAATACCAAGTGTGTGGTATCAAATTATTCGTAAAAAAATGCTTTTCCCAAATATTCTACTGAGCCACTCTCGTTTAATTTGAAAAAATTGAGATATGAGTAAATATACGCGATTTGGGCATCTTTTAACCAGCCAGGATAAAACACTAAAAACATTAGACGATCAAATATATTTTTCTAAGGCTTCTTGATTAAAAATTAGTGTTTTTAACATAGCCATGGCACTCTAGATTGAAATTTAAAATAGAATTTTTTATTAAGCGAAAAAGTCAAAAGTTGACATATGATATGTCATTTTCTATCAAATAAAGTAAAAAAATACCGAGGGTGCCATTTAAAAATCAAAATTTGTAGTCATTGCCGGTGAAACAGGAAGTGACCGAAAACAATTGAACCCGTCAGTCAATCCTAATTTATGTCATATACTAACATACCAAATCTCGTTTGTTTATCTGAAAAAATAAAAAAGTTATAGGGGGTGAGCCACTTTTGAGACTCACCCGGTACGTATGTTGATATTGTATAAGTTCTTAAGTGTTTGTATACTTTCAGCTTGATTTTAAAGATGAATGTATCTTTAACGAGACCATGGAAAGGACGAACTACAACAAGTACTGGTCGAACAAATACTCAAACGATCGGCGGACATTCTACCTCGCCCTGAATCGACGCGGCCAGCCCCGAAAAGTGATGGTCAAGGCTCGCCAGCAGCTCGGCAAACTAGACTCTTACACGCGCGTGTTGACGCGACCCGTGATGCACGACCATCCGATTCGTCACCACAACCACCAGAAGTGTCCGCCCAGTGCGCCGCGCCACCAACAGCCCACAGACCCTCCTCGGTGTCGGAAGAAGAAGAAAAAAAAGAAAAAAAAACGAAAACTTGACGACGACAACGACAACGAGCCCAAGAAGGGCGACAACTCGGGACAAAAGTGTGAAGTTGCGAACACTACAGTGACTAGCTTAAGTGTGAACAGTTCGAACGCGACAACAGACAATACGGAGTGCCAAAGAAACTTAACAACACTTGCTAACAAACTGAGAGCGAAAAACAATCTTAATGCGAAGTCGTTACTAGGTGATAAGAAAAATAAGAATAAAAAGAAGAAGAAGAAGAAGAAAACCCTTAATAATAAGCAGAGGAAAAGACTGGATCAGGTTGTCAATAGTTGAATTCTTTCGGAATGTTTTTTTTATGGAATGGCTCTATTCAGTAGTTTTTTTTTTCTATGATGTTTGCAGTTTAATAAAACCCTAGATCATATTAATTAACATTTCGCACAATATTTCTCCTCGAAAGAGGTTATACAGGGTGTCCCAGAAATAAGTGCAAGTAGGTTTTTTTCGCGAAAAAAAAAATTTTTGGAAATTTTTTTAGTTTTTAGTTAAAAATCATAATTTCTTGATAATATGGCACATAGGTATTAGATTAAATTTACAAGAAAGAAAATCCAGAAAAGATCCAGGGGTTCTCAAAATTTTAGCAAAAAATAATTTTTTTAAAAATGTTCAAAGTAAAATAACTCCGTTATTTTGGACTTATTTGAAAAACGATAAAGAGAAAATATGTATCTTTTATCGAAATCTAAAAGCCCTTAAAATACTCGCACTTATTTCTGGGACACCCTGTATAGTCTATCGCCCACAATCATGACCTCACACGTAAATCTCTAGGCCTTTTCTGTTCTCGATGGTCACTGTCTCTCTCTCTCTCAATATACCCCTTGAAAAGTTAACTGTTTTTTTTTATTAAACAACTTTATCCCAAATTTCTATATTACATATTTATATTAAAAATCCTATGGCAACTAAACCAGAGTTACTTAATATGATCTAGGAAAAATTCCTAAATTCGTATTAACAATTTTATTGAAACTCTAACGAAATCCTTTTACTACTTTTATAAAAAAAACTCTAAAGCTAAAAGTCTCTATTTCCTTCTGGCCTGGATTAATCAATAACCATTTTTTCTATCATTTTTTTTGGATTCCTTTTGCAATATTTTTTTGGAGTGGATTTTTTTGGAAAAGTAAATTATTAAAATATTCCAAAAATGTTATTGTTTATAATCAACAAGGCCTTGGAACCGAAATCGAGTAGATGTGTATTAACCTGTTACTCAATACAATCTCAACTCATACACTCAATGTTAAAATAGCTGTTTTTTATTTTTAACTTTGGCAAACTTAACTTTAGCTGTGATATTTAAAATATGAAATGCCACAACACGAAGGTCTATCCATCCAATTAAAGTGAATTTCGTTAGAATTTTGTAGAAATTAGAAAATTTATACTAGTCAATTTAATCGTTAACCCCCCCAACCCCCCACCCCCCTATATACTTCATGACATTAGTTAATTTTTGAACACCACTTAGTTTATAAGTAACAAACTATTGGCCAATAATATTGTATCATTTTAATTAACTTTCACTGACATAAATTTCGTATTTTTTCGACTTCAATTAACACAGCTCAAGATTAAAATATATTACTGGCAAATAGGTATGTTCTCTTACAGTTTTACAAAGGCATTCTTAGAATTTTTTGTGATAAACACATTACGGATATTAAGTTTAATTTTATTAACAAAACTAGGCAGAACTGACTGCTTCAACACAGACTACACTAACTGAATTTATGATTTTGTAGTTTTAGTTAGATTTTTTAATAGACTGCTTTGATCATTTTGGTTCTAGCTTTTTGCTGCGTATTTTAAAGTGGTTGTAAGTTAAAGTAAATAAGTAGAGATGAGCAACAAATCGCAAAATGCAGTTCAATGGCAGAAATTTTAAAATCCAAATTTCAATTTAGGAAACCAATATTACTTTATTACTATAGTTGCGATTTGTGATTTTGTAAACTAGAACCGTGATAACCTTCTATCTGCGAGTTTAACTTTTTAGGAGTTGCGATTTTGTTGCGAATGTATTTTTGTGGTTCATTGAAGCATTTTATACTAAACTGCGATTGCTTTTTTTCTCTGATTTTATTTATTTATAGAGAAGGTACCTATTTTTATTTTCTATGGCCAAGATCATAATATACCGGGTGTTTTTCAAGAGTGGTTCGCTTCTATAACTTTTTTATTTTTTCTGTTAAAAAAACGAGATTTGATATGTAAGCATATGACATAAATTAAACGAAATTATAGTATTCAATTGGTTTCGATCACTTCCTGTTTCACCGGAAATGACTATAACTTTTGATTTTTAAATGGCACCCTCCAATTTTTTTTAATTTATTCGATAGAAAATGATACTTTGAATATAATGCCTAGTACAATATTTAAATACTAAAATCGCAATCGCAGTTTTGCTCATCTCTAGTTAGAAGCTATATTAAACCTTGTTCTATATTCTGGAGAAAAAAGATTTTATAATTCTAGGAAGACTTTTTACAATAGATTTAGATACATGGGCGTCGGACAGGGGGGGCAAGAGGGGGCATTTGCCCCCCCCCTGGATCACTGAAACAATAAAAATAAAAGCTATCTTCTTACATCCATCTATAAAAAAAATAATCATTATTATGAAATTGTTAGGTGTTACCTGTAAAATAATAAAAAATGTGGTAATTATTGGGAAAACTGGAAATCGTCCGATTTTCACCAAAATTGGTATACACACTATTTTGAGGTCGTAGATTACGAATCTATTTTTTTCTTGGCGGTCTCTTACCGTTTTTCAGAAAAACGGAAAATTATTTCAACATTGAATTTTTTTTATTTCGGCCCTATAAAGTAATAATTTCACTATATTTTCATTATATTATAGTTTATCTAAAAGCCACACTTGATTGGGGATAGAAAAGTGTCCAACATTTTACTGAAAAACTTTTCTTAACAAAATAGCAAAGAAAATTGAGACCAGATGGAAGTTTCACATTTGATATATCCTTCTTTCTCTCTCCTATGTAATAAGAGAGACAAATATATTCTAGACCTAATCTAGAAATTTTTAAAATTTACAACGTTGCCATATCTTCTATTTTTTCGGGTGATTAGGAGTTTTTAAATAAATTACCTATTATGAGATCGACAATAGTTAAATATACACCTATATCCACAAAATTACGCGGAAGAGTTTTGATTGCATTGGTTTAACTTCTTTGCGGAGGGGTTAATCTTTTTTAGTTAATCTAATAAATAATAACAAAAGATTAACACCCTCTGCATGGAAGTTGTAACCAATGCAATCAAAACTCTTTCGAAATAGTCAGATCTCGTTGGTAAAATAGCAGTTATGGAAAGGAGCCGTTCTTCTGGCGACCGCCTTTCGTAATTCCAGAATGAGCGAAAAAACACGCTAAATTTAGGTTTAGCATTGGCAACGTTGCTTTAAATGCCAGAAACACATAACCGTCCTAGAACTGTGATGCGTATGCGCAGAAGGAAATATGAAGACATTATTTCATTTGCGCATGCGCTGCAGAGTTCTTGGACGGTTCAGAATCGGTAATAACAAGAACCCGAAAAAAGCTATAATCTAACATTTTCAGATTGTTTACAAATTTATTTTAGCAAATTTTCCTCTATTATGCATAGAATTGGTTAAAACAGTAACAGAATATAGGAAAAACATTATTGATTATGGAATACCTAATAAAATATGTGCTAGAAAACCTTAAAAATATGAGAAATTAAGAAAAATTCGATATTGAAATTATTTTCCGTTTTTCTGAAAAACGGTAAGAGACCGCCAAGAAAAAAGTTCAGATTCGTAATCTACGACTTCAAAATAGGGTGTATAGGTACCAATTTTGGTGAAAATCGGACGATTTCCAGTTTTCCCAATAATTACCAAAAATGTCAATTTTTTATTCATTTTTACCTTGCCCCCCCCCCCTAAATTTCATTCTTCCGGCGCCCATGTTTAGATACCAAAGAATGTCCAAAATAATACTGTACTTCAGTTCTTTGTTCTCTAGTTTATTATATTTTTGCATGGTTTTTCTTCTAGCTTTTTCGAAATTTTGATAGCTGTATTTTTGACAAGTGTATTTTTGATTAGTCTGGAGTATATAATAACACGCTTGCAAATGTTTGTTAGTAGCTAATTCCTACCTGAACTCAAACTGACCAAATATTGTACGAAAACTAGGTTGATGTAGTTCAGGAGACCACTACAACGACAACGATGACTCCTATGACGTCGACGACATCTCCAGATGATATTTTTAACGAGGAAGATTACCCTATAGAGTCGTCTACTCATCACGATTGGGAAGATCAGCTACCTACAGCTACGTCTAATAGTTTGTTAGCAAATGAGAAACAATCTGTTTAAATAAACGTGAAAATATCAAATGAAACACCTGACTGAATACTAGCAACACACACATTTGTGCATCCTTCATCTTTTTATTTATTTTTACTATTTATTATTGTCGCAAGTAAACATTCCAAGCAACATGCATATTTATAAGATATTTTTTTTTATTTTGCTTCGAATGTTTACTGTGAAACGACTTACCTTGTATATATATAGTTTTACGTAAAAATACCTCACGATATATTTAGGAACCCTTTCTTAGTTTCATAAATGAATATGCTCTTTTAATAAAATCTCAAAAGCTAAGATTTCCAGCCTGGAATTACTTTTTTTATTGACATATCATCTTAAAAACCAAATAAAAATAAATCACTAATAAAAGATATAAATTTAGAGTTTCTCTGTTTCTTACTTATTTTTTGAAAAAACAAAATATGTTAAGAATGATTCGAGAAGTTCCTGATGGCTGCGAATCTTAGCTTTTGGTTTATTATTAATATTTTTTTTTTAATTTGGATTGGCATTGATGAATCTCATTAGAAAGCGATTGATCCCTGTATCTGTCAATGCCCTAAAGTAGATTGCTGTGACTTTTTTGGTTTTATCATATATTATACGCTTAGATCCAGATCTTTTTTTGTATTTTGTGTAGATACTTGAATAGGAGAACAATAGATGTACGCAAATAAAAATTTTAAAAGAAAATTAAGACATGGTTAACTGTTTAAGGTTTTGCAGAAATAGAGGCAACTGTAATAGATTATTGCGATACAACTTTGAGATGTTTCGTAGAGATAATATTAAAAAAAATCTATACAAAGACATGTTGGAAGCCATATTTACCACTATCAGTCAGTATTATTTTAAAACTAGATTAATGTAAAAAGCCAAGCAATAAACTGTATAAAGAAATTATTGATGTTTCATTTACCCCCTTATTCTTAGAAGAAAAAAAACATTTTTTTAATACGCTTAAAGTCCTTTAATTTGTATATTTCAAATTTTACAATTAAAATACTAAAAAAAAATCTTAAAAATATATAATAAGAGTAAAATCAAATTATTAATATATTTAAAATTCCAAAACCCATGTATAATTATCAATTACAACTAATGAGCTCATATAGATCTAAATAATAGAAAATTTAAATTTTTGTTAAAAAAATAAATTATTCTAACACTATTCACAATAATTTTGTTTCAATATTCTTTTGGTATTACATTTCTTAAAAGAGCTGTATTTTAATTGTTTATAGACTTGATTATTTTCGTTAATATTTTGGTCCCAGTTAAATACAAATCAACATATTTTTTCTAACCTGAAATTATATTGTGAATAATGTTATTAAACTATATTATTACATAAAATGAGCATCTTAAAATATTTTACAGACTATTACATCAATTCTTACAAATTTAATAGTTCAATTCAGGTATATAGGAATAAAAATACTATATTAACATCTCAAAAAATACATTTTCAAGTGATCTAATCATGTTCTAATTTTTTAACTGTGTGAAATGGAATCTAAAATGAATTTGATCGGTATATACAGGGTTGTTCACCACATACGACACAGAGTATTGTAGCTAAACGATGAGATTTTTACAAATTGTAAGTTTGGGGTTCGTTGAAGGACTATTAGAGCTACAATTTAAAAATATTTTTACAAGATACAGAGTGTCCCAAATAAACAAAAAATATCAAAGTTGTATTTTTTTAAATGGAACACCCTGTATATTATTACATTTTTAGTTTCTACGATTAAAATAAAGGTAAATTTGATTAAGGTTTATTATACTTAAACCTTACCGTTTTTGAAATATTTTCAATTTTGTGAAATTGCAGTAAAAATTTTAAAGCTTCATTTCTCCAAGGGTATCAATGTTTTTAATACTAAATATTTAATGAAGTTTATTTATTGATCGATCATTGTGTTGCAATAATAAAATATTACTACCTTATACAGAGTGTCTAAATATTTATTTTAAATAATTATTAGCTTCAAACGGCAATAACTTCTTTAATTTAAATGGAATGCCCTGTATATTTTAGGAGAATCAGATGCACAATTAAATTGTCTATCAAATTGTATTATACCATTTTTTACCTATCCGTCAAGTTTTCGTAGAAAATGCATTTTTTATAATTTAGACCTCGTTTATCAATATATCCATGGAATATTGACATTTTAGATTGTTTTTAAAGCAACAAATGTACAAAATGTACAGACTAGTAATATTATCGTTTTTAGCAAAACGATAATATTACTAGCCCATTTGTATGCAAAAAGAAAACTATTTAAATCTTTATAAAAGAGTATACCATTAATTAAAAAATATAACACCATTATTTCCGCCCATATACTAATTAAATACATACTTAATTGTGTATGTTAATAAATTATTATAAATAAATGTGGATTTGAGTCAGAAATCAATATAATAATAAGTTATCAAATTAAAGTTCACATAAATAAGCATTTATTAAAAAATGAAATATAATTTTTAAGGTGTTACTTTTTATCACACAGTCTAATGCCCATACAAAATTCAGTTTTTTAGTATTTGGAGCAATTATTATTAATCAATGCAAACAGTCAGTTAATGTAGTTTGAAAACTGGAATCATATTAATTGGTCCTCTTTAACAAATATTTAAACAGTTTTTTTTTATTTTTTAATGAAATAAACGAATTATATCGACAATATTAGTACCTGTACTCTTTAAAAATTTGGTACATCTTTAAAAATAATCTAAAATGTCAATAGTCCATGGGTATACTGATAAATAAGTTCTAAATTACAATAAAATGCATTTTCTACGGAAACTTAAATAGGTAAAAAATGGTATAATATAATTGGATAGACAATTAAATTGTGCATCTGATTCTCGTAAAATATACAGGGTGTTCCATTTAAATTAAACAAGTTATTGCCGTTTGAAGCTAATAATTATTTAAAATAAATTTTTAGACACTCTGTATAAGGTAGTATTATTTTTATTATTGCAACACAATAACTGATCAGTAAATAAACTTCAGTCAATATTTAGTATTAAAAACTTTGATACCCTTGGAGAAATGAAGCCTTAAAATTTATAATATTTCAAAAACGGTAAGGTTTAAGTATAATAAATCTTAATCAAATTTACCTTTATTTTAATCGTAGAAACTAAAAATGTAATAATATACAGGGTGTTCCATTTAAAAAAATACAACTTTGATATTTTTTACTTATTTGGGACACTCTGTATTTTGTAAAATTATTTTTAAATTGTACCTCTAATAGTCCTTCATCGAACCCAAAACTTACAATTTGTAAAAATCTCATCGTTTAGCTACAATACTCCGTGTCGTATGTGGTGAACAACCCTGTATAAATTTCGAATAAGGAAGTCACTGAAATTCGGTTTTCTCGTGTCCCTGATCATACCTGAATGAATATATAAGGCTTGAGTCAATCAATGTTTCATAAGTTAGGTTATTCTTGCAATATATTATAGTTTATGACACGTGGTTCGTTAGTGTTTCAAAAGGCACATCAAATAAAGCATATATATATAAATAAGTACACATATATCAGGTGATTGTACACCTGCAGATTCCGAACCTTTCAGTATATCATTTTTATTTTGCCGAACATCGAACACTTTAAAGCAACCTATACATGTATTAAGTCTATTCAGAGCCGAATTCAACAAATAAAATAGCACAGAAGTTCACATGGAGTACCTCAAACCGTGAGATTACACAAAAAAATATACATCGAGGAAGCATAAAAACAGTTCATGCATCTGTCCTAATGTATTAGATTTAAAAATCAGAAAAATAAGAGCATTTAAAAAAAATAGTCGGGCTAAATCCGACTCTGAATCTTTCTAAACATTATTGTTTCATAAGATATCTTTTTATTAGCTACTATTCCAATAACATTTTTTAAAATGTTCAAAAATATTATTACTTGTTTTAGAGTATAATACATATAGTTAATAAGGTGAGTATAAGTTCACTTATTTTTTTATATAAATAAGTTCTTTAGGCACTGGTTATGAACATGCAGCCAGCAAAAAAATGCAAGTTAGATTTAGATGTGGATATTCTCAGTCTATATTTTCATTGAGTTGTGCATTTTTTATATAAAAAAAACGATTTGAATAAATATATAATTTTAAATCTTAGTTGAAAATATTTTTATCGAAAAAGATAAAATTTTAAACGTTTTTTTCACAAAAAAATATTTTTTTTCCTTTGGCAATTTTGTATTCCAGTTTTGACATTTTTTTAATTAATCAATCTAGCTTGCCTTCATTCAATTTTATAATTTATAACAGAAGCAGCAATATATCAATAATTCATATCCATAAGATCGAAAAAAAACAACGTCACAGAGCCCGTTGAAATGATTTACTTCTAGACCCCTGTTTGAACCAATTTAACGTCGCTTATTTTCGTCACACGGTTTTTTGTTAGTTAACTCATTTTAAGCTAACTAAAACCCTTAGCTAGTAATCTTGTTAGCTAATTTCTGGACTAGAAGAGCGAAAATTCGGCTCATCAGATTCAGGAGAGAAAACCTCGTATCTGCTGATCATTTCTGTTAAATCAGCTTTACTGTTAAAGGAACTTCCAAAACAGTATTTGCATCTCATCTTAGTATCGTCGTCAACTCTTACTGATTGCATTATACCGCAAAGAGTTATAAAAGAGACTACAAACAAAATGGATGGAATGCTTACGGCGATTATAAGTTCTCTCCAAGTCCTTTTCAGATCGTACCTTGTTATAACCATAAAGGAGTTATTCTAAAATAAGTAAAAAATGATTTTTCATCCTATAAAAACTTAACAAAAGCAATATACCTTGTTGTAAAAGCATGGGAAACGACTGGCTGCTGTCTGATTTTTTCCGTCTCTTCCATGAGTGAGGAGGAAGTTATAACATTCACCTTTTAAAGTGTTCACACAGCCATCTAAGTTTATATACAACCTAGAATGATTGTATATGGTTAAAGAAGATTGAGAAGGTAAAAATTCGTTTTTTGGATCCACCACATGACTGTGCTTCCCTGTCAAATTCCAGAATTCTCTAAAAGTTGCGTAAGGCTTAGGGATAATATCTTCGTTGTATATCGTCCCGTTGATACAATCAGTCGCACTAAAATCAGAATACGTTAATTTAAAAATCTTACAATATTTGATATATTGGGGTTCATTACAATATACTTGAATTTTTCTCGCTGAACTGAACAACATGGCAGGAAACTAACATGACTTCTCCTGGCTGTTTGACCCAAAATTGAGTGGGTTCAATTTTAAACCCGTCTTTATTTCCATTTGCTTTCATGTCAGTGACTCCAAGACCGCAAAATGCTTGATGAAAACTGTCCTCGACGGATATAAAAAGATTCCTTCTGTCAGTCGTAATATTTTGCTTACAAATACGATCACAAGTAAAAGGCTTTTTGATTTTGGTGCATTTTGAACCCTTGCACTCGAAATATCCGCTCAGTTTGGCATTGTCTTTGTCACTGTCGACGGTAAAACCGTCTGCTTTGTAGTGACAGTTTTTGAAATCGTAGATTTGAGAAAGATTGGAACAGTGGCCAAGGGAGCAGTTGAAAATGCCTTTTAGCACGGCGCATTCTGACCCGTTGTTGCAGTTGTATTTCTTCAGGGCGTTTTTGCTGATGGGCGGACAAGTTGAAGTAGCGAATGTGGTGCAGTTCAAGAAAGTCACGCTACTTCCGTTCTGTCTGGTCGTGGAGTGAATTTGTGGGCAGAAACCCGACGTTCTAGTTAAGCACCACTCGCCGCAAGATGCCCAACTGCAGTTGTTATTCATGCTGGTATTTATCGTTTGGCACATGACGGGTACTTCTTCAAATCCACTGTTGAATGCTCTGTATGACGGAATATAAATAGCTACAGTGAGGTAAATTAATGAGACACAACTGAGAACCACTACTAGCTGGCAAAAACAAATACAGCCGCATATGCGCTTGTCTTGTTGGGGTATCATACGAGGTTTGCATCTATTTCTCCTACCCATTGTTTTAAGAAATTATAAACGTAATAAAACTAAACTATAATGTCTTCGCAAGGGAAAAAATCAAAACTTACATTCTCTTTACGTCGGCTCTTATATTTACTCTGAAGGATGTCTGAAAAATCATTGGGAAATGGACACAAGCGCAGGCGCTGGCTTTTGTATCTGGATCAAACGCAATAAAAAATAAATATTCTTAATTTAATAAAGATATCTTAAATTGATTTAAAAAAAAACCTTAATCTGTAATTAAAATAATTTTAATTATTATATTACTAATCAGTTGTCAGTCAACACTTTTTTCTTCTTAAAATTATTCATATTTAGGGCGTATTTCAAAGGCAATCGATAAAAATTAGTGGAGATATTTCAGCTCTTGATAAAAAGATGTCATTATTTCCAAAATATTTTCAATAATTGGGAATTTATAAAATTCCTTTATTAATTTCCAAGAAAATTGAATTTATTTTTAGGACAATCGGGGAACTGTCTTGGACAGTTGTAATATCATACCTTATAATTAATAAATTGTAATTGCGATTATTGCCTTATATTAATAAATTATACCTTATATTAATTATAATTCAGTTTTTCCTGCTTTCTGCTCAAATTATTTAAATAATATAGCTGTATTGTAGTATTTATCCAGTGGCGTAGAAGAGGGTTAATATAAAGATAAATGTATTTTTATTCTCGTACGGGGGTAATTTTCTTTCTGCATTTTTGGAATGGTCGAGAATTAAAACGCAATAAAAGAAAAAGGCAATATATTTCGGCAAAATTTTCAAACAGTTTAACAATAAACATTATTTACACTTATAGTTTATCTATAGTTTAGGATCCCGCAACTTCAAGGTTTTAAAGAATGTATGAAAGATAGATGTATGTAAAGAATTAAATAAACAATTAAACAACTTGATAAAATTCTCATAAATCTTCTAAAAACAACTGCGATCACTTTTAATATATATTTTGCATTGTAACAGATACTGAGTAATGGCTTGAGATTTTTTTATTGCTAGATATTTTATTTGTTGTTTTGGAGAACGAACAAACTGATATATTGCACGTCCGAAAATATTAAATTCAAATTTAGTTCATAATTGACTGAAATAGAGATATTAGAATAACAAAATCTAAACCTAAAGATTCACAACCTATATTGCTAAAAAGTTACAAAATACTGCAAGAAAAAGTTTGCTTGCCCACAAGATACAGCTATACAATTATGTATATTACTCATATAGTATTGTTTTAAAACAATATATTTTACAGTGACATTGATAGTATAAAGAAAAATAAATGTTATTTTACAATATCAAACAGTATAATAGGGAAATCATTGCTTACAAATTCGATCGATCAAAGAAAAATTATTACACATATTTTTGTACAAAGGATATGCTTTAGTAAACAAAATGTTACACCTCGAGTTCTTAATTTTATTTAACTTCTTATTAACAATTATATCAAGAAGTTCGACAAAATAATAGCAAAATCTTATTTGGACTTTTTTTATTTTTTATTTAAATATTTATTAATTTGAAAAGCAAGTAAAAACCCTAGGAGCTACACGTAGGACCCAAATAATACTTTTATTGCTTGGTTTTTATTATGCGTCATAAATTTTAAGTTGACAATGGAAAAAGTAAATGTGTATGGTAATTATTAGCTTGAAATAAAGCAAAAGAGTATAAAGGCACGAGCGTGTTTCAAACAAGCAAGCAAAACTGGAAATACAAAGATATGTAACATACGTACATAGATACATATCAATCTTGCAATTATTTTGTCTTAAATGCCAAAAGCAATAGAAGCATATAAATTTTATCAAAGTTAGTAATTTCAAACTAATACTTATTGAATATTAAGGTCTATTCGTCAGGAAAGTAATGCATGTATTTTTGACATGACCTACCACATCCTGGACAGTACCAATAGCTTAGTATCCCCACTGACGCAGCGAAGAGTAAATTGGGAATAGCTAAAGAAAGTACGAGATGACGCAACGTGTCATCCCACGAGTATCGTGCCACAACCATCTCCGGGTAGACTCTACTATAATAACAAGGAAAATACGTACCAGCCGAGCCAAAGCCGTACTGTTTAGCAAATTGCGAGCAGTTGACAGACGGCGGATACCCGCAGCCCTCGCTGTTGATCAAGAAATGCGTGTAGGCAAAATCCCACTCCACAATCTGCCTGTTCTTGTACTCCCTGAAAGGTATCTTGGAATAATTGACGTAGATCTGATGGCACCTGGTTGCTTCCCGCGTACAGCCCTCCCTGCAAGAAGCCCACGAACAATTAGAGATTCCCTCGGCGTAGACGTGGCTGGTGGCGACACAGATGACCGGCTCGGGATCGAAGTCTGCCATGAGACTCGTAATAGCTGGATCGACGACGAAAGGAATGAGGAACAAAAAGGCAAAAACGGAAACGAACGCGGTGGTTCCCAGACAGAGAGAGGTGTAGAATTTAGCGGTCTCTGCAATGCTGATAAGCGTGAGGGATTTCGCTTTCGCCATGATGTCGATAACAATGAAAATAACAGAAGTCAAGTGAAACAATTCGAAAGTATCGACGCCTTCCCCTTCGAGATGGAAATACGGTGGTGCAATCTACCTAGCGACTTCATCAGTCTCGGTCCAGCAAAAGGGGAACGCCTAAAAAAGAAAAAAAATCACTCTCAGGGCTCACACATGGCTCAAATACACTGACGATCAGGTTGTAATACCATTAAGAGCTCGAACTCACTAACGGCCAGATCGCAACGACCTGGCCGTCAGTACGTTTGAGCTCTAAGCCAAGTTATTTCAACATTTCATCAAAGATACTTACGTTGCTGATCTCAAAGCGCCATTATTGAATTTCCTCCACCTCTATCGTTTATATTGTTGCTGGACGCAGCTTTCTCTATCACTGAGTCCGTTTCCGCCTTGACGCAGCCCTGAAAACGCATTTTTGCATCATCTCCAACTACCACAGTGCGCTGGCAAAATATCAGAGTCAGACAAGAAACAATAAATAAAGTAGTCGGTAAAAGCGAAGCAATGATGAACTGCTTGGTGGTTGTGGCCAGGTCAAAGCGCGCTACCACGACTTCTGGGTTTTCCGTCGAGTAAAAACAGGGAAACCTTGCTCTGGCGTTGTGATCGGTACCGTCTTTACCATAAAATTTCAAGAAGTCTTTGCATTCGTCTCGCAAAGTATTCACGCAGCCTTCCAAGTTGATCAGGAGCTTGCTGTCGTTGGCTATTAGCAAGTCGACTTCTGGAGGTGCCACTTTTCTGTCTTTATCTAAAATAACTGTGTTAAATACGCTGAGGTAGCTTAAATACGTGAAATTTGCCATGTCGGCTAATACGTTATTAGCCAATAATGTTCCGTTGATGCAATCGGTTGCTTCGAGACCTCGGCTGGTATTTACAACGTTCAAGCACGAGGCCATCACAATGTTCTCTTCTGATTCGTTCCAAACTTCTTTACCTGTATCGAGATCTATGCATCTTTGACATTGTGATAGATACACCTCGTCGCCGCTCATCATGATTACATTCTTGTTTCTTGTAGGAATGTCTCCGCATTGCCTGTCGCAGTTATATGGGGAACGTATCCGCTCACACGTTCCCCTATTGCAGTTATATAACCCATGTAAATCAATGCAAGTTATTTTACCTCTACGCCCGGAACACTTCAAAGGAGGGTCGGTTTCTCTATAAACACATTCAAAGGAGTCGGTGATATCAATGCAATTTCCTGTTGTACAATTGAAGGTTCCTGTTAGATTTTTGCATTCGTCCGCGATGCAACGATTTTTCTTCGCCACCTCTTGGTCTTTGCCGTAGCAAAATTTTTGAGCGATATTTGTACAGTTAGCTAAAAGGAGATTGGAACCGTTCTGCCTCAAATTGACGTAGATCTGCATGCAGGAACCGGAGGTTTTGCTAAGACACCACTCGCCACATGAGCCCCAATCGCAGGTCTCGACCGTGACAGCCCTTACGGTGGTGCACATCACCGGGTGCTCCGATATGCCAGACTGCAGGGCTCGCGTAGACGGCACGTAAATCGCTACGGTCAAATACACTATCGCGACACTGCTCAAAACCAATGTCATCTGACACAAACATATCGTCCCGCAGATACGTTGATCTTGGGGCGGAATAAGAAGCTCCTCGACAGGAGTGGGCTTCTTTTTCGGCATAGTTAACTGGTTTTAAAGAGTCATTATTCGGAGGGTGAGATTTCTGCAGCAAGGATCATTTGTCAGTTGTGTCTAGAGCCCTTTGCGTCGGCTCTCGGGAAGGTGCGCGCTTTCCCCTCAGTGTATCCAGTTCCAATCGATAACCCACTGCGGAAAGCTGATCGATAGCACCGCGCTTTTGCGTACACTGGCACAACCTGGACCTTCCAAAATATCCTAACGAATGCTTAAAGTGGCCCGAAATAAAATTGACGCAAGAAAAAAATGCTTACCGTTCTTTTTCTGCTCGATAAAAAGTGTTGGCTGAACTAAATGGAATCTGAAGAACTTTTGTACAGGGGTTTTCCGGTTAAAAATGGAGTGATGATGGCTTTAACAACTGTCAGCAGGAGTTGAAGATCGATAACCTAAAAAATAACAGGATTCGGACCGCAGTGCTCAAAACATTATGGCCGCGAGAAGCATGTTGGCGATCGGCGCCACATAACGTGCTCCTAAAATATTCACAACGCTTCTGGTTGTTCGTAATAGTTTCGTTGCTCCCTGCTAACTGACGGACGATAAATCGAAAAAAACGAATTCAAACGTAGGATGTAAAAGTGAAAAATAAGACCCTATCATTTCCCGTTTAATAATAATGTGGAAAATTAAGGAGAAAACATAGACCCGCGGTGATCTGAGAGTGTGAACGCGAGTGTGAGCTGGCTTGGCCGCTCGCGCTAGTCGCTCGCAGATGTTGGGCTTCGTAGCTCCTGGATCGACCATCATTGTGATACGACGACCATGGGGGATGAAAATGTGATCACGGAAACCTGGCAGCAGAAGTTACTGTTCTACATCACCGCCTTTTTCGTCTTGCTGGGCATTTTCAGCCTGTTTTCCTTCTTATTTCTCGTGCCTTTCGTCATTGACCCGGCCTTCACCACTATTTTTATGGAATTCAATGAGGAACCCGCTTACTGTGTCACCGTTAAGACGCAGAGACTGCTTGGAGCTTCGAACTGTAGCTGGACTTCTTGTAGAGAAGGGTGCACTAAAGATATTTACGATTGCACACAGATTTTTGTTACCTATAAAATTTTATTAAATAACACTTATTGGAATAGCACCATTCCAACAACCATGAAAAATACCGAGTCTCCTTTCAAAAAGGATAAAGCCTTGTTGGACGATTATGATTATGATGACACAAGCACAGGCCTGCAAGGTAACAATTCCGAATGGTATTACCGGGAAGCCAGACTGATGCCAAACGTAAAAGGTTGTGGCTACCCTCCTATGTTAAACTGTTCCATATGGTTAAAAGCATACATAAACATAGGAACAAATTTCTCCTGCTTCTACAGCAAAGTAGACCCGGGACTAGTCATCAGCGATCTGGATATGTGGCAAGTTTACATGAACTTGGTGTACGCCATGTGTATTCCTATACCGTCTTTTATAATTTCCGTCATATATTTAGCAATTGCTTACTTCAAAATATACACGGATGACGAAGAGGCTGCTCCTTTAGAAAAAAATGCTGAAGACATTGATGTCGAAGGTAAAAATAATATTAGTTTTAAAGATTGATTTAGTCGCTCAATCAAATATTATGTTGATAGGAGAAAGCTGCGCTAATCAAACTCCTCCTCCGCTTGCCAGTGGAGGAATTACACCTGCTAGTGAGGCATTTAGGGAGGATCTGGCCAGTTTTGGACACCATTTCAAAGTAGCGATGGTAGATGACATTAGCAGAGATAGTCTTGTTGATGGTGTCATCACTTCTGTTTCCATTGGAGGGTAAGGCACGAGGCAAAGATCGATTTAACACTTACTGTTATTTTTTCTAGGAGTATTGGTAAAACGATGACTACTAGTATCTCGACCACTGGTGGTCCAGTAGCGGACATTTAAATCAACGTTTTGACAGAACTTAATAAGGCTTGTGCTATACTAGCTTAGCAAATTTTTACAATACGTACATCTGATTCAAATATATTTTAATCGTTCTGCTATCACAAGTAAGTACTTTTTTTAAACTTTTTTAAGTGTATCCAGCTCATCATGATAACATGCAATTTCAATTAAGAATTCAAGAAGTATTTCGCATATAGCATGTTCAGATCTCCTAAATCCTAAAGATTAATAGAGTTAAATGAGAAATAAATTATATATAGGTTCTATGAAGTTTTTGTTTCATAAATTGTTTTCCAGAGTATATATATTTTATCTGTGATATAAAGAAATAAACGACAAAGGCAATGCTATATAATTCTCAAGCTTATTCTTTGCTCTCCCCCATACAATTCTCTTGTTATTTCAAGAACAGGGTCACTGTTTTATTAAAAGGCTAAAATGTCATTTCCATTTCGATAATTACCTTATTTATCGATTTTGTCTGATATTTGTTTAGCTCTGGCTATGAATAAAAAGGCAAGAGTAAACATTTTTCTATAATTCAATTAAGAACGAAATTTCAAAATTCTGCAATGATCTCTTAAATTTTAATAGAGAAAAAGCTTATTTTATTGTGAATTAACAGTATATTTCGTACGAGACAAGATATCTGTGGTTTCAAGAAAAAAATTCTTAAGACATCGCTGTTGAAATTCGTGGGATGGTACACGATAAATATTAATATGAGCCTTTCTTTTGGCAGTAGTGGTGATTGGTGATAAAAAAGCAGTTTGGAACACTAATTTTTAACGTTACATGGTCAGAATAGCACATTATACTTATTTAAAATTTATCTTACATATGAGCTGTTATTTTTGAAAGTGGTATAAGTCCATTTTTCCATGTATCGAGATATTTAAGATTTTGCATTTGAATTAATTTAAAAATACCTTTTAAATTTTATTATGAAATAATAAATATTACAATTCTTACAAAAAATAAACGACTTTTTAACTCCAAATGGTGTGTCCAAAGTGTGAAAAATTTTGGGTAAAAAAAATAAAATCGCGAATATCTGCGAAACCGTTAACAATTTTGAAATACTCTAAACATAAAAAAATGTTCATTTTTTTATTCTCCATCATATAAAAAATATACAAAGTGTTCCATTTAAAAAAAACGAAGAAAAATAATTTTATATTTCAGAAAGTTTGGCGTAGAATTTTGAACATCCTGTATGATTTACGATTTCCATATTTATAGCAAAGTAAGTTTTGACCATTCAAAGTAAATACCTAATATGGTTTTGATTTCAGGACACTTCTTGTATTATTATTTTTTTAAGAAAGGTTGAAAAATATATATTTTTTATTTATTTATTATTATCTGTGAAAATATTGAAATATATTTACTCATATGTTTGGATCATGTAAAGTGATGTGAAAGGAAACCAAAAATGCTATAATATACAGGGTGTTCCATTTAAAAAAAATCATCCCGATCCACTCACACTTTTTTGAGCCACCCTATAGAAGCAAAAATATTTTCCTGAAATATATCCTCGTACATACTTTAGGTTTGCATTTAAACAAAATTTTCAAGTTCTTTATTCTAGGAGCTACACATGCCCAACGCACTATTGCTTGACCCTGTATATCTTACTGAAATTACTATTAACTCATTGTTTTTTAAATTGGACTTATACCACTTTCAAAAATATCAGCTTATATGATTTTTACTGACTGTAATGTTTACTGATTGTAACTTAACAGTTCTGATCTTTTAACCACAGATATATCTAAAGTACGCATTTAAAGACTAATTTTATTATTTTAAATTTCTAGTTTAATAAATTTGTTAATACTCAAATTCTGAAAACGTTTAATTGAGCGCTCATTGTGATCCACTAAGTGAATTTTAAATTATAGCAAAATCGTGCTGCACCTCATCTAAACAATGAACTTAAAGTGTTGTCTAAATTTAGCCATTCAAGAGAAATTCTTCGAGAGGGACACCAAATACATAATGTACATACTAGATTGTCTCTAAAATAATTGTTGCAATATTAAAAATACTGTTGAAAGTTTACTAATAAAATTATGTTGTAATATGCAACAATCCAAATACTATACAGCCTTGGGTCGATTTGAAAATGATTTTTCCTAAATAATCTGACAAAAAAATATTTTTCTACTTGCTCATATGAAAAGAGCTAAGAAGAAATAGTTCTGTCAGAAATATGTTAGCATAGTAGTCAAAAACTGATAGACCCAAGCTAACGACGATGTTAAGTTTGGACTCTTGCATAGAATCCGTGTTAAATTTCACCAATTGGTGGATGACATTTGGATGTTTGACCTTTTGCCTTCTACTCGTCAAAAAAGTTAGCGTTTGTAATATTTTTTCTAGAATTAAGGTACAAGCTAAAGAGGTAACAGCTCAGAGCCATCCATTAACACAAACCTACCATTTTTATGATGTGGTCCATCTCCTTCCTATTCGTATTAATACTAAAAACCATTTAACAATACAACTTATAATATATTGTGATATTCTGTACATAAAAACATCTATTATGCCTAAATCTCTATCTATGACATGAATGGAAATAATTAAAAACATACTATAAAATAAAAAAAAACGTCGTAGTGGGCTTTGAAATGGCAAGTTCAAGACCTACTCTGACATCATTTTTTTTTAGATTATACGGCACTTATAAATAAAATACAAAATTGTATACTACAAAAGCTGTTTTGTACATGGAAGTTTGAGCACGTAAAATTTTCACAACTTAGTCACTTTAATAAAGGAACTTAGATGTGCTATTTCCCAAACAAATTAACAGAATATGTTAATTAATATTAGTTAGGTATAACAGGTCATAGGAAACATAAATTTATATTAGGTGTAGGCATTTGAGTTAATGGATGACCCGAAAAATAACAGTGTAAATATATTCTTACATTTATATAGACCACAGTAAAACTATAAACTAAAATAAAATAATATACTGTAAAATTAAATCTATGATAAAAGAAGGTAATATATAGCTGAGCTCCAATTTTAGAGATATCGAAGTTATCTTGATGCCCGCACAATGGTTTAATTAATAAGTACAAAAATGTGTGTATGCCTTTATTATTGTATGCCCTCCACAACACTGGTGCTCAAAATATTTAAATATAAATTTTGACTGCCGGAGTATAGGTATTTAGATGCAGATGATTACAAGTGCATAAAACTATTTGTTCTTTTACTTGGTATAATATTCTAGCTCAAAAACGTACAAAAAATAGGTTTTATTTGGATAATATTTTATTAAGGATTAATAATTGAACTAAAATTTAAACAACTCCAGGGTGTTTCAAAAAACATGTGCCGTCTCTCGTGGGGAGATTCCTCACGTTTGTTGAAACACCCTGTATATTTCGAAGTCAATACATACCTAATATACTGCCTAGTTTATAATTACCTCCCATTTTATTTTGACTCATTATTTTGAAAGCTTAAATAAATCTATAGAAGTAGGGTAGCTTAAAATAATTTATTAATATTTTACAAAAATACCATATTAATCTTCTTCCATACCTTACTCATTTAATTGTTTAATATCCAAAGCAAGCTTACCATTAAACTTTTAGGCCTTATAGTTTTATGGCAAAAGATATTAGAATGCACTGTACAAGTAAAAATCGGGTTGGGATTACGCAATAAAATTAAAAATAAAAAATAAACCCCAAAAGCAAATTTGTGAAAACTCGCTAATATTTTTGTAATACTCTGAAATAATTCTAAATCTATAGATAATTTGCATTGCACAATTCTGCTTTTGGAATAATTTTAATTAGATTTAACTTATTCGTTCTAGAATCAAGAGCAATAATTATTCTATTCCCTTGATCTTTGTTAAGAAATTAAAGATTAATGTAATGATTAAATGTATAAACTAGTTTAACTGTGGTTTACAATATTTGAATTAAAGATTGTAAGTTTACAATGCATTTTCCGTTTAGTTTGATATTATTGTTACGAAAAAAAAATAAAAAAATATATATACCATTTCGTTTTTTAGTGGAGGGACCAAATTACTTTTCATTGTCCTCAATCTTGTTATTTTTAAAAGAAACTAATAAAATCCATTTTTTTATTTTCTTACCAAAATAATATTGCTTGTAAACTTATAAATTATTGTTAAAAAAATTTTTGTTTATATTTAATGTTAAAATATGACATTGTTATCTGCTACCTCCTAAGTAATTTCAACAGCTTTAACTAATGAACTGACAAATGGTTCTTTTAATTTTTGTTCGTCATTGTTAACACACAATCTTTTAAAACTAATTTGTGATACTTACACTGCTCATATAGGAGTAAATATATATACATATATATATAGAAAATAAAAATAGTTGTTTTATTGGTCACCTTTATCCTAATATATTTTTTATTCATATACAGTATGTCTTTACAAGAGCAATAACTTTTTTATTATTGGCATTTTGAGAAAAATCCATTCTTCATTTTAATTTGTGCTTCTTCTAAAATGGTTAATCCCGTTTATATTTTTCCAAATTTCCATACAGTTTTGCAGAAAATAAAAAAAAAACATAAAAATATTGTTGAAGTCCTAAAAATCAAAAGGCGTTTCTATGGTAATGTAATTTTGATTTAATAAATAATAAAGCATTTAAACCATTGCGCATTGGAGGCTTATATTTTCTAAATGTGCATAAAATTTCCTGCAAATCCTGAAATTTTCATAATTTTATCTCTATAATTGCTATTTTTATCAGAAAAAATAGTCAAAAAAGTCATGAAAATTGACAATTTTGGTCAATGATTAAAACCTTAATTTTTGTTAGAAAAAGCATTCTAACAAAACGTAAAAAGTATTTAAGTCTACTTAACGTGGTAAAAACATATGCAACGCATAATACAATAAGTAAAAGCAAGTAGTAGTACCGACCAAGCGACTGGAAAAAGCGCTCAATATGTTTTTATCAGAAATAGCTTTTTATGGTACTGGTAAGCAAAACAACCATCATCAAGAATTGTTCAAAAACAAGGGTTGAAAAAATGGATATTATAATAAAACCAATGTATTTAACCCTTTAAATGTTGATATAATCAAAAAGCAAATAAAATTTCTTACAAATCCTGAAATTTTCATAATTTTATCACTATGTTTACTATTTTTGTGAGTGCTATAAAAAGATGCAAAAAATAGTCAAAAATGAGCGGTTTTGATGAAACTGCTGTTATTTAGAAGTCGCAGAATAAAGAAATAAAGTCAATTTTGTCCTTACGGTACCAGATGTAGGTAAAATTTTATCAAAACATATTAGTGGTAGTACGGGGTAGTACCATCCTCCAAATGGACCACTGTTTTCTAATCTCCCTGTATAGCGTGTTAAAAGTACCCCCCTCCGACTGACCAAACCAAGATGCAGAACTGTTGGACAGCGCAGTGGTACCCAGTACCACGGCGTTCAGTAGGCGTTCTGCCGTTGGAAATCTTCGTCGTGGTGACCGCGAGAGTTGTTCACGCTGTTGCCGAGCCGAGCTGTCCATCGTACAGGTGGTGACGATGACCGCTGACCCCCAGGGGGGTCCCACGGGTACTGGGCATGGCCTCCAGCCGTCAAGAGAGCCTCCGACAGTTACGAGATGAGAGCGGTAGTCCTTCGAGACACCGGACCTGTGCCAATTTCGAACAATCTTACAAAAGGTATGTCAAAGGGTTGCAATTCCAGTTTCCTTGGTTGCCTATGGTGCTTTTATCAAAAATAATCAAGTACTCCTTCAAGAAATCCAGTAACAGAAAAAATAAATATGTATAGATTTTATAATATATGGCGAATTCGTTTATTGTGTAACAAGTACACTTAACACCGATACATATATGCATTTAGCAAATTTCCATTTCGCAAGAACTGCATAATAGAAAAAAATATAGTTGCTAGAATACCTCACAAATATCTAAACAATTATTTTATTATTGCGTGATAATAATAAAACTTACACAAACCATTTTAAGTTATATAAATATATGCACACAAGAGATTAATGAGTGGACAATATTATCGAACTGCAATAGGTTTATACAGGATGTCCCACTTATACGTTCCAGATATACGTTACTAGACGTATAGGCGCATTTATCAAGAATTCAAGTATTTAAAAATCGTTCAGACTCTGTTTCAAAAAATCTACTACCCAAGCCTTAAAGGTTAATTCTCACTATACCTTCCGTATCAGCTACCTTCCGTTTCACTTCCGTTTACATAAAATATTATATCATGTAAACGATCCTTTCCTTCGATACATTTTTTTGACGGACGGACTAAAGCGTATCGGAAATGGGGTTGAAGTTCTTACATTTGTACAAGTTCTGTGAATATTTTGCTGATATTTATTTATTCTTTCACCTCTTAATTAATCTATTGCCTTTTTCACAATATACAAATTTTTAAAATCTCCGCAGTGATATAAGTTGTACAATAAAAAGTATGGAACTGATACGGAACGGAAGCTTACGTATAGCGTCAATACAATAAAAAATACGGAACGGATATGGAATGGAAAAGGAAGGTATAGTGAGAATCAACCTTAAACTATACTGAAAATAGTAGAGATCCTTCGTAAGTCGTATTTGCTATAAGTTGAATATTTTGTGATTGCAGGTCGATGACAATCGGGTCGGTGGGTACGGGAGTCCGCGTGAGGGCTGTGAGCCCTCCGCCTCCGGGGGCCGGTCCCCGGTACCGCTCCCACTGCTGCTGGTCCACTGGCCTGTATCGCAACGCTCCATCTCCAATCTCTCTCCTGTCCACCGTCACCACCACGTCTATTAATAGTCTGGATATAATTAGTTGCGCAAACAAGACGGAGGACGCCGTGGCCGCTACGTCAGACCAGTCGCCGTTCGTCTCACTGCGTGGCTATGTGCCGTACCCGGGTCCCTGCCTCCTAAACAAGCGCTGCGCCCTCGCACGAGCCCCTGAAGACCCCGCCAAAGAGGCGCCCTCCAGCACCCTGGACCGGCTGCCAAGGTTCCGCTTCGGCGGGAACCGCGCCGAGAAACGAGGGAGCGACAAGTTCCGGGAACTGACAGAACGACTGAAACGCGGCGCCACTCCGGTGCCGCCGCCGCGACGCCATACTCGCGCGACGCCTCCTTTCGCCGCCTCCGAAAGCGTCGCTACACGCGTCGCTCCAGTACGCAGTGCTTCATTTTCCCAAGTAGACTATTGTCCCGACAATAACAAGTACATCCGCAAAACACAGGACTCCCTCAACTTCCACGGTACCAACACACTCCCACGCCCGAAAAACCTCAACACAAACGCGAACGAGTTCGTGGTAGAAAACTGCCAACATTCCAAGGAGGTTCCCAAGCTCCAAGTGACCGCGGAGAAGACGCTAGCCCGCTCCCAAAGCAGCGCCAACAAAAACGAAAGAAGGAAAGACAAGTTGAGGAAAAGGAAAGGAATTTACTTATCCCAATGGCCCACTGACTACTACCCAAACGACGAGGATGACGTCTCATGTAAACATGATTCGGACGACGTAGATTGTGTTTGTGACAAAGGCGCTAAAATAATCCAAGAGTCCTTTTCGGAGCCAGCTAGTCCGGAAGAGACTAGCATATCTCTAGACTGGTCTAACAAAGACTCCCTCAAGGTATCCGAATCAAGAAGCAACAGCATATTCCTTTCCGATTCCCTCTCCGAGGGCGAGCCAGACAATGTCGACCACAACTCCGATCAAACTTCCTTCGCAGAGGCTGGTGAGAACTTGAACGATTCCGCGACTTTTTCGATCCCAAGGAGGTATTCGAAGAGGCCACTTAGAGGGCCTTACGGTCAAATGCTGGAAGCGGAAATGAAAAAGCCCGAATCGAAGAAAAACATAAGCAACTTGAAGTTTCTGGAGGACTTGCCGAAGAATGGTGCCGTTGTGCGAGAAAGTGAGCTAAGTGGCGCGAAACTTTCGCCGAACAAAAGGAAAATCAGTGCGGATAATTTGATTGTCGAGAAAATGGAGGAAAAACTGATACCGATCCATCAACGAACCACATCGAGTCCTTCGAAACTGGAAGGGTTCACGCATTTGGAGCCGTCGACGGAACCATTGCAGAAACTGCTCCGTGGCAGTTCTGAGCAACTGGTTGTAAAGGAAAATACACAACAGTCATTACACAATGTAAGTTCCTATATACAATATGTTTCCAGCATTTTTTAACCAAAAATATTCAGTTGAATCAGATTTCCAGGTTCTTCCTTGACAGTTTCATTGATTTTGTTTTCCAGTATTATTTATTCTTCGTCTGATTCTTTTTATCTACTTTTCCAGAGAGAGTCCTTTTGAGATATTGCAATTTATTACTTTAAGAATATTGTGAACTGAATTTCCCAAACGCTGTGTTAATTTTAGAAATCTCCAATAATAATTGTGAATCTGGACCCTAATCGGTACCCCTAAATAAAAATAAAACTAGGACGACATTCGATAGTCGAGCAAAAATATCGATACTGGCTCCAGCCCTCTAGCCTGGATCTGCCATCCCTAATCTGGATCGTCAGTCAAACTTCCGGATTATTGAAAGCAAGGTGTGATTGTCGAGCGGCGAACGGTCTAAAGAAGGACGTGCTTGATATTAGCCGAAAAGAAATGTAATTATCTGCCTGGGCGATAATGTGTTCACGGAGCAATCTCACCCTGCCTGTAACCAGTGCTTCGTCGAATTTGGCTCTTTTCGATGCCAGCTTCTCGGTCTTGGTAACTCGAGCAAATTCTGTTTGGTGTTTTGGTGTTTTTTTGTCCGATTAGGTTTAGGAACTAATGTCTTTTAGGGTTAGTTCCTCATCCATGTCTTTCATTTATTTTGTGTCTGAGCTTCTTTTTATTTTGTCGCTTCTGTTTCGCTTCCTTTTAAATACATATACTCAAAGTTAACCTCAAAAACCGTCACTGTATGATACTTTTTTTGTCTTAAAAATACTGTTAATTGTTTGATTAGTTAGAACAAGAGCATGCTTTCGCTTAAACAGGCCGTTTGTACTGAAAAATCACACACATCTTCGTATATCTTCAGCGAATGAACAATTGTTGGCTTTTCAGGGTTCTTAAAGACATTTTCATTCATTTTTAGGAATTGTTAATAAATCTGTGTTACGAAAATAAATGTATAAGTTATTCCCTACTAGTTTTAACTAAAATTTAACAAACAACTCGTATTTTCACAGGATACAAGAACTCATGTCCTCGTCGAATTGTATGACAATGAAAAAATCTACGTAGAGTCTTTAGAAATTATCATTATGGTAAGTAGCGACTGTTGTACATCCTATATGTTGATAATACAAAAATCATAAATACACCCGAAAATTACTCCAAACAAAAAATCCTTGAATAAATTAAAAGGCCAGGCCCTCAATTTAGCTCATCTCTAATCACTATCGATTTTTCTCAAACGTTCCTTCACAGATGGCGCAAACTCGGCTATCCAGAAAAAAAAGATAAGGGAAATTCTTTTGTTATCTATAGACGCAAATATCAGAAGCAGCCTGTAGCTTTTATTTCACTATCGACAAAATTTAAAAATATCGATACTAGACCTGAAACTTTTCAAATAAATTTCTTTGTTCAGGTTTCAGCGCATTTCGCGAAATATATTGAAATGTATTTAAATATCCAGGTCAAAAAAATAACTGCATACGCACCTCTGCACGCAAATTATTTACAAGAAGTCAAGCTAATAGAATTGATTGCTAGATAAACTTAATTTATTGAAATGCATTTTAATCGCTCAGAGTTATACCTTATAATTTAATTATAAATTTATTCAGAAAAGTGATTAATTTTCTTTTTAGAATTATATGGAGCCTTTAAAGAAGACTGAAAATACCCTGATAGACCAAAACTTAGTAGACGAGATATTTTGTCAGGTAAATACGTAAACAATTAAGGAGGATGCTCCAATTTTGTTATTGTAATTTAAATATTTATTCAGAACACCACACTATTTGAATTAATAAATAAGCACAAGTTTTATGGAATGAATGAACTACTTTTCCATATATGGCAGTACCAAAATTGCTATAGACTCCATAAAAAAATGATGTTATTTTTCAGATACCATTTTTGCTAAATCATCATAAAAATTTTCTGACTCAATTGAAGACGAGACTAGATCAGCTAGACAGCCAAGCAACCATCGGTGATATATTTCTAGAAATGGTGAGTGGATTTTAGTTTTATTTTCTTCAGAATAAAATTAATCCTTTTTGTTCATTTGCAGCTTACTAATTCTGAGATAATCGAAAACTACGTAAATTATGTAAATAATTGGAAGCGCTCTAGAGACATCATAAAGAATGCGCAAGAATCACGGCCTAATTTTGCTAAATTTTTAGAGGTGAATATTACGAAAACGTAGAGCTGCCATCGCGACATTGTAAAATATTTTCAGCAAAATTGACATTTTTCTGTAAATTTACACTTTTTCTGTAAATTTACACTTTTTCTGTAAATTTACAATTTTTGTGTAAATTTACACTTTTTCTGTAAATTAACATTTTTTGTGTAAATTTACACATTTTCTGTAAATAATTGGGTCGATGCCGAGACGTCGTCTTGCTGGGTAGTACCGTATGATCGAAAAAAAAACAGCGTCCAGTTGGGTTGGAAATGACGATTGATGACACATTTCCCATATAATTTTACATATAAAATGACAGCGATCTTCATTTTATAGCCATTGCTGACGCCGTTTTTATTCGATTATACAGTATATTTCGCATACAATTTACAGAAAAATTGAGAATATACAGAAAACGACTAAATTTGCAGAAAAACTGTAAAGGAAATGTGTAAATTTACAGAAAAAGTGTAAATTTAGAACTTACAGAAAAAGAGTAAATTTACATAAGAAGTCTAAATTTACAGAAAAACTGTAAAATTTGCTAAAAATATTTTTAATCGTTACTATGGCAGCTCTACGCTATTGAAAACTCTACAAAATCTGCTTTACCCTCTATTCATTTTTCAGTTGGCATCGAAAAACAACTTAAGAAAGCTAGCTCTGGACTCCCTCCTTATAAAGCCCATCCAAAAATTCCCCAAATACGAACTGCTGCTCCAGAGGCTTATAAAATACACCGAAGAAGACCATCCCGATTACAAGCTCCTCGTAAAGGCCTTGAAGGAAGTACACGAACACCTTCTCAAGATCAACTGTACCGAAAAAGAAACTTTAGACATCGAACAACTTAAAGAAATCGAAGGGGTGATCGAGGGAGCATTGGAGCTGGTTTCGCCCGAACGGCAGTACGTCCGGTACGACATGATCGTGATGAGCCACGGTGGAGGCCCTAAAAAAGACCGAGCACTCTTCCTTTTCACCGACTTGTTACTCATCACTGGAATCAAACGACGCAGTGGCACGATCAACAAAAAGGTCGGTCCTAACAGCGGCACCAGTGCCAGTAACCTGGACGGGAACAAGTACAAACTCATTATGCAAGTTCCTCTGGAAGACGTGGACATAATAGGGTCGAAGGACGACAATCTGAAGCAAGCCCAGATCGAAGCGGACAATTTAAACGAAGACATCGCCGTGCTAAATCAGATCGTCGAACTCAGCCACAGCCTGCATTGTAACCATTCCAATTTGGACGACGTAGTCAAAGAGATGTTAAGTAACGTAACGAAAAACTTGCAGATTCAGCAAAACAGCGACTTGCAGCTCTGCACTCTAGAACTCAGCGTTATAACACAGTAAGTACGTACGTTATATTTTTGTTTTTAATATCTAAGGTTAAATCTGGAGATTACATTCTCCAGTCAAAAAGTCTAGTTGTTTTTATAAAGTCTTTTCTGGTGTCCCTTGAAGTTTATTTTAAGAATGTATAAGTATACAGAGTGGTCCGAACTGTATTCCGAAAACTTCGATAGCATATTATGAAGATAAAAATAACTCAAAAAGTTCGTATACAAGTATGTATTAAAATGCTTAGTTTCGAAGATACAGGGTGTAGAAGTTTCATTTTTATTTCGATATTTTCTAAATAATTTCTGTCAATATTCAGATGAAAATTGGTGTCTGGGAATTTTTTGATATGAGAAATTTGATTTTGATGTCAATATGACTCCTGCTTGTAGAGGGCGCCACCTACATAATTTTTAAGTGGTTTGAAGGATAATAACTTTTCGTCCGTACCTGTATAAAACTACCGAGTGAAAAAATATAAATTTCCGTGATTTTTTACGTAAAAAATGTCTCTTGGTAAAAATGGCTACGAGCAATCGTTCTCAAGATATTTAGACTGGATATAGTCAATACATGTCATTATTGACAAAAAATAAACATTTTATTTTTTAAATTAACATTTTATTTTTTAAATTAATCATAAATTTTTCTTCGAAAAAAAAACGATGATAAACAGTTTCTGTTGAACTTTTGGCACAAAAACATTTCAAATTTATTATTTCAGTTCTTTTTTTTTCAAATTATCATTTCAGTTTCAGATTACCTGTCGTCAATGACATTAATTTCTGCTGTAAATGCCTGTTAATGTCGATTCCAAATATCTCGAGAACCATTACTCGTAGAAATTTTTACCAAGAGACCTTTTTTACGTAAAAAACGTCGTAAATGTATATTTTTTTACTCAGTAGTTTTATACAGGTACGGAAGAAAAGTTATTACTTTTCAAACTAGTTAAAAAATATGTAAGTGGCGCCCTCTACATGTAGCAGTCATATTGACATCAAAATCAAATTTCTCATATCAAAAAACTTCCAGGCACCAATTTTCATTCAAATATTAACGTTAGTGCAGAAATTATTTGGAAAAAATCGAAATAAAAGTAAAACTTCTACACCCTGTATCTCCGAAACCAAGCATTTTAGGACATACATTTATACGAACTTTTTTACCTATTTTTATCTGCAGAATATCCTGCCGAAGTTCCCGGAATACAGTTCGGACCATCCTGTATTATATGGTATCAAGTAGATGTTAACTTTCAGAGATGGTCACGAGATTGTGTCAATTGTGTTCCCCACTGCTGAAATTCGAGCATCCTGGGAAGAAACGCTGAACGAATGTAAAACGAAATTAGGTAAGAACTCAAAAATTTCTAGATTTTTTATTATAACTGAGAAGAAATGCTTCAATTTCAGGTGATAGACGTTCAACTCCAGAGATAATTGCGACAGTGCCTGTACGTAAAACGCGAGCAGGACTGCAGTTTACTTGTGCAGCACCGACAACCAGCGAAAATGGACGGGACATCTGGGTATGCAACAGCGATGGGTACGTAGGACAAGTTTGTGTCCTAACGCTAAACGAAAAACCAGAACCGACAGTGACATCTTGCAATGGTGTTTGCAACACCAGGATTCTTTGTATCGCCTCCGTGCCAGGACCAGGACTAGAAAAACGGTAAGTCTTTTTCAACTTTTCCTCCAGAGCTACAACAACTCAGTTTTAAAAAGACTTACGATCGGGTAAGCGGGTATGTGGCCGAAGGAAATATATATTATATTTCAAAAATCTCCTTAAGGCTTGGCCCGATCCTGTCGTGTTAAGTCACACCCAAAATTCCAAACAAACGTGCTTTGATTAAGGCTTGATTAAGGTTTGCAGAGCTTCAGCATTTGCCATAAAATAGCGAGTACAGTTGTACAAATATAGGAAGAGACTTGGGGATAGCACCGGTCGCGTGTTATTTTATATTTCTCACGTTTCTAGCTATACTTGTTAAATTGTAATTTGTTACAAAACCATATAAATTATATATCGCTGTAATCAGAAAACTTCAATCTATTTCCGTATTGTAACCATCAAAATCTTAAAAATAAAGTCTTAAAAAGTTGTCTAAAAATGTGCTACAATACGGATATAGTACTAAGGGCTAGCAAAGGTTAGTCTTGGGTCGAGATTTCCGTATGTACGAAGAGTACAATGCGTTTATAATGTACTGAACAAAGAGAGGACAGTAAACACGTTGCCAAACGTATGAAATAAACCGAGAAACTGTGCACATCGCTAAGAGACGTGGAAGGGGATATAGCAGATTTGTCGCAGTTGACCGATCGACCCAATCAATACCTCTGTCAGTACTTCAAGTTCTAGGGAGAGGTGTACGTCATACGTTCAGCTACACGATTTAATTACGTCTCGTGATACTTTATTTGTTTATTTATTAACGAGTCGTTGTAATTTTCCCTATAGCTTGAATTTTTTTAAGTGCAAGCTAGAAACACTTGCATGTTTGGTAAAAATAAGTGGAATTGAGTAGGTGTTCGACAGTGGTCGCGCTATTAGAACTCTGAATTCAAAAATCGATATCTCGAAATCTATTAGAAATAATAGATTGTAGTTTTTTTTCAAGAACTTATTGTATTTTCTTTGTGGACAGTATGTAAAAATTTTTATCAATAAAAAAAATTACACGACTGCTGAAAATTGCTATGCTCTAAAAGTGTATTTGGAATTTTGGGTGCGGCTTAACACGACCTTAGGCAGACTGGTGAAATATAATATACAGGGTTGTTCACCACATACGACACGGAGTATTGTAGCTAAACGATTAGATTTTTACAAATTGTAAGTTTTGGGTTCGTTGAAGGATTATTAGAGCTACAATTTAAAAATATTTTTACAAGATACAGAGTGTCCCAGATAAATAAAAATATCAAAGTTGTATTTTTTTAAATGGAACACCCTGTATATTATTACATTTTCAGTTTCTACCATTAAAATAATGGTAAATTTGATTAAGGTTTATTACACTTAAACCTTACCGTTTTTGAAATATTTTCAATTTTGTGAAATTGCAGTCAAAATTTTAATGCTTTATTTCTCCAAGGGTATCAAAGTTTTTAATACTAAATATTTACTGAAGTTTATTTATTGATCAGTTATTGTGTTGCAATAAGAAAAATTATACTACCTTAACAGAGTGTCTAAAATTTTTATTTTAAATAATTACTAGCTTTAAACGGCAATAACTTGTTTAATTTAAATGGAACACCCTGTATATTTTATGAGAATCAGACGCACATTTAATTGTCTATCAAATTGTATTATACCACTTTTTACCTATTGCTTCAAGTTTCCGTAGAAAATGCATTTTCTTGTAATTTTAAGTTCATTTATAAATATACCCATGGAATACTGACATTTGAGATTATTTTTAAATATGTACCAAATTTTTAAAGATGTACCAAATTTTTAAAGAGTACAGATACTAATATTGTCGATATAGTTTGTTTATTTCCTTAAAAAATAAAAAAAACTGTTTAAATATTTGTTAAAGAGAACCAATTAATATAATTCCAGTATTCAAACTACATTAATTGTTTGTTTGCCTTGATTAATAACAATTGCTCCAAATACTAAAAATTTGAATTTTTATGTCTATTAGACAGTGTTGTAAAAAGTAACACCTTAAAAATGATATTTCATTTTTTGATAAATGCTTATTTATAACAACAGAGACATTCATTTTTATAACTTATTATTATATTGATTTCTGATTCAAATCCACATTTATTTAGAATATTTTATTAACGAACATAATTAAGTATGTAATTAATTAGTATTTGGGCGGAAATAATGTTGGTATATTTAATTAATGGTATACTCTTTTATAAAGATTTAAATAGTTTTCTTTTTGCACACAAATGGGCTAGTAAATTATCATTTTGCTAAAAACTATAATATTACTAGCCTGTACATTTTGTACATTTTTTGCTATAAAAACAATCTAAAATGTCAATATTCCATGGGTATATTGATAAATGAGGTCTAAATTATAATAAAATGCATTTTATACGAAATCTTGCAGAGATAGGTAAAAAGTGGTATAATACAATTTGATAGACAATTAAATTATGCACCTGATTCTCCTAAAATATACAGGACGTTCCATTTAAATTAAACAAGTTATTGCCGTTTAAAGCTAGCAATTATTTAAAATAAAATTTTAGACACTCTGTATAAGGTAGTATAATTTTTATTATTGCAACACAATAATTAATCAATAAATAAACTTCAGTAAATATTTAGTATTAAAAACTTTGATACCCTCGGAGAAATAAAGCGTTAAAATTTATACTGCAATTTCACAAAATTGAAAATATTTCAAAAACGGCAAGGTTTAAGTGTAATAAACCTTAATCAAATTTACCTTTGTTTTAATCGTAGAAACTAAAAATGCAATAATATACAGGGTGTTCCATTTAAAAAAATACAACCTTTGATATTTTTTACTTATTTGGGACACTCTGTATCTTGTAAAATTATTTTTAAATTGTAGCTCTAATAGTCCTTCAACGAACCCAAAACTTACAATTTGTAAAAATCTCATCGTTTAGCTACAATACTCCGTGTCGTATGTGGTGAACAACCCTGTATAATTTATATGGTTTTGTAACAAATTGCGCCCTATTTTATGGCAAATGCTGAAGCTCTGCAAGCCTTAATCAAGCCTTAATCAAAACACGTGTGTTTGGAATTTTGGATGTGGCTTAACACGATAGGATCGGGCTAAGCTAATATACATTTCCTTCGGCCACACAACCGCTTTACCCGACCCCTGAGAGCAACCCGAAAGAACAGCGTAATAGACTCTTAAAATCAAATGACTTATTAAGTCATTAAAATGATTTAAATAAAAAAAAATACTTTTGTGAGCTTGCTCCGCTTCTATTTTAAAGAACAATCCTCTTCCAGGACGTCTTTGTTTTCATCCAGAAAAAAGAAAGAAAAATTGAAGCCGCAAAAGGCGCTCCAGTTCGACAGTAGTTCGTCGAGCGACGAGGATTCCAGGGTCAACGAAGAAAAAAGGACGGAGCACGCTGATTCCGAATACAATAACCTCTACCCGGATGAACCGGACAAGCACTCCACCATGTGGCTAGGCACTGAAGATGGCTGCATTTTAATATACAACTCCAACGATAATATTCGCATCAAAAAGAATAAAATCAAGCTTCAGCTGGGCTCCTCTGTATTGTGTATATTGTAAGTTTCTTTTTTTGTTATTGTGTCAGTAGCTGTTATATGTTTATATTATGTATATTGTTTTGCAGGTATCTTGATCACAGAGTATTCGCTTCTCAAGCAAATGGTATTATTCTGATGTACGAAAGAGATGGCAGTGAGTATAGATAAATCCTAGCTATACTGGGTGTGTCTCAAAAGTGGCATAAACGAGATTTGGCATGTTAGTATATGACATAAATTAGAATTGATTGACGTATTCAATTGTTTTAGGTCACTTCCTGTTTCACCGGAAATGACTACAACTTTTGATTTTTAAATGGCACCCCCGGTATATTCTTACTTTATTTGATAGAAAATTACATTCTGGATAGAATGACATATTAATATATTAAAAAATCGTATTTTAAATTTCAATCTAGGGTGTTAAAAACACTAATTTTTAATCAAGAAGCCTTGGAAAAACAGACTTGATCGTCTAATGATTTTCGTTTCTTGTTCTGGCCGGTTAAAAGATGCTCAAATCGTATTTTTAATCATATATCAATTTTTTCAAATGGAACAAGGGTGGCTCATTAACATATTTGGAAAAAGCATTTTTTTGCGAATAATTTGATACCACACACTTGGTATTTCGATTCAAATTGTCATTATAATCCACATGTTACAATTTCAAATCAACCAGATGCGAAAATGTCAAAAATTGACATATGATATGTCATTCTATTCAGAGTGTTATTTTCTATCGAATAATGTAAAAACATACCGACACGACGTGTCATTTAAAAATCAAAAGTTGTAGTCATTTCCGGTGAAACAGAAAGTGACCAAAAATAATTGAATACGTCAATAAATCCTAATTTATCTTATATACCAAATCTCGTTTTTTTTTACCTGAAAAAATAAAAAAGTTATAGGGGTGACCCACTTTTGAGACGCACCCGGTATACAGGAAGTTTGGAAACACCCTGTATAAGTTCCTAGCTATATTATTCTCATTTTTTTCCGTAAAATTAAAGTACATCTTTAATTGTCTGATCTCTCTTACTTCGTAGGAGGTGGATGGTGCACGAACAACCCTAAACAAATCGTTCTAGGAAGCAGTACTTGCCCGGTTTCAAAAATGGTGATTTGTAATGGGAGAATTCTGTGTGCCAGCGGGAACACGATATTCTTTCTAAACCCTCAAACCTACGAGAAAGAAAATTCTTTCGTGGTGGTCAGCACAGAATCTAACAGAGTACCCCAGAACCCACCCATCACTTGTATGTTCGTAAACGGAAACGCCCTGTGGGTATCTTTACAGAACTCCGCCATAGTCAAGTGTTTCAACGCTGTCACTTTTGAGATGGTATTCGAAACCAGCGTGGCTTCAGCTGTTCAGAAAATGCTAACAAGTACGTAGGTAATTTAGAAAAAGAATATTTTTTAATTTGTTCTTGCTAGGTTGTGATGATATAATTCGGCAACACAAGGCAGCTTGTTTGAGGGTAACAGCCCTGGTGCACTGCAAGGATCTCTTGTGGATCGGAACATCGGCGGGAGTGCTGTTAACCATGCCCTTACCGCACGTCACGCCGACCACAGGGAAACTAAACAGTATTCCTCCAGTGACGGGGATGTCACACGGGCACACAGGTCACGTCAGGATCTTGTCTTCTGTCGAACTACCACACCCGCTGCCGAAGAAATGCACGCCAAAAAAGTCGGCCAAAGTTAAACCCCAGGCGGAGCTGACTTCCGCAAATTCTACCAAGTTTTTAGTGATATCCGGTGGAGACGGTTACGAGGATTTCAGGACCTCGAACCTCTCCGAAGTGGCTGGTCGGGAAGACTCGACCAATCATCTAATCCTTTGGAACATTTGATTCATAAACAGCAGCATCCGATTCTATCAACCGATTTTCGTGAAGGAAACGTTAATTTAGAAAAAAACGTGACAAAAAGTATTGATCTCATAGATTCTTCGTGTCTAACGTAATTTATATATCATAACTGATAGCTGTCAACAATTTAATATTAGGCAAAGCCGATCAGTCAAAAAATATCAAGGCTTTCCTTAAAGTTATCAAAAATATTGTTGATTTTTTTTTACTTTATTAGTTCATCACTGCTCTTCATAGAGGGAGAGCAAAATATGTGCTTGTACAGGGTTATTCATTATATATTGACCATAATTGTTATATGTAAGTGTTCGGGGAGCTACTAATTTTATATAAAGGCCACTGCAACAGATTTTTGTCGCGCCTTTGGACTATTATCAATAAATACATAGTCAATAACGCACCGTATCAATGTAAAGAAGCGCCTAAAAATCAGATCAATCAGGGTTGAATCGATATATCATACTAAGCTTCGAGATAGACGAAGTCACTATCATCTCTCCTCGGGGTTTATTTATTTATAATTAATTTTATAATATAGAAAAAAAAACTAATATTTAAACAAATGTTTAATAATGATATTTAATATATCACCACCATATAAAATTAAAAAATAAATAATTTGTAATAAATCCGTCTTTTTATTATTACCCCCTTATATTCTCGTTCTTCCTTTAGAAGATACAAGACGATGTAGTTGGTGAGAAAGATCCTAGTAAGAAGGAGAAAGACTCAATAAATAAATAATAAAACTATAAACATTTATATATAATATTTTATTATATCCAGCACCCCAAAAAAAGATTAACAATAAAAATATATTTTAAGGTATTTTCTTTAGAAATAAAAGAGAAGATTCTCAAAGATACTAAGACTACAACATCTAAATACATAATCAAAGAAAAATAGAAAAAAAATTATATAATGAAAAAGATAAAAAAGTGTCGACACCAAACTTCTCAAAAAACTACTCTGATTTTACAAGTTGTATGTAATATTATAATATTGTTTAATGAGGTAGTCAATCTAAATTAATGAACACATTTATATAAAAAGAACTCAACTTTTATTTTTTTATATTTCATTCAATGCTTTTAAGTGATTGTATGTATAACACGACTATCTGTTTCTTCCTGATTTTCCTCCTTATAGCTCTTTCTATTTTTAATTATTATAACTGCGGTTGAACCTAAGAGAACGGCACCGCCAGTAGCGTACGTCATAACATCTCTGTAATAATTTATATTCGTCTTACTCCCGTGAAAATACTGTATGAGCTCGATAGCAATTCCATTTGTAAGCTTATCCAGAAAACTCATAATTCCGTAGATAAAAGCTCCGCTGTTTGTCTTGGTCCCGATTAAATCAGTGGTTATATCCAAGCTTGAAATCATCACAATCGCTGTACCAGATCCCAGCAATGCTACCACTACAAATATCAAGTAAGTTACGTAGATATCTCCATAACCCCAATGAATCCAAATGCAACCTACTATACCCAGCACAGCTCCTAATATATAAGTGACTTTCCTGCCAACATGTTTGGTAATCATTCCAACAGGTATTGCAGCGATGAAGCTAGCAATGTACATAGCTAACGGCACTAGAGCCAAAGCACTTGCCACCATACCAAGCGTTTCTACAAGGTACAAGCTTAAAAATACCTGGGTTAGATTAAGAAAAAGTCTGGACGACATGTAAACAACTCCGACTAAATATAAATTAACGTTTTTAAATATGTCCATTGTTTTGGATTTTTTCATGGATTCTTCACTAAGAGCAGTGTTCTTTTGGATTTTCAGTTCTCTAATGTTCAGGAAGAATATAATGGAGCACACGATGCCAAAGCACATAACTGACCAGACTATAACTCTAAATTTCCCGATATCATCTGGACTGATTGTAGATTCGGTGCCTTCAGTAACCCTCAGCACTCCCCAAGCAACCAAGTATACAAATATACTTGCAAATACTGTAGCTCCGTTTCGTATAGCTGCCAGTTTTGTTCTCTGGTTCTCTCTGGGAGTTATTTCCGGAATTAGTGCCATGTGGGATATTTGGACTGCAGCCCAGCCAAATTGGAAAATGATGATGAAAATCGAGTAATATACCATGTGTACCACTGTGGCTGTCTGAGTTCGGCATCCAACGCATGGTGAAAATATAAAAGGGAACGTAACTATGACGCATATCGTTCCAATGAAGTACCAGATTTTCCGTTTTCCAAAACGATAGAAGAAGCAATCGTAGTCTTTGTCAGAATGGTAACCTACGAAAGGAGTGGCAACAGCATCTGCTACTTGCCCGATCAGAAGTAGTACGCCAGCTTGATTGTTACTGAATTTTAGAACCTGAAAACATATAACTGCCTTTTAGCTTCGGTTTAAGAAAACATAATGGACATGGTCGCTCTCTCTCTCTCTCTCTAACCGAAACGTTGTGTAAGCACAATAAATCCAAAATTCATTTAGTTTAAATATGTCTAGTGGGCAGATTCTAGAAATTGGATTTTATTTGATGACAGAGAGTATCCAGGTCCATTATATTCTTTTCTAGATGACTTTATCTGTCCAAGGCACACGTCCATGTTTCCTATAATGTCTTACCAATTGGAAATAAACTAATAAATAGCTAAACCATATGGCCGCACACACATCATTTAAAACATGGCCCATTCCATAAGCAAAATAAATCTTTAAAGGGAGTTTCTTTCGAACGGTAAAAACAATTTCGTTGAGTTTCTCCTTCGAACTCATTTTGAGAGTTTGGTGTTTTCTTTTACTTTTCTATAGGTCACTCAACTGATTATAGTTATTTAGATAATGCAATATTGTATCTTTGCTAATCCGAGTTTAGATTTTAGTTCCCTCTAACATCGATAACAACAACAAAGAGAACAACAAAGTTTGAAACCGTCCAATGTTACTAAGAAGTATAGAGTTTCTGGTCGCATTGATATGAAATTTTTCGATAATCCTAAAAGAATACAAAAAAAAACATTACAAAGTTTGAAAAAAAAAATCAAGATCTACTATGAAACAAAAATGGGTTTTAATAATATTTGTGGAAATAAACTAATGATTTCGATATTTTTACGCAAGAATGACACGGACTTAATAGAGAAGTTTCCAACAAATTTGCGAAACAAACAAAAACAAATACTACACTCGTTATCTTTCTATGAGTATGTAGCACTTTTTTTCCAATTACGACACTATCTCAAGTATTAATCAGGATCCTAACTATAAAAAAATTGATTCTGATTTGTTATTGAGACGATGTGTAAATATTTTAAATCCTCAAAACTCAATGACCTACTTCGTCATCATACAATAAGATCCTTTTAATTTACCAAACTATTAACAAGTATACTTAAAATTAATTAATGTAATGATATATGGAAGGGTAACTTTAACTTTATCAAGTTTGTGGATATATGTTCAAAATATTCAAAAATACACATTTTTGTTTGATAGTTGATCTTTCGTCACTTTACATATTGAAAAGCCAATTTTTATCCGTTCTTACCAGTAATTTAAATAGAAAAATCATTTTGGGATCTGATCAAAATCTGTATCAAACTAAACTCACGAAATATTGAAGCAAACTTTTGAATTTTATAAAAAAAAGTACTTGTACATATTCTTATCAAATTATGAGGTTCTCACAAAAAAAAATATAATAATTAAGCACGACTGTTTTTAAGATTAAATAAGAATAAAAGGTAATTTAATGAAAGTTTGTCATATTTATATATTTCACTCATTTTTTTCTACTAAAAAAGTATGTTAACTTGACATCTTATCAAACGAGCAAATACTCTTAAGGAACAATCAAAAAAATATATTTTTTTACCTTAGCAATTTCACAGAAAAAAAAACTTATTGTACGTATCGCACAGGAAAAAAACGAAAATCTGTCCACATTGTGGAGAACTATGTTTGATTTTTTTGCAATTGTGTGTTGTAACTTTTCTCGTATCAAAGAATGTTTTTTTTTTATCAATTGAAACAAAGTCGATTGTATTTTCCTGACTTCGATAGTCATTGGCCGCCTAATTATCTCTAATAATTTCGAACAATAGCGCTTTTGGTTTTTCTACTTTTTAAAGAATATTTACGTCCAAATTACGCGTTGGAGCACGTACTTATTGTTGTTACCTTTTGTAAACATATTTCGAGTTTTCTATATACTTTATATTTTTAATAATATAATAAACAATTATTTACCTGACATTTAGCAAAAATATCAACAATTATACAAAACCACTGTATTTAACTGAACAACAGGATAGCACTGTCGCACGTTCCAATATTAAAAACAAATTAAATCTAAAAAATGTTTCAGATAATTTCAAGAAAAATGTCAATTATTTGATAAGTTTTTGATTTAACTCCTCTTTAGAAATTATGAAAACGATCCAAGCTGATATGATACGCGACTAAAACTGATACCTATAATGCAAAATGCAGATTTGTTAAAAGCTACTCAAAGTGACAAATATAGATAAATAAACGGAAATCTCAGAGAAATTTAAATTGTACTTACGATTTGTGTAATATTTTCCTATCCTATTTCCTTAATAAAAATCTAACCTTACGAACGAGTCGCTTATGGGATTTTTCATAAAATTAAAAATAAATTAAATTTTTCCAATTTTTTTTTATCTCAAAAACTGCGACTTTGACTGATTTTGATGTTATTACAAATTTTGTTGCAAATATTATTCCTAATCTTAAATTGAAAACCGCGTTTCGCTAGCTACTGTAATTTTGGAGTTAGGATTTTTTTAAATTTTAACTCCCTCCCATACCCCCTTGCCAACCCCCCACCCCCCAACAAAAAACTAAAGGCCAGATTCTCGGGTGCCACAGTATTTTTGTGCCAAATTTGGTTAAAATCGGTTTAGCGGTTTTTCAGTTATCGTGTTACAGACGGATAGACAGACAGACACCATGAAAATACACACACCGGAAAAATCTAGGGATATCATTTTATTAAAGTTAAAAATAAATGTTTTGAATAAACAACCACATATTTGTAGGCCGATTCTTTCTACTTCGATTGAAACGAAGTAGTCACACTAGTTATTTCTAAATTTGGGATATTTGCAGAAGTGTTTGTGCATTTTTTGTCAAATGTATAAAAAAGCACCAAGCATCAGTTGTTCGAATTTAACCTGTACTGGCTATGTTTTTGTGATAACTGGCCAGAATTCATTCAAATAACTCTGTTTAGTATTAAACGACATTATGGAGCGTAGATATCTTAACAGAGACGAAATGCCATGGTCATGGGTATGCTCGAAGCTGGAATGCGCCAAATCGACGTAGCTAGAGCATTAAATACAACGCAAAGTGTAATACCGCGATTAAGTGCACGCTACCGTGAAAGTGGTGATGTTGGTGAAAGGCACACAGGGCGACATCGCATTGCTACCCCTCAGCAAGATCATTTTTTACAATTAAATGCTCGACGCCGACCGACTCTTACAGCACCAGAGCTTAGTTTAATTCTCCAGGAAACACATAATGTAACCGTTAGTCCTGACACTGTTCGCAATAGATTAAGACAGGTCAACTTAAGAAGCAAACGCCCCTGGAGAGCTCAACCCTTAACGAGAGGAAATCGAGAGGTACGATATTTGTGGGCTCAAGATCATGTTCAGTGGTCGAATGAACAATGGGCCAATGTTCTCTTCACGGATGAGTCACGCTTTGGAATCCATCCGGATTCGAGAAGGCTTAGGGTATGTAGAGAACCGGGAAATCTTATTCGGTTGGATCATGTTCAGGAAGTGCACCCTTATCAAGGTGGAACAGTTATGGTCTGGGGAGGTTTCTGAAAGGTTTCTAACAGGAATCACATATCGTGATTTAATTCTTGAGCCTGTCGTGTTACCATATGCCAATGATTTTGGGAGAAATTTCATTCTCATGCATGAGAATGCACGGCCTCATACAGCCAGAGTGGTAAGTGAGTTTATCAATGCTCATCAATTAAACATCTTACCCTGGCCGGCACAATCTCCTGACCTCAACCCCCCCGAGCACGTATGGGACGCTGTCCAAAGAAGAATTTTGAGAATGGGTATGCCTCGTGAAACTCGTAGGGATCTGGTTCGGGCCGTGAATGCAGCGTGGCAGGCTGTACCTCAAGAAGAGATCGACAACCTGATCAGAAGCATGGAGAGACGATGTAGGGCTGTAATGAACAGTAGAGGAGGCCATATCCTTTATTAAGTAAAATGGTTTTATCTTTTTTTTAATTCACAGTTTAGAATAAAAAAAAATGTGTGTATTTTTTTGAGTTCAATATAAATCAAGGTAAATTTGAAAGAATCGGTAAATTTCGCATTTTTATTTCCAATACGTCCTGTAAACTATTTGTTTATTTTAATTTGATTATTAAAAAAGTAGAAAAAAGACTCAAAGTCTCGGCTCTTTTTTCTACTTTTTTAATTTGAACCAGGTCTCTTTGAGAAAAATGGATGCCTTCTTTTAATTTAATTATATCAGAACTGCAAATAATAAAATTACTGACGATGGCTGGATAAAATTGTAATATCCCTAGACTTTTCCGGTGTGTGTATTTTGTATTTAGGTCATTTATGACCCAAATAACTCATTTTGAGTGAATTTAAAAAAACTTTTTTTTGCCGATCTTAACAGCCTACCATACCTGTTGGTATGGTCGGATAAAAAAAAACACCAAAATATATTAATTCATTTATTGGCTTATCTAATATAGTATAATAATAACAATAATAATAATCACTTTTATATAAAATACGGCTGAATTAATTCTCGTCACTAAATCACAGTTGAATACTATTTAAATACAAAACATAATTATTTTTGTTGGACAAAACATAAGGATATGTTTAACCCATAGACTTAAAATAAAATATAGACTACACTATTTACATCTCAACGCGGTCAAACAAGCTTTTTTGTACACATGTTTACTTCTGGGTACGGTCGACCGAGCCTTCCTCATCCAGCCTATGTTGTCACGTCTTTAATATTATCAATATTTTTTTTTCTTGTTATACACATATATTGAGATATTAATACTACAGTTTAATAAAGTAGGTTTTAATATTCCATAGATGTATTAAATAGTCCTTATACTACTAAATTATAAGTCGGATACTGTTTAAAAAGGATAAGTTCTTTACAACATGACAACACCGATTAGAGGCGAGGGAGCCTATTCATTCATTTATTACCTTGTAATACGTGTCGCACGTGTGCGGTAACGCTTTGTTGCCGCTATGTCCCCGGCTGTATTAACGCATTTTCTTAGCTTGTAGTCCTTAAGTGTTTATTTTATTGACTTTTTCTGTTCAAGAACTATAAAATATGGTTCGCCAGTGCCAAATTTGCAAGAAATTTGACTTAAATAATCCATTTAAGTCTTGAAACGACTTTTGACCGGTAGGCAACTCTCAATTTACCCATTGGGAGTCAGTGGCGTTGTTGTAGAAAGGCGCTTATTTAGATAATATTTTAGTAAAATGTAAAATCTGAATTTTTTCTCTTACATTATTTACTTACTTACATTGTAACAAAATCATAATTATAACCCTGTTAATAATTAATAATGTTTTTATTAAAAATATATTCCGGTTTATTCTAAAATTATCTTCAGAATCTAAAATAACATACAAGAATTTTAAAATGATATTACATTATGAAACAATATTTTTTAATATACCGGGTCGTCTCAAAAGTGGCTCACCCCTATAATTTTTTATTTTTTCAGATAAAAAAAACAGATTTGTATGTTAGTAGGTATATGACATAAATTAGGATTTATTGACGTATTCAATTGTTTATGGTCTCTTCCTGTTTCACCGAAATGATTACATCTTTTGATTTTTAAAGGCACCCTCGGTATATTGCTACTTTATTCGATAAAAAATGACACTCTGAATAGAATGTCATATCATATGTCAACTTTTCAATTTCAATCCAGGGTACCATGGTGTTGTTAAAAACACTAAGTTTTAATCAAGGAGCCTTGGAAAAATAGTTTTGATCGTCTAATAGGTTTCGTGTCTTGTCTAGGCCGGTTAAAAGATGTACAAATCGTATGTTTAATCATACATATGTCAATTTTTTCAAATGGAACAAGGGTGACTCATTAGCATATTTGGAAAAAGCATTTTTTATGAATATATTGATACCACACACTTGGTATTTCGAGTCAAATTGTCGTTATGAACCGCGTGTTACAATTACAATTAAACCATATGCGAAAATGTCAAAAGTTGACATATGATATGTCATTCTATTCAGAGTGTCATTTTCTATCGAATAAAGTAGAAATATACCGAGGGTGCCGTTTAAAAATTAAAAGTTATAGTCATTTCCGGTGAAACAGGAAGTGACCAAAACAATTGAATGCGTCAATCAATCCTAATTTATGTCATATACTAACATACTAAATCTTGTTTTTTTATTTGAAAATATAAAAAAATTATGGGGATGAGCCACTTTTGGTTGGTAAAAAACCTGTCCTAAATCTTAATAAAATATAAAAAAAGTTTAAATACGATATATTTTTAATTTAATTATAGCTTCATTAAAATAAAAAAATTACCCGGCTATGATACGGAGAGTTCAGGTGTACTTGAGAAACGAAAGACAGTGTTGTGTTTCTCGGCAGAGTCGTCAGGGAACGACCGTTACGACAGAGACAACCTATCTATCGCTCGTGTCGCACTCGTTATAACCTAAAACAATAACACAACAATAACAAGACATTGTCTGACCGCATGTTACAGCTATTTATGAATGAGATGCTCAGTCTATATTTTATTTTAAGTCTATGGTTTAACCCTTTCTATATACTGTAAATTATCTATTATCAACAATATTCATCGGTTCCTGAATATCCGAGGGGATATGCATATAACCCTTAGGTTTCCTTTTCACGTAAAAATATATTAAAAATACAAATACTAAAGAAAGGCAAACTATAACGAATAAAAATATATTATAATACCATTTGGTAGACAATACTTCTGACATCATACTTATAGGGTAGCAATAGTTTTCCAAAACGGAAGGACTATACAGTTCAGCATCTGGATAGCATTCAGTGCATTGATAGTCTAGAGATCCAGAGCACGCTCTACAAGAATAGTGGCACGGGACACACTTGCCTTTGGACAGTAAGGCATTTTTTTCGCTGTTGACATTCAAGTCGTTTGCACTATCGTACAACCCTTCAGGACAACGCTTTAAACATGTTCCATTATGGAGTACGAAATTTGGAAAACATTCTAAAAATAAGAACGTCCCAATTAATGTACTGAACACCCAGTATAGTGCAGATATTATAAAATGAAAATAATAATAATCTGACAACAATTTATCGCGACATATTGACATAGCAGGAAGTCAAGATCATCAAAGTGTTCATAATTGTGTTTACTGATTTAAAACAAATTAATCTTGAAATTGTGTGAGATAAAAGAAGTGAAATTAGAGTTTGTTAGTGTATAACTATCTCATTATTGATATTATTAAATGCGTTGAAGCAGAATAATTAATTATAGCAATATGTACAAGTTATGCACTGTCTAATAACATTAATTTTCTTCCCACCTATGCCAAGTGAAGATCTGATTTGTTAGAATGTTCTTACCTTCTTGATTAAGTGTTAAGTCACTTTTCATAGGTCAAATTATAGTGTCCAATCTATCCAAAGCAACTAGACTCAATACACTTAAGAATGTATACACACTCATTTTTCAACACTATAAAAATAAAAACGACATAGATTTTTTTCAATAAGAAAGGTGAGAGGGATAAGAATGCCTACAGTAAAACATATCACAAGTTTAATCAATATATTTGTATATTATGACCGAAAATGATTACACTATCACATTCACACTTTGAGCCAAAGTTTCAGCTTTATATATTGAGAAATATAACCCACAATATTTTGCAGATCAACTCATGACATGCCAATTTCTAATCAGTATAGTAATGCCATTGTATAATGCTTTGAAATATGTCAATTCTTTTTTTAGCGGGTTATTTTTGAGAAGGGTTATATTTCCTTTACATCACTAACATAAGAACAACATAATAATGCTTAATATTTTAATTTTGATTTTTTTCAGTATCTTAATGAATCTAATAAAATATACCTGTAATCATAGGCGCCGACTACGGAAGGGCTAAGACTTCCTCCCCTGTATAAAATTAACTGTTCGAGACTTAAAAGAAATAAATAATATCGTAATGTTTTCGTTATTTTTCGAGATCCCACCCCCAATATAATTTGAAAATACGGCGCCTATGCCTGTTATAATTCAAACAATGGCATAAGAAGCTCTTGATTTGGGTGTTAAAAAGAGTTTCAACGTTTCTGTATCTATTGTATTCATAAAATATAAGAGAAAAATGACTTGAGGAAGACTTACTGACGGAGGAATCAATTTTTATAATCGAAAAAATTTGTACAGGGTGGGTCAAATTCGACGCTTTTATATGGAAACACCCTTTTCTATAGGAGATACGAGGAGATACCGTTTCGGAGTTACGGGGTGTTTTTCAAAAATGTGCATTTTTAACAAATCGCTGTAACTTTTTTGCTATGGAAAATTTTGTATTTCTATGCAAACATTTCCTAAGCACCTTTTTACGTAGAATTTAATGGTTTAAGTATATTTTTTTTTAAATTAATAATTTAAGAGTTATCAACAAAGAAATTGATTTTTTATTTGGGACACCCTCTATATTTTTAATTAACTGAAAAGAATTTAAAATTACCTTTCCAAAAATATAGCACACTTGATATTTTGTTATAATCCCCTTCGAAATACAGAATTTTTAAAAGTTCGCCACTTTTAACTAGTAGGCTTTGGACCCCTTATTGATGATATCCCTTAATGGAACTCGAAAACATATTTTTCCAGCAAGACGACGCACCGCCTCTGAACGCTGAAGTTATCAGCAAATTTTTGCATCCAATTTCAAGAATAATTGAATAGCTAACCAAGATTCCAGCCGTTGGCCGTCGAGGCCGCCTGACTTAGTGCCCATGGATCTAATCCTATGGATATATTTGCGGAAAAATAAAGGTTTCTTATTCTTCCATATAATCTAGAGAAGAATTAGAAATACTTAGCAGTTATGAGAGGGTATCTTTCGCCCCTACTGAGTTAATGAATTCCGCGAGAAATGTTCAAAAACTGCCCCGTCTGTCTATAAAAGAAGATCCAGGTCGATATGTCGAACACCTGTAGCAAAGTCTTATGTCTTGGTTTGCTATTTATTTTTATTGTTATTAGATATAGTTTAAATGTGTTGATGTTGGTTAAATATATTTTAAATAGTTATAAAATTCTGCATCTCTCATAGCAAATATTATTTTCGTTTTAATTGATGCTCACAGCTAGATTTTTTTGCCGGTTTACAGCCGGTGCCGTTCAAAGCCTACTCATTTAAAGCGGGCGAATTTTTATATACTCTATATCTCAAAGAGGAATCGAGCAAAATATCAAGTATGTTATATTTTTGGAAACGTAATTTTACATTCTTTTTAATAAATTAAAAATATACAGGGTGTCCTATATAAAAAATCAAATTTTCTGTTGATAATTCTTAAATTATTAATTTTAGAAAAATTATACTTAAACCAATAAATTCTACGTAAAAAGGTGCTTTGGAAATGTTTTTATAAAAATACAAAATTTTCCATAGCAAAAAGTTACAACGATTTGTTAAAAGTGCTTATTTTTGAAAAACACCCCGTAACTCCGAAACGGTAACAGATATCGATATGCGGTTTTCACCATCATGTTTTTGACAAAAATTGAGCTCCAGACACCGATATTAGTTTTCGTCTATCTCCTCTAGAAAAGGGTGTTTCCATTTAAAAGCGTCGAATTTGACCCACCCTGTACTTTCAAAGATGTAGAGTTATTAGATTTGTTTCGGTGGCAATAAAAGTGCCTAATATTCTCTTTTTCTGCTTATATTGATGAGTACCATGAGACCATGGTTGAAACTCTCGATTGCGAGATGTCTTGTATGTCTTTTAAAAAAATTGAAATTTGTAAATAAAAAAATGACTAGAACATTTGTGAGTTAGATAATCTGTGCAGAAACAACAGTGGCACTTGTTCAAATAAAAATTAAAAATATCAATGTCAGGATACATATACATAGCACACACCCCATTATTTAAAACATTTACATAGCTTTGTAAATTTAACACTAAAAATTGATTTAAATCCTTAAAAAGTAATGGTTAACATAGGTTCAGGAACTACAATTTAATATATTAACATAAAATAAAACCGAGTCTTTTAAATAGTATATATACATTCATAAATAATCACAGTAAATATCTATTAACTTCACCTTAAATCGATTTATTCCACAATTACACAGTAAAATGGTAGTTATTCGTCTCTGAATTTATTGGTACACGAGTAATTGCACTTAAAAACGATTATTTACCTAAGTCGATTATGATTTTTTTTTTGTATTATCTCTCGTTACACAGTAACCTATAAAAACGTTACTTACAGATAGTCTCTCTATCCACTAAATTTGGCACATTTATCTTATTTGCTTCTAACAAACAGGGCTTGTCAAAAAAATTCAAACGCCTCATTCTAAGCATTCGTAATAAGCCTAAATCAAAGGTTCATAAAAATAAATACTGACGTGCTTATTAACTTGTACCTATGTAACTGTGTAAAATTTTGACACCTTTTCAACCTTACAGAAATAAATTACAACTATTTTTTGGAATTTTAAAAATACTGTCTGTTTGTATAACGCGTTTTTTTTTCCTAAAAATATCTCAAATAAAACACCAAACTACTAGAACTAAACAAAATAAATTTAATTGGTCGATTAAAAATTAATACCCTGTATAAGGTTGGTGATGATTAATTTTGATATTTCTATTATTTTTATTAATTTCTTATTTTTTTTCTACTAGGTTGTTTTACTGAAGATATTCTCCGAAAAGAAATACAATGGAATTTTGTTTTCCAATTAAATAATTACTTAAACTTATACCAAAACCTTTATTTACCTACACCCCTTAAAAATAATATTTTTAATTTAAATAAAATATAAATATAGTTACAAATACTAGAAAAGCTAATCACTAAATTAAAATTATATTTTGAAGATATTTATTTATGTTTTACTGTAGGTGCTATAAACGTTTAAATTCCTAAACAAGGTATCTATTTTTAAAAACAATTAACAAATACTTTAAATTATTTATATTTACAGGGTTGTTCACCACATACGACACGGAGTATTGTAGCTAAACGATTAGATTTTTACAAATTGTAAGTTTGGGGTTCGTTGAAGGACTATTAGAGATACAATTTAAAAATATTTTTACAAGATACAAAATGTCCCAAATAAATAAAAAATATCAAAGTTGTATTTTTTTAAATGGAACACCCTGTATATTATTACATTTTTAGTTTCTACGATTAAAATAAAGGTAAATTTGATTAAGGTTTATTATACTTAAACCTTACCGTTTTTGAAATATTTTCAATTTTGTGAAATTGCAGTAAAAATTTTAAGGCTTCATTTCTCCAAGGGTATCAAAGTTTTTAACACTAAATATTTACTGAAGTTTATTTACTAATCAGTTATTGTGTTACAATAATAAAAATAATACTACCTTATACAGAGTGTCTAAAAATTTATTTTAAATAATTATTAGCTTCAAACGGCAATAACTTCTTTAATTTAAATGGAATGCCCTGTATATTTTACGAGAATCAGATGCACAATTTAATTGTCTGTCAAATTATATTATACCATTTTTTACCTATCTCTTTAAGTTTCCGTAGAAAATGCATTTTCTTGTAATTTAGAACTTATTTATCAATATACCCATGGATTATTGACATTTTAGATTATTTTTAAAGATGTACCAAATTTTTAAAGAGTACAAATATTAATATTGTCGATATAATTCGTTTATTTCATTAAAAAATAAAAAAAAACTGTTTAAATATTTGTTAAAGAGGATCAGTTAATATGATTCCAGTATTCAAACAACATTAACTGACTGTTTGCTTTGATTAATAATAATTGCTCCAAATACTAAAAAACTGAATTTTGTATGGGCATTAGACAGTGTGATAAAAAGTAACACCTTAAAAATGATATTTCATTTTTTAATAAATGCTTATTTATAACTACAGAGACTTTAATTTGATAACTTATTATTATATTGATTTCTGACTCAAATCCACATTTATTTATAATAATTTAATAACGAACACAATTAAGTATGTAATTAATTAGTATATGGGCGCAAATAATGGTGTTATATTTAATTAATGGTATACTCTTTTATAAAGATTTAAATAGTTTTCTTTTTGCATACAAATGGGCTAGTAATATTATCGTTTTGCTAAAAACGATAATATTACTAGTCTGTACATTTTGTACATTTGTTGCTTTAAAAACAATCTAAAATGTCAATATTCCATTGATATATTGATAAATGAGGTCTAAATTATAAGAAAATGCATTTTATACGAAAACTTGAAGGGATAGGTAAAAAATGGTATAATACAATTTGATAGACAATTTAATTGTGCATCTGATTCTCCTAAAATATACAGGGCATTCCATTTAAAATAAAGAAGTTATTGCCGTTTGAAGCTAATAATTATTTAAAATAAATTTTTAGACACTCTGTATAAGGTAGTATTATTTTTATTATTGCAACACAATAACTGATCAATAAATAAACTTCAGTAAATATTTAGTATTAAAACTGTGATACCCTTGGAGAAATGAAGCCTTAAAATTTTTACTGCAATTTCACAAAATTGAAAATATTTCAAAAACGGTAATGTTTAAGTATAATAAACCTTAATCAAATTTACCTTTATTTTAATCGTAGAAACTAAAAATGTAATAATATACAGGGTGTTCCATTTAAAAAAATACAACTTTGATATTTTTTACTTATTTGGGACACTCTGTATCTTGTAAAATTATTTTTAAATTGTACCTCTAATAGTCCTTCAACGAACCCCAAACTTACAATTTGTAAAAATCTCATCGTTTAGCTACAATACTCTGTGTCGTATGTGGTGAACAACCCTGTATTTATATCGCCAATTATTTAATTAATATTTGTTGTAATGCAAAGGTTGCATAAATTTCGTCGTCACTTTATAAACATAATAGCGATAAGCTTATTTTTGTTGATATAAAATTCATTTGTACTAAAGTATTTTGATAACACAAAAAAATTGTAAGAAGCTCAAATAAAAATAGTTTACCGACAAAACACTTCTTATTTACAAAAATAAACGTATTTATATTCAAAATATATTATAAAGATTAGTTGAAGCATATGAAAAATAAATAAAATCATATCAGGTACTTTATTAACTTAGTTATAAAACACACTGTATGTGTTTAGAATATCTGACAAGAGTCAGCTGAGAGTTCAAACAGATACGAAAATATTTTTATCTGAGTAGCTTGTTCAGAATTTATAGATTGGTATGAAATTTAAAAAATGTTATTTAAAAAGTATGCTTAAATGAGGCTTAATTTTTTTGACGGCATGTTAGTCGATTGGTGTTCTTTGAGGAAACTAAATTGCTGTTAAAGCTAATACGAAGCATATTACTGTCTAGGTGACTGTAATTGAAAATCAAAAAATCTTCAAAAAACACTCACCTCTTTAAGTAGAAAAAGTGATACATTTTAAGTTAACGATGGCAGTGAAACATTCATAATTTCCCTTTCGTTTTGTTATAATACTATCGAAGAAATAACAGAAATGATATTATTTTAATATAAAATAAAATTTAGTAACATGTAACAAAAATTAAGTAACCAACTATCCTTGTTCAGGTACAGCATTTAATAAAAATTAAAATCTTTGTGTTAAGTTAGCAAACAGTCCCTTTCTTATAGTGATTTATTTCGCCAAATACAGATTCTTTTTCTATCGTTTAATTTGAGCAGGAAGCCAAATGTTAAATTACTTAAAATCGATCTATGGTAAAATTCCAGCCTCGCATTGGATTTCTAAGAAGAGCTCTAAGAAAGAGGCTGTTCATTTGTGCGCTTTTTTTAATTCTACATACCAGCATGTCTATATACAAATAAATTAAAATAATATACAACAATTAAACAAAAAAAAATATTTACGTGTGAAATGGCTGTGATGATAATTTTATCAATTTAATTACAGATTTACGAAGATACCTACAAGGAGCTCTGATAGCAGCAATAGCTACATGTAGCTTACAATAAAATGACACTAGAAGCCTTCTTCGTCTGTGAAAATTGTTGTCAGAATATTGTTCTAGTTCATGAATCTCATCGGATACGAATTTGTGAATCTCAAACGGTTTTCTCAGAGTATATAATGATAAGTACTTCAAAATGAGAATTAGTAAAGTAATGAGTATTAGTAATACATCGATACAACTATGATATAGAGATGAATCCAAAAACGTTATGAAAATAAAGCATAACAAACCTAAACAAAAACTGCGGCTGAAGCTTATGCAACTGGCTGTGCTGTTTTCCGTCCCTTCAACTTCTAGCGTGTCCTTCTTGTTCTACGAATACAATTATGTGGTTAGTTAAAAAAATTCTTGCACCTCAAAAATCGGATGTCGCGTGACGTCAGCACTAGTAGGGCGTCGATGACCACTAGTGATGATATCGCGCAAAATACCTTTACGTACGGGGGGTAAGCCCATTTCACTTACCGGATCGTTGTTCATTGTCCAGCTGGAAGATGGCTCTATCGAATTGTCCCACACTTCTGCATTTGTCTCGGGAAATGCCGATTCACCTCGATATTTTTCGTCGTAAGCTGGAGGCGTATTAGTTCCATATAACGTCAAATTCCAAACGCTAATATCAGCTAAAAACGTAATACGTTAAGTTAGATTCTGTTATTTCTAACATCTCAGTTAAAGACCAGTATATCTATAACTAGAAATTCATTGTAATTGCTTGTACTTTTTTCAGAAAATGTCTTCTATTGAGGAACAAAAATATAATTTCTTTTTTGTTCTGTGTTGTACAGGGTGGTCGAAATTAGTCTGTTTTAACAGAGAGAACCTGACTAGATAGAGCCTGACTAGATAGAGCAAAACCGACATGGATGTCATGGGCTAAACCGCTTGTTGATATTTTCACTGCCAACAGAGATACGGGGTCTTTTTGAATTTTTTACCATTTTGAAAATTGCCCATAACTTTTTTATTTCGCGGAATTATAAAATTCTGTAAAAACGTTGTTAAGGTACTTTTTTAAGCACAATCCAGTGGCGTAGTCAGTTTTTTTCTATGCTTGCTCTTTTTGTCAGAAATAATAAAAAATATAATTTTTTAAATGGAAATCGTAGTTGGCTATGAACTTAAAAAAATGCTGGCGTTTAACCCTTTCCAACGATATAAAGTTATGGGTATCTATTTCTAAGAATGAGAGAAATATGAGGGTTTTTATCTTTATATCGAAGCGGGCTTTGATTTCGAGTTGACCTATTTGCTTAATTATTTTTTTATCACAATTTAATCTATATTATTATTTATCTGCACAATTAAAGACTTTTGAAAAGGTAAATTAACATTCTATTATTATTAGTATTAGTAATTACAACTGAAATCGATACAATATCTAATATTTCTCTCATTCTTAGAAATAAATACACATAACTTTATATCGCTGGAAAGGGTTAAACGCCAGCAGTTTTTTAAGTTCATAGCCAACTATGATTTCCATTTAAAAAATTATATTTTTTATTATTTCTGACAAAAAGAGCATGTATAGAAAAAAACTGACTACGCCACTGGATTGTGCTTAAAAAATTGCCTTAAGAACGTTTTTACAGAATTTTATTATTCCACGAAATACAAAAGTTATGGGCAATTTTCCAAATGGTAAAAAATTCAAAAAGACCCCGTATCTCAGATGGCAGTGAAAATATCAACAGGCGGTTTACGCCATTAAACGTGTCTCAGAAATCGAACCCATGACATCTATGTCGGTTTTGCTCTATCTAGTCAGGAAATAGGTTTTCTCTGTTAAAACAGACCAATTTCGACCACCCTATACAAAAAAACAACAAACCTGTAGTAACAAAGTACCCTGCTAGAATTAGTAGATTTTAACTAAGAAGATTATAAAAAACCAGGAAGAACAATTGAACAGCTAGTAATAGATATACCATGGAAATAAAAAAAATTACAGGCAATAAAAAAATCTACAGGCAATAAAAATAAAACTCTATAAAGTTCTGTCTACCGTAAAAATATTAATTGGACATAATAACTAAGAGTACCAAGATTCTGTATTTTATTTATATTGGTTTAATAAGAAATGACGTCTTGGTACCCTTAGAAACTGAAACAACTACAAAGCAAAGCAAAAAATAAGACAACTACCCATACAGACAAATTACCCTTTTTTAACTCATTGCTGGCTGGGTTTTCCGTCGTTTTCATTGCGAACATTTTCGTATTATGATTGAAGTTGATATCGCGACTTTTCTCCTTTAACTTTTGACTTTTCTTGTAGTTTTTCTTATCAACCACGACATCAGTAGAAGGGATCATAACGGGATATGTAATTGTAACGTTTTTCACGAACGACAAGTAGTGTTTTACCACGCTGTCGTCTATCCGGACCTTGTTATTCGAAATTGCGTAAAAAGGTTGCGAGAAATCCGTAGTGGTCGTACTGGTAATCGTCGAAGAAGCTGATAATTTTTTATTTCGCGCTATACTTAACGTGGTAGTGCTTAAAGCGTTTGCAGCTGGTTCTTTTGAGTGAGGAAACACTACCTTCACTTTCGTTTTGGGGCCTTTCGTGCTAAACGAATACGGTTTTTGGTTTTTGAATTTCTGCAATATTTTTTGCTTTGACTTATTCTTTTTGAAGCCCCGAAAAAGTTTAAACTTGTTAGTCGATTTGGAAATGTTAGAGTCGTTAGTGTTAGTATCAGGCAAAGACAGGAAATGTTTCGATCCGTACAAGACTAATGACCAGTTCTGAAGAGTAGCTCTTCCTGAAAACCAATAGGGAATTGTTAGTTGAAATCAAATTAGAGAGGGTTAAGGTTCAAATCAACAATCAACATCAACAAAACACATGAACAATTTCAAACACATCAATTTTCTGTTATAAGTTAGAGCCAATGCACCACAAAATTAGTTTCACATATACACTTCACATACACTGATCAGAAATATAAATAATGTAACACGCGATAAAATCACATTTCGATACGCTATACAGGGTGAGCCTTAAATAAGTGCAAATATTTTTAGGGGTAGAATATTTCGACCCCAGAAACACATCTTTGAGGTTTTTTTCGCGAAGAAAAAATTTTGAAAATTTTAGAATTTTTTGGATTTTTTTTTTAATTTTTATTTAAAAATCATAATATCTTCATAATTTGGCAACACAGGTAGTGGATTAAATTCACAAGAAAAAAAAAACAGAAAGGTTATCGGTTATTTTTGATTTATTCGAAAATCGGTAAAGAAAAAATATGTTTCTTTTATCGAGATCTCCCAGCCCTGAAAACATTCGCACTTATTTAAGACTCACCCTGTATAGTGTGTTCCTTAAAGACAAGCTAATATTTATGAATGTATGTCGTAAACGTCGTCGTAATTCAGGTCACTAAGGAACACACTGTATATAAAATATTCCATTAAAAATAATAAAATCATAAAATATACAGAATAAAATTTAAAAAGAATCGCATTCTTTTATACACCCTGTATAATACTTTCGTGTATGTGCAATTACAATTTTCTCACACACTGTTTATTATTATAATACTTGACCAGCTGCTTTTCAGATTTATCGCAAATATACATTCTTATTAACTATATAAACAAAATCAGACGTTTTTCTGTTATCTGCATGATGCTATTATTTATATTTATAATATTACGGTTCATAAATTATTTGAAGAAAAAAATTACTAAAAATGAAACATGGAGCAATTCCTAGCAAATATTTACAATAAATGAACTACATTGTTAGTCTGAATTTTATTTGAAATGAATCACAATGAAACAATGTTAATAGCAAACAAACACTTACCCATGAGTCTTCCGTTGTTATGGATTTTCAGTTTCCAAGTACCCAAAGGGCTTTCCCCCCACGAATGGACCGACATAAAGGGCCAGTAACTGAATCCAGACCTGGAATTGTCGTTGTCACGGTGAGCCAACAATGTGACTCGCGTTCCCATGGGGGACGTCAGTTCAATGTTTAAATCCCCCCTCCTTTGAGCAAAGATGGTCAACTTGGCTTGAACGTGCTCCAAAATTTCAACTCCTTCGCATTCACTCACTTGCAGTTCCAAAGCTACCAAACCCTTCGCCGGTATTGGTCTAAAAATAATAGATTTTTTAGTTAAACGAAAATCTTAACCAACAGCCTAAATTAACTAACTTGGAAATATCTGTAGCGCCTATTTCACACTTGCGCTGCTCGGGAACTGTGATCCAGTTCTTCGCCAGCTTAACCATGGCATAGGCATCCATTAAGCCATAGCCAAAACTATGAGAGACGTTCCTGCCCACACCATTCACCTGCCAATCGTTTGCGATCAGATGCTGAGGCCTGGCAGTTCTCACCACGATGTGTTGCATGTCTCTCCAAGTTAAGTTTGGGTTCGCTTCAAGAACTAGCGCACATATTCCAGCGGCTAGAGGTGCGCTTGCGCTGGTGCCGGTGTGGCTGCTCGTGCAAGAGTGACGTAGGTCTGTAGTGACCACTTGGCGTTCGCTGACAGCTCCGCTGCTGTAAGTGGAGGCCAGTGTCGAGCTGCAGGCCTCGCTGTACCAGGGAACGTTGCCGTGCTCTGTTGCGCTTGATATAGACAGACTGTAGATGGAGTTGGTGTAGCCGTCGCAGTTGCAGTTGTCGTGGTCTCGGCCTCCGTTTCCAGAGGCCCAGATAAATATTGAGCCTTTGCCTTTGCGACCCTGTAAAAAATAGTTTCTAGGTAGTTCCAGTCCATGTCTATTAATTTCAAGCTGCTATACAGGATCCGGCAAGAGTGCGTCGGGCGTCTGTAGTATCTCAACAGTAAAATACAAGAGAAAAATTTTTGGGTGGTTTGGTAAAAATTTACTGTGGAAAATGCCATATGAAATATAAAACCGCGAATATCTGCGAAACCGTTAAAAATTTTGAAATACTCTAAATACAAAAAAAAGTACATTTTTAAATTCTCCATCTATTGAAAAAAATATACAGGGTGTTCCGTTAAAAAAAAACTAAAAAAAAATATTTTATATTTGAATAAGTTTGGCATAGAAGTTTGAACATCCTGTATGATTTACAATTACCATATTTATAATAAAGTAATTACAGGCCATCTAAAGTAAGTAACTAATATAGTTTTCATTTCAGGACAGGTTCTTGTATTTTTAATATATTTTTTAAGAAAGGCTGGAAAATAATATATTTTCTCTATTTATTTATTAATATCTCTGAAACTATAGAAATATGTATATTTACTCATATCTTAAGGTTATGTAAAGTGATCTGAAAGCAAGCCAAAAATGCAATAATATACAGGGAGTTTCATTTAAAAAAAAACGAAGAAAAAATATTTTATATTTTAATAAGTTTGGCGTAGAATTTTGAACATCCTGTATGATTTACTATTACCATATTTATAGCAAAGTAAGTACAGACTGTCTAAAGTAAATACCTAATATAGTTTTGATTTCAGGACCGGTTCTTGTATTTTTAATAATTTGTTTAAGAAAAAAAAAAGCTGAAAAATATATATTTTCTATTTATTTATTAATATCCCTAAAACTAAAGAAATATATTTACTCATATTTTTATTTACAATATACTTACTCAAAGCACACTTTTTTGAGCCACCCTATAGAAGTTAAAATATTTTCGTGAAACATCCTAGTACATACTTTAGGTCTGCATTTAAACAAAATTCTCAAGTTTTTATTCTAGAAGCTACAGACGCCCGACGAACTATTGCCAGACCCTGTAGTAGTATCAACACAACAAACATTAACATTAAGTAATTATAACCTACCTTTGTCACCCCTTCGATAAAAGCTCTCGTTGCCAACTCTCCAGGTCCATCCACAGTCTTACCGTCATCGTCCGGGCCCCACGATGCGCTGTAAATGTCGATATATTGTGGATTCAAGCTCAAACTGCGCGCCTCCACTGCGTCGGTAACGTCCCCGTCCAGCATGCGCACACCGCCGACTTGAGCCCCGTAAGCCACGCCCAATGCGCACACGCTGTTGTTGCTGGTCGCTGCGACCTCCCCCGCGCATCGGGTCCCGTGCCTGTTCGAATCAATCATGTCGTAGCGAGGACTTGGATCGGAATCGTGACTATTTATGTCGTAGGATGCCATAGGGTCCTGGAGGGAAATAAACTTATTAATCTAGGGAGGAATGGAATAAAAAAGAAACAGCTTACATAATTTTTAATCAAGTCTGGATGGTCTTTCTCCAAACCGTCATCTAGGATAGTCACAACTGAACCTTTTCCTGTAATACCATCCAACCAGACGGGAATGACGTTCATATCCAACCCGCCACCTCGATTCTAAACGGTAAAAAAGTCAAAATAATCGAGTTTACTTAAAGGAAATGCATTATTTACCAAATACCACATGTATTGCCATTTGGGATCTTGGAATTGACGGAAATTATGAAATTTCAGATCCCTCTTCGCCCTTCTTTTGGCTTTTTGTTGAGATGCCCACTGCACTCGAGTATCGACAGCCAACCTAGCCTTTTTCTCTGGATTGGGAGCTAGCGACCGTTTCTTCACTCCACTGTGAGATAAAAAGTAGTGATCCTCAAATATCTACAAAAAAAGACGCAAGAAATCTAGGAAAACTTCCAAACTTTAAACGATTTAACTTACCAATCCGTGGTTGACGAATCCGTGATCGCTGGCCACTTGATCGGCGACTTCAGCCCCTCCAGGTATGTGCACAGCCCATTGTTGTGTATAATGCGCATAAGAGTAATGGATACTACTAGTAACAACAGTAACTACACAAACAATCAAATAAAATGTCATCGTCATCTAACGACGGGAATAAAAAATCTTGTCTTGAAGCAAAAGGGTCTTCTTTGCTTCCTGATAATATCGTTGCACCAAATATCAATAATTCTTGTTCGTGAAATGTCCGTCCTCTTGCAATGTAAAGTAAACGAATTTGAAGTCTTACTAGTTCTAACTAATATTTCGTGTTGAGTTTATAAAAATTCTCTTCACTCTGAAAAACATCTCAAAGTAAGTTTAAATCGTTAAAGAAATTCGAATGTAATGTTGCTATTATACAACATATTTCAATTCTTATAAACTAATAAACAATGAGACCATCCGAATTAGCAAAGATTATTTTTAAATGTATGATAGAAACAGCGTTACTTCATAATCTACAAAATCATCCTAGTTTCCAGGATTTTCAATATAATATTAGCAATGATTTTCGTCAATTCAATCTACGACATTTATTTATAAAACGTCAATAATTCTTTGAACTGCTGGGAGTGGAGGCTGATTCGCTTTTTTCCATTTAAAGGTGGCGCAATTCCATCTCCAATAAAAAGAATAGTGCTAACGCAAATAAAGGTCAATTCGCTCCTTTAAATATCTCAATAATCAATTAATTTATGGAAAATATCCGATCAACTATTTATTCAACGATAAATAGATAAAATGTCATCTTAAAATCAAATGACATCAAGTAGTACTTATTTCTATCAAATTAAGATATAAAATTATAACGTATAGAGTTAGCAACAATCTAGTCATATCAGTATCTATAAATACTATGCTGTAGATACATATCCCTAAATAAATAAACAATTATAAAAATAATCGTAATTACAAATCAGGCTAATAAAAAATTATAGGACACGTTAAATATAATTAAATAGAATTTTATCGAAATTCAGAGAACATGTAATAATTCTGTTTGTAACTACCTACAACGAACATAAAAAAAACTACAAAAGATTCAATAATTTATAAATATACAGGGTAGTCCGAATTATATTATTCAGCAGCATAATCTGCAGATAAAAATAAGTAAAAAAAATATTATAAATGTATGTCCTAAAATACTTCGTTTCGGAGATACAGGGTGTAAAAGTTTCATTTTTATTCTGATTTTCCAAATAATTTCTGAACTTATCTGAATTTCTGAAACGGATATTTGGATGAAAATTGGTATCTGGGAGTTTTTTGACAGGGAGTTGATGACAGGTATTGATAATTTCGATTCCAAATATGTATCTCGAGAAACTCGTAGCGATTTTTCACAAGACACCTTTTTTATGTAAAAAATATCGTAAATGTATATTTTTTATACAGGTGCGGACGAAAAGTTATTACTCTTTTAACCTACTACCACAGAATATCTAGCTACGCGTAGCTAGATATTCTGTGCTACTACTTACCAGGTTAAACATATGTAGGTGGCGCCTTCTACAAGTAGGGGTCATATTGACATCAAAATCAAATTTCTCATGTCAAAAAACTCCCAGACACAAATTTTCATCCAAATATTGACGTTACTTCAGAAATTATTTGGAAAAAATCGAAATAAAAATGAAACTTTTACACCCTGTATCTCCGAAACGAAGTATTTTAGGACATACATTTATACGAACTTTTTTATTTATTTTTATTTGCAGAATATGCTGCCGAAGTTTCCGCAATACAGTTCGGACCACCCTGTATATACATGTATCTGAAAATATGGATTTGTTTGATACGTTTATATAAACAGCAAAGCCAAATGTATTGTCGAAGAATTAACGCTAAATATACGTAATTATAAGTAATTAAGAATTCGCTGTAGTAAACTTTAATTAACAATTAAAATCTTTTGAACTAGTTCGTAACTGTGAAGAGTCACTAACCTCCTGTAATATCAATATTATATGTCATTAGTTAATAACTAAATAAATTTATAATTTTCAGTCATTAGCAGAAGCTATATTTTATAATGTATTATATAAAATATGCTTTAATACACCACCTACACAATTGGCTCTTGCATACTGGATTTATATAGGTTAAAAAGCATGTCAGTATTAATGAATTTTTTCACTAATTCAGTTGAAATGAAAGTTTGGTTCGAAAATAGCCGTATATTTTTTTAAATGAAAATTAACACGCGCCTTGGTAAAAGGCGGCGCCATTTCACTGTCTTAATTCAAAATAGGTCCCGGTGGTTTTTTTCTTTGATTTATTAACGGGGTATACATATGTATTTTTTTTCTTTCAATTACTGAACAATATTCAAATGAGACCTGTTTGTTACGCGTACGTAATTGGTTTCATACGACGGAATTATAGCTATACTGATAATTATTTTAATTCGACCAATTTTTATCCAAATATTGACCACTTTCATGCTAATTTCATAGTATGGAAAATTCAGTAAAAATGGAGGTGAACGTTAATTAGTATTTGTCTAGACAAACATCTTCAGAGATTATATTGATAAACATTTTTTTTTTGAAACGTTAAATACAGCGTGGTCCGAATTAAACATATTCTGCAAATAAAAATAAGTAAAAAAGTTCGTATAAATATACGTCCTAAAATGCTTCGTTTCAGAGATACAGGGTGTAGAAGTTTCATTTTTTATAAGGTGGCGCCCCCTACAAGTAGGAGTTATATTATTGACATCGTTATCAAATTTCTCATGGCAAAAAACACCCAGACACCAATTTTCATCCACATATCGACGTTAGCTCACAAATTATTTGGAAAAAACCGAAATAAAAATGAAACTTCTACACCCTGTATCTCCGAAACCAAGCATTTTTGGGACATTTTAATTATTTTGATCTGCAGAATATAATTCGGACCACCCTGTATAATATCACTGGAAATTTAAAAAATATTTCTTAAAACAATAAAAAGTCAGAAAATAAAGACGACCTTCCATAACATTCGCTTAGATAAAATAAAAAAAATAAGAGGGGCACATAGAGAAAGGCAGATGTACAAAAAGTAGTGCTGGAGCCTATAGTAACAATAAAACAACACTTAACACTTCTACATAAAATACAGCACTACATCCTAGAGTGGTTTATGTAGTGAATTATATCCAGTTATTTTTAAATTAAACCAAAACTGACATTGGCTAAAACAAATATACTTAACTCGGTTAAATTTATCAACAATTTAAGAGGTAGCAATAAATATACCGACATATAAGTTCAAATGAATGTATAATTTGCAGTGTGCAATTCGTTTATCAACGTAATAAATGTTATTTAAGACAGATTCTGTTACATCAAAAAACGCAGTATGTTATAAAGAAATACTGATAATTCCGATAAAATAATAGTAGAACAAAATGTATACAAATTAATAGATGTTTAAATAATCTAAACCAAAACAATACGAACATGTAATCACTGACAAACGTATATGATTTTTTGCTTTTATTATTGTTATTATTAGATAATGTATTTCCAATTTTAAACAAAACTTTAGTTAGTATCTATACATATACTATTACAGTTTTTTGAGTTACTAACTGTATAACATCGATGTTTATTTAAGAAATTAACACTAAATACAATTAACGGTGTCATAAAGTGATTTGTTTATATAAAAAATAAACAATTAACTAGAGCAAATGTGTTAATCTTAACGGTATTTTTCCCTTATTTTACAGAATTTTCATTATTACATTTAGATATGAAATAAATCAGAATTTAAATACATAGGATATTAAATTTACTTTTGTGGGAGCAGTCAGATATGTATAGGTATACAGAATCTGAACAGCATCACTACTCGGTTCGCCAAATTCCAATAGATTATTGTGTCGATAATCGATCCCATTTCAATTAGAACTTACTTGTTTATCACAAAAGTCATTTTAATATGGCAATTTATAAACAGGCACCAATTAATTTCGAACAATCACATGGATAAGTCCCGAGAGCAAAAATAAACCACGTTACACCAAACATCTCAACAAAACACAAACTGAAAAAGTTGAAATAACCTCAAGTTGTCAAGTTTCATTGTTCATGTCAAAACGTAGTTGTTCTGTGGCAATATGGATGGCAGCTCCTCCCCGTACAGCTCCATAAAAGCGAGTAATACAGATCTACGTTACCTAAGATAATATTAAAAATTGCATAATCTATTAAAAAAGAATGGGATATTTCTTTATCAATTAATGTAAAAAACATATCTGTAAAAGCCTGTAAAGTTTATGATAATTATAAAAGTATTACTAGTTGCCTACATATTTAACATTATTTAAGCCTCTGTGGATGCTCTATGGCATCTCTGTGGTATATTTTATTTTGACAGTTATCTGACAGAATTGTCGATTGTCATTGTCATTGTTGAATTCTTGGTTTTTGTTTATATTTGTAAAATATGCCTTGGCGGTGTGTACATTTGAACCGGTAGTATAATTATTTTTTATTCTTTCTGAATTTTACAGGTCCGTTGATGACTGGACATGTACTTAGACAAGCATTTTTTATTATATTTTAAGGAGTTTAATATATATACATGGTGAAATATAACAGTTTGGAAACTTAACCCTCAAATCAAGTTTTGGATTGCACACTGAAATGGCTTGTTATTTGAATGAAAATGTATATACGCATACATTTACTCCAAGGGAATATCAGGTTGAATTGCTTGAATCAGCCAAAAAGAGGAACACTATAATATGCACGAGTACTAGTTCATCGAAAACGTTCCTCTCTGTTAAGCTTCTTCAGGAGTTTTCCTGGCAGATGCGTTCGATGCCGCAAACAAAAAAAGCCTTATTTATATTAAATCCTCAAAATGTTCCTGTTCTCGCGTCTCACGTGAAATATCTGACTGATTTAAACGTAGTTAGCATAAATAATGCAGAGAATAATATTGTTACTTTGCTTAATGACTGTAATGTAATAGTTACCACAGCAGAAATTTGTCTTAACAACAATATTTTGCTGCAATTAGAGCAATACAATTTGTTGTTTATAGATAATTGTTTATATGGTAATCAGCAATTCATTATTTCAGAAATTATGTACAAATACAGAGATTTAGATGATAAACTTAAGCCAAGAATTGTAGCTATAACAACAGGAATATTAGGTTTAGATCTGCAATATGATAGACTTGAAGGTGAATTCCGCAGACTTGAAGGATTGTTAAATTCATGTGTAGATACATCTAGTGAAATTGTTACGTTAATTTCTCTCTCCTGTCACCCCAAAGAGTATTTAATATCGTGTCCTAGAATATCGCTGTCTTTATCTGACACGTTAAAAAGTATAATAGAAAATTGCAAACTTTGGTTGTCCGATCACAGATACGACCCTAGCGAAATATACAAAGAAGAGTTTTTGGAAGAAATCAAGGTCATTCCCAATCCCAAGAAATTACCATTGGAACTTTTAAATCATTATCTGGATATTTTAGAAGACTTGGGGCCTTGCGGAGCTGATAAAGCAGCCATTTATATTCTAGCTAAAATTGAAAAATTAAAGGTAAATATAAAACTATTAATTTTGTATTTTAAAATTTAATTTTTGTTTTTTGTAGGTCAAAACTCCTTATGAACGCCACTATCTTTTATTGTGCATGGTTTCCACCACTTTGGTACATACGAGAGCTGCATGTGATTACGAATTTCAAGAGCTGGACGATGAAATTGAAAAAATTAACCAGCATTCGAGTCCTAAAGTACTGAAATTTATACACACTTTAAGGCAGTTTAAACCAGCAAGACCCAGACCGAAAATTGAAGAGGAGAGTCCAGTAGAAAATGAATCCCCTCCCACTGGAACTTTTAAGAGAAACAAGGGACAAAGGACCAAAAAGTTCAACGACAGGAATCAGATAGACGATATTTTATGTTCTCTAGTTTTTGTAAATAATAGATATAAAGCAAAAGCGCTGTTCTCTCTTTTATGTGTAAGAATCTTGTTCAATTTCTAGTTTTCATAACTACTCACCACTATTATTTCTTTTGTAGGCTTTATCTCAAGCTGACCCTGATTTTTGGTGGATATCCGCTTTATTTTTCGTCGATAAAGTTGCCGATATTTCAAAGGAACCCAGGGAAGCTGAGCATGAACACAAAACCCAAGAGGAAGTGTTAAGGAAATTTAGATGCCACGAATGCAATATTTTAGTTTCGACGTCAGTATTAGAACAAGGCTGTGATCTTCCTAAGTGCAATTTGGTCATAAGGTTTGATTTACCACCGACATTCCATAGCTACATTCAGAGCAAAGCTCGTGCTCGCGCCCCTGAATCATACTTCATCGTTTTTCTTAATGAAAACGAAGTTGATGAGTTTGTGCATAAGCTGTCAGAATACAACGAAGTAAGTGTCGTACATGAACTTTAGGGTGTCCGTTATTTACAAAATTGATCATTTCTCCCACGACGCCCTCTAAATTTTTAGTTTGTTGTCTAAAAAAAATAACAGACCATTGTAAAGCCTTAATATTCACAAATGGGAATTTACCACTTTTTGCAAATATTTTTTTCCTCTCCATCTTGTTTTCTAGCAGCCATGACAATCACATATCTTGTACAGAGATCTTAACACCATGAGAATTGTATATTTTTACAGTAATAGACTAAATTTTTCAAAAATAATTATAATTTTGTCAAAAAAGTTGAAGAATTTAGGAATTTACCGAGTGATTAAGTTTGACCGTGAATAACTTTTGAAGAAGTAGGTTTATCGAAAAATTGCAAGAGACCTTTTTTGTAGTGTGTTCAATTCTGTACAAAAATATGTGATTGTCATGACTGCTAGAAAACAAGATCGAGAGAAAAAAAAATTATTTGCAAAAAGTGGCAAATTCCTATGTAATTTAGTTTACAATGGTCTGCTATTGTTTTTAGACAATAAAATAAAAATTTAGGGGGTGTCGTGAGAGAAATGATCAACTTGGTAAATAACGGACACCCTAATGAGTTTATTTGTATGTTTAATTTAAAATGTTCTAGGTTGAAAGTACTCTTTTAAAGAGATGTCAGAGTTTGGAGCCCGAGAAGTCCGAGGAATTGCTAGCAGACAGCTATTGTTCGTTTTGTAGTTCATACCAGCCCATAAAAGAAGAAGGATCGCCGAATGTAACTCTTTTTAACTCTATAGCTTTAATTAATCGATATTGCGCCAAACTGCCTAGTGATAGTTTTACCAAATTAACCCCAATATGGCGTGAAGAATTATTAGAAGATGGGTGGGTTTGTTATATCCGGTTACCAATTAACAGCCCAGTTAAACAAACCATATGCAGTCCGCCTATGCCAAACGCGTTATTGTCTAGGCGCGCTGCAGCTTTTCTTTTATGTCAATATTTACATAAAGTTGGGGAGCTTGATGACCAGTTACAGCCAATAAGCAAAGAGAATTTTGTGCCTGTGGATGAAGACTGGACCAACATACATGTACAGGAGCAATATGACGAGAATTCTGAAATTAGACCAGGTAAAAGAAGGACCGTCTATAGGGTGTTTCAGAAATAAGTGCAGATATCTTAATTGATAGTATATTTCGGCCCCCGGAAATACGCCTATGAGGGCTTTTTTGCGTAAGAAAAATTGCTGAAAATTTTATATTTTTCTTGACATTTTTCGGGAAATTTTAAAAAACTTTTTAGTGCCACTTGTTTATTCACCAGAGATTTCTCTACGGTGTATCTAAACCTTGCAGTGTTGCCACCTTCTATATTATCCATACCATAGACTTAAAATAAAATATAGACTACACTATTTACATCTCAACGCGGACAAACAATATTTTTTGTACACATGTTTACTTCTGGGTACAGTCGACCGAGCCTTCCTCATCCAGCCTATGTTGTCACGTCTTTAATATTATCAATATTTTTTTTCTTGTTATACACATATATTGAGATATTAATACTACAGTTTAATAAAGTAGGTTTTAATATTCCATAGATGTATTAAATAGTCCTTATACTACTAAATTATAAGTCGGATACTGTTTAAAAAGGATAAGTTCTTGACAATATGACAACACCGATTAGAAGCGAGGGAGCCTATTCATTCATTTATTACCTTGTAGTACGTGACGCACGTGTGCGGTAAAGCTTTGTTGCCGCTATCTCCCCGGCTGTATTAACGCATTTTCTTAGCTTGTAGTCCTTAAGTGTTTATTTTATTGACTTTTTCTGTTCAAGAACTATAAAATATGGTTCGCCAGTGCCAAATTTGCAAGAAATTTGACTTAAATAATCCATTTAAGTCTTGAAACGACTTTCGACCGGTAGGCAACTCTCAATTTACCCATTGGGAGTCAGTGGCGTTGTTGTAGAAAGGCACTTATTTAGATAATATTTTAGTAAAATGTAAAATCTGAATTTTTTTTCTTACATTACATTATTTATTTACTTACATTGTAACAAAATCATAATTATAACCCTGTTAATAATTAATAATGTTTTTTATTAAAAATATGTTCCGGTTTATTCTAAAATTATCTTCAGAATCTAAAATAACATACAAGAATTTTAAAATGATATTACATTATGAAACAATATTTTTTAATATACCGGGTCGCCTCAAAAGTGGCTCACCCCTATCCCCTTATCTTTTATTTTTTCAGATAAAAAAAAACAGATTTGTATGTTAGTAGGTATATGACATAAATTAGGATTTATTGACGTATTCAATTGTTTTTGGTCTCTTCCTGTTTCACCGAAATGATTACATCTTTTGATTTTTAAAGGCACCCTCGGTATATTGCTACTTTATTCGATAAAAAATGACACTCTGAATAGAATGACATATCATATGTCAACTTTTGACATTGTCGCTTAAAAACAAATCCTATTTTAAATTTCAATCCAGTTTTTTTCAATCTACTAAGTTTTAATCAAGGAGCCTTGGAAAAATAGTTTTGATCGTCTAATAGGTTTCGTGTCTTGTCTAGGCCGGTAAAAAAAGATGTACATATCGTATTTTTAATCATACATATGTCAATTTTTTCAAATGGAACAAGGGTGACTCATTAGCATATTTGGAAAAAGCATTTTTTTATGAATATATTGATACCACACACTTGGTATTTCGAGTCAAATTGTCGTTATGAACCGCGTGTTACAATTACAATTAAACCATATGCGAAAATATCAAAAGTTGACATATGATATGTCATTCTATTCAGAGTGTCATTTTCTATCGAAAAAAGTAGAAATATACCGAGGGTGCCGTTTAAAAATTAAAAGTTATAGTCATTTCCGGTGAAACAGGAAGTGACCAAAAACAATTGAATGCGTCAATCAATCCTAATTTATGTCATATACTAACATACTAAATCTTAGTTTTTTATTTGAAAATATAAAAAAATTATGGGGATGAGCCACTTTTGGGACGCACCCGGTATAGTAAAGACAGTACCGAGTTAAATAAATGAAGTTTTCATTTTATCCACTTCCTATCACCTTCCTTGCTTTAATGGATTGGATTTATGTTTTCTCTAATTTACATAAGACATAACTTAACCAGAAAAAAAATTACAACAATCATATATTATTTTTTTCTCTCCCTGTCGCCGATTCTATTATATCTGTGGAATAGATCCTGTTTTGATTAATATTAGGGGTTGTAAATGTTTGACTAAAATTAATAATTTATTATTAATTTCAAAAATTACGTAATTTCGATTATAAAATTTCTTCTATAACGTGTATTTTATTATTTTTTGGACTCTAAGACGTTTTTTCTAAACTTTTATTTAAAAAACCTGTCCTAAATCTTAATGAAATATAAAAAAGTTTAAATACGATATATTTTAATTTAATTATAGCTTCATTAAAATAAAAAAATTACCCGGCTATGATACGGAGAGTTCAGGTGTACTTGAGAAACGAAAGACAGTGTTGTGTTTCTCGGCAGAGTCGTCAGGGAACGACCGTTACGACAGAGACAACCTATCTATCGCTCGTGTCGCACTCGTTATAACCTAAAACAATAACACAACAATAACAAGACATTGTCTGACCGCATGTTCCAGCTATTTATAAACGAGATGCTCAGTCTATATTTTATTTTAAGTCTATGATCCATACCCAACATATTATTTGTATTCACCGTAATTTTAAATTTGTACACAACAAATTACGAGTATTAATTCTAATCATATCAGTGTCTATTAGTAACAATTCTAGAAACAAACCACATTAATTATTTTTACTCATACCGCATTTTTATATTTATTTTTTTAAATATATACTTAAAAAATAACCTTAACGTTGCCATATTACGAAGTAGTTTCAATAAAAAAAAACATTCTTTTAAATATTTAGTTTGTACTTATCCTGTCAATGAAATCCACACTGGGTAAAATTATTCTTATATATAGGTTTACGAAAATCATTGTTATACCGCAAAATAGCTTTGTTTAGAACTAAATTTAATAAAATAATTCATGCTGACATCACATCATCATAAAAGAAAATACCAACATGTTTATCGGAATTCGCTATGCGGAACATCGACAAAATCGGACAAATAAACCGTATACGAACGACACAACTCGTCTGGCAACACAGAGCGCCGAATAAGCTGAAAAACCCTTAATAGCCGGGTTTCGCCAGCGGTTCTCAAAATGTTGCCATTATTTTTTAAAATTTTCAAAACTCGGTTATTTTTAATTTGTTTTAAAAATGGTAAAGAGAAAAGATGTTTCTTTTGACCAGCTCTACCACCCCTTAAAATATCTGCACTTATTTCTAGAATACCCTGTATAAGTATTGTTTTTCCGTGTAAACATACTTGTTTTGACTGAACGTTTAAGACCGACGTACAACGTTACTTGTAAACGGGACTTTACTTAAATATTAATAGCATCTCTGAACCAAAAGGATTATTTACTTATTTAGGAACCACAAAGAGGAGGCAGTATTATTATAAAAAGGTCGCTGACGCTTTAATAGATTGCCACCCTGTTATTGGAAAGCCATCCTACTTTTATAAAATTGTCATGACACTAAGTTGTCCTCTTCCTGAAGAACAGAACACGCGTGGCCGAAAAATATATCCTCCCGAAGAATCAGTTCAAGGTTTCGGAATATTAACAAGCAAAGAAATTCCAAAAGTATGTTCAAATTTATTTTGAAGAAATTTATTTTATATTAAATATATATTTTTTTAGATAAGTGCTTTTCCTATATTTACTAGATCTGGCGAAGTGAGTATTGAACTAGTTCTGTGTTCCAAAGACATTGTTATTGATGAGTCACAAACGCACAAAATACAAGAATTTGTAAACTACACTTTCACCAGTGTTTTGAGACTTCAAAAATATTTAATGCTATTCGATCCCGAGTGCTCCAACAAAAACTATTTAATAGTGCCAACAATAGACAGTAAGCTTGGTTTTTTATACAGGACGTTTAAAAAAAATGTGCCATCTCTCGTGAAGAATTAAATCACTTGGAAGAAAATTATAATAAATCGAAAAAATATTAAGATTTTAACACCCTGTAGTTACGAAACAAAGCAGAATCTCCCCACGAGAGACGGCACATGTTTTTTGAAACACCCTGTATAAAGTATTTGATAAACTCTAAAAATTAATACGCTTTTAGCTGAAAGCTCCGTTGAAGTGGATTGGAACTTCATTGATCTAATTTACGAAAATCTACACTTCACCCCTCATCACATTCCTGACAACGAAAGAAAAGATTACAAGTTCAATATAGAAGAATATAAGGACGCTGTTGTGATGCCCTGGTACAGAAACCAGGACCAGCCGCAGTATTTTTACGTGGCTGAAATTTGTTCGTTTTTGAACCCCACCTCGGCATTTCCAGGATCGGAATACAAATCATTCGAAGAATATTATTTCAGGAAGTACGGCATACAAATTCAGAATTTGCAACAATGTCTTTTGGACGTGGACCACACTTCGGCTAGGCTAAATTTTTTGACTCCGCGATATGTTAACAGGAAAGGCGTTGCTTTGCCGACGAGCAGCGAAGAGACTAAACGTGCCAAGAGAGAGAATCTGGAACAGAAACAAATCCTGGTTCCGGAATTGTGCTCGATTCATCCATTTCCATCGTCCTTATGGCGCAAAGCTGTCGCTTTGCCTTGTATTTTGTACAGGATCAACGCGCTTCTTCTTGCTGATCAAATTCGCAGAACTGTAGCTGTAGATTTAAACTTGGGCAAGATAAACTTAGATGAAGGTATAACATTTATTTATATTATCAATTTTCATTCAATATTATTTATCAATTAGAGGCTAATTTGATTCTGGTTATATTAAAATTATTAAATCCAGTGGCGTCCTAGAAAAAAGGCAACCCTGGCAAAGAGTAGATAAGACAAGAGACGACAGTTCGCGCGGTACCTTTCATGTTTGAGTGGTGGGGAGAGTGACCTCGTCTCGCTTGTCCCTTTAAATTTTCGTAACTTTTTCGCGGGAAATTTGAAATAGACTATTATTAAAACTTGCCTGTATAGCTTATAAACAGTTACTGTATGGGTAAAGAAATAAATAGAAACGAAAAAAAAATGAGTTTTCTAAATATTATATAAAATAAATTATAATTAGAAACATATTTGTCGGGGAATAAAGATAATAAAAGCAATATTTTGTATACCGTTGGTAAACAAGATAAAGTGACCAAGTCGATTTGTAAGAAGTGTTTTATTTACGTGTATTTTTTTTTACATATGGACTTGAACAAGTGTAATATTACCATGAACACACAATAGATCTATAAGGTCGCGGTGTTTAACTCCCCTCCATTCTACAATATCACAATGTGGAGTTTATGTACAAAAAAACAGAGTTGCTCAATTTTTTTTGTAAAAATATATTACAAGCTTCTAACCATGTCTTCGGTCTATGGATTACATTTAGTTTAATAACATAATTATATAGTATATTTCTATAAAAATACTTTTCAGGATCCTTTGGAAAAGAGTGAAATATTATGTTTGTCGAAGAATAAGACCTATTTTTGCAGTCTTTATAAGCACACACATTGCCACCATCTCGTCTTTTCCTGCTACTCGTGTCCTGTTCAGTATTCATATTTAACAATAATTACAAATTAGTACGCAACAAAAACGATACTAAAATTAAACCTTAAAAACTCTCAAAACGATAATATATCGAAAAACTCTGAAACACACACTTTAAAAAGGCAAAAATGCAAGAAAACAACTAATCAGATTTCTTTATGTTTAAGCCTGATTAGCACAGCTGATTAGCGTCCTAAAATCATAGATTAGAATAAATAAAATACGCCGTTGTCAGATTTTATCGTTTATCTTTGAAATCGATCAACTTAGTCATTCTGTTTCTTTGATATTATCAGTAAATTACGAAAAAAGAACCTAAACCAACCTAAACTAAAAATTTACATTTCCGTATTAACATACGTTAATACGTTAAAATCTTGTTTATTTTTCAAAGAAATATACTTGGCAACAGACAAAATGGGACTTGATGGGACCCAGATGGGACCTTTAAATTTTAATATATCTGCGTCTCTCTTGCGAAATTCGACTTCTTTGTTCACTGTCGTCTCTTGTCTTATCTACTCTTTGACCCTGGCCAATATTTCCGCTAAAAAATTGTGGGCTACTGATTTTTTAATTTTTTTAAAATTTTTTCAGATTAGGCAACTTAAAAAACAACTTTTTTGCCTTTTGGGTTTCTCTCGTATCTCTTTTCATTTTAGAGATTAAAAATAAAATCCACTTTATTACATCCCTGTACCCTACGTGTTTATTTTTACTTTTTATATCACTCAAAGACTGAAGTTTTGCTGCGTACTTAAACAAGACCTTGTACATATAATAATTATATGAACAAGCCCTATAACATAGGATACAACATTTTAATGAACAGTGCTTTCCATAAAATCAATAAAATGAAAAATATACGAAATAATATACATGTACTGATTTTTTTCGAAAGTGGATGGATTTTTTCCAAACTGGTCACAAACGGTACATTGTGAGACAGGAAATTGTAGAGAGAAACAAGCCCTATAACATAGGATACAATATTTTAATGAACAGTGCTTTCATATTCTTTTCAGTCATTCAGGAACATCCTGTATAATTATTATACAGGGTGTTCCTGAATGATATGCTAATATTTAAGGGGGCGATTCTAGAACCTATTCTAAGAGAAAAACTTCATATGAATGTATTTCCTAAACATCTTAATTTCTGAGATACAGTCTTAATTACAGGGTGGTAAATTTTTCTAAAACAAACTTTTTTTCATAATAACTCTGATGTTATTATAGATATCTTTATGAAACTTGATACACGTCTTCTATGCATCAAAATATTCATTTAAACCAGTGCCGTCCATACGGGTTTTACATTGAATATTTTTGAAGAAAAAAGACTTCTTTTCCCCATTCATTTCTAAACATTTTTCGTCCCACGCATGGTTTTTGCTTAAAAAATTAAAGTCAGTTTATTACAGGGTTACAGCACTAAAAGGGATGCAAATACAGAAAAAATCCAGTGGCTCTCAATTTTTTTTCAAAAAAGATCATTTTTTTTAATTTTCAAACTTAAATAACTCTGTTATTTTGAACTTATTTGAAAAACGGTAAAGAGAAAATATGTTTGTTTTATCGAGATCTACCAGCCAAGCAAATATTTGCACTTATTTAAGACTCACCCTGTATATTCATATGAAATTTTTTTTAGACTTATTCCAAGAATCACCTTAAATATTAGCATATTATTAAGAAACACCCTGTATATCTGTTTCAGACTTCAAGTGGCAAACATTAAATTTCGGTTGGAATTTATCCGACGTGCTGCGAAAATCTCGCGAAGAAGAAATAAAGAAGCAGGAAGAAAAATTAAGGATCTTGCAAGAAAAGGCAGAAGAAAAGTTGGAAGAGTTAAAAATTATTGAAATAAATCCAAACGGTGATGAAAATAGTTTAGAGGATTTTACAGAATCTGAGTCGGACTCTGACAGTGACCCTACTGTCAAAAAGTGGATGGAAATCGGTATCTGGACAAACGAAATGGCTTCTGAAGAATTTGATGGTTCCTCGGCACTTAGGTACGCCTCTCCGACAAGCTGGCTTCAAGGAAGGAATTATTACGACGAATTCTCCGACATCTCCAATGAAAATTCTCAAGCAGATTCAGAAGAATCCGACAACGAATGGGGAGGCCTACGAATCGAATTCACAGGCGACCACCAGGCTGAAGCACTCGACGATGACTTACCCAAAGACAAGTCTATCTGCCTCGTCGAAGACGTCAGCGTCTGGAGGATTGATGACAATAGCTACCCGGCCCAGATCCTAAGAGAACATTTTAAGGAAGCCAGTGCGAAAAATAAGGAATTTATTATATCCAGCGGGATTCTCATTAAGCCCGAGGAACAATTCCAAAAAGACTTAGAAAATAAAATTTCGGATACTCCACTTGCAAAACCTTTAGTAGAAAATTTCAGTACAGACAACTTATTTATCGGTAACGTTAGCTTGAATAGAGAAGCAATTATACCTGAAGGGCTCCATATAAACGAATACGACAGTTGTGAGGAGCTGAGTTTCAGTTTCGACGTGCAGCCAGACTTAAAAACCCATCCTGGACCTAGCCCTAACGTGCTGCTTCAAGCCCTCACCATGTCCAACGCTAACGACGGCATCAATTTGGAAAGGCTGGAAACTATCGGCGATTCCTTCCTCAAATACGCCATAACCAATTATTTGTACTCGAAGTACGAGCACGTGCACGAAGGGAAATTGAGCCACTTGAGGTCAAAGCAAGTTAGCAATTTGAATCTGTACAGATTAGGCAAAAGGAAAAACTTAGGCGAGTACATGATCGCAACAAAATTCGACCCACACGACAATTGGCTGCCTCCTTGTTTCTACGTTCCCAAACAGCTGGAAGATGCCTTAATCGATGCCCAGTTCCCGGCCAATTGTTGGACAGTGGCCGATATGGCCGCGACCAGGAACATGTCCATCGACGAAATATGCTCCATGGTGAAGGAAAGAGGTGTTTACGCTCTACCGACTTTGATTCCTTACAATCTGGTAACGCAGCACAGCATCCCGGATAAAAGCATCGCCGATTGCGTTGAAGCGTTGATAGGTGCCTATTTGATCGAATGTGGGCCTAGAGGTGCGTTGCTTTTCATGGCTTGGTTGGGTATAAGAGTTCTACCGAAAAATGAAGATGGTTATGGAGAGGTAAGTTTTTTAATTTTAGTCGATTTTGTCGAAATTAGTCTGTGATATAAGACGAGAAGTCTTTTATGTTATAGGCTTGTTGCATTCCACCATCGGAGAATATCGTAAACAACTAGTACTTACAAATACAAGGGTTTAAATAGCGAGAATACGAAAAAAATATTATTTGATTATTCTAAAAGTGTTAGGAAGTATAATTTGTGAAAATTCTAAAAATAAAAATAAAAAAGTAAATATTTTTTGATACCTTTAGAAGATCTAATTTGTATTATAATTTATTATTCCAGTTAAAAAAACTTTTTAGATGAGTTCAACTACGGTAGCGAGCATAGTTTTAATCACCGGTTTTGCTAGTGGGGCATAATTGGGATATTTTGGCTATAACGAAATTTTTTAAAGGTACTTAATTATAATTTTGGAAGATGTTCATAAAACATTTAATCACTAGTTGATTAAAAAAAGTATACCATTAATATTGCACAAATTATATTTTATCCTCTCATAGTATATGTCTATTTATTTTTTTGATTATGTAACGAGCATTTTGTTTACTCACTTGTTTCGTCGAACTGCTTGAATTCATTTTTGCTTTTGATCAAATTGTCGGCTTTGATCAAAAAAGGCTTTGTCGTATAAAAACTCGTTGCAGCCTTTTGTACTTGACAACACCACCATTGACGTCGTAAAATCCGTAAAATTCTTAGGGCTTGTTGTGGACAATTCTCTGAAATGGGACATACATATCGAAGCTTTGTCGAAAAAATTGAGCTCTGCCTGTTTTGCATTAAGGTCTGTTTCTAAGGAGCTTAACTTGTGAGTGGCTAGAACTGTTTATTATGCACTTTTTCAGTCGCACCTCAGGTATGCCCTTCCATTCTGGGGTACGCGTTGTGCGGCTCAATTTGACCGCATTTTCAAGCTCCAGAAGAGAGCTGTTCGATATTCACTGGGACTAAACAGCAGAACTCATTGCCGGGGCTTTTTTAGAGAATTAAAAATATTGACTCTTCCTTCCTTATTTATATTTGAATCCGTTTGCCTAATACGTAAACATGTACCAGCTTCTCAAGAAAGGCCATCTCACACTTATCCACTCAGGAACGCGGAGCAAGATCTTTATCTACCTACCCCACGCTCAGAGTTAGTTAAAAGTTCAATATTATACAACTCGAAAAAAATGCACAATCACCTGCCATTTGAAATCAAATCCATAACATCATTTTTATCATTGAACTCTTATTTACTAGACAAGGCTTTCTACGCCGTAAATGAATTATATTTGAATTGAAAATCGAATTTGATCTTGAAAACACTGGTCTAATGTTTGCTATTGCTATATTTACGAATGACATCGAAATTAATTTATTTAGAGGTCATTGATATTTTGCTATAAATTGGCTAAATATTTTTGAATATTATTTTAATTTTTTTTGTTCTTTGACATTGTAAACATTTATATATGTTTATTTTAACAATAAAACTGACAATATTATTTGTATAATGTTTTGTATTATCTTTTGTTTGTTTGTTTGTGTACCTTGTTTTTTTTACTTTGTTTGTTAGTTTACCTTTGTCCACAAATTGAAAAATTTTTTGACAATAAAGGCATTTATTTATTTATTTATTTATTTATAATTGGTGTGAGAAACTATGAAGCTCTAAAATGTTTTTTCGGGAGAGATGAATATCCGGGAAAGTGAGTTATTGAATGTTATTGCAGCCAACAACGTCCTAATTATGCTCTTCTTTGCCCGTTAACATTTTTAAAAGTTAAACGTTAACATTTTTAAAGTTTTCGGCAATTTTATTAATATTTAAAATTGTCACACCATGTTCGAATTCTTTTTCAGTTATTTTTTTCTACCCGAAACAGCGTTACATCACACAAACCTCGTACCTCAGTGTTTTATAGTCTCAATAACGCTGCGGTCGGAATTTGTTGAAATCTTTGAATAAGAAGACTAAGGAAGGAGCATAATGCTATCCATGTATTCATGCATGGTGGGCGGAAAAGCCACCATAAAAGCTCTCTAGGGTGGGGATCCTTGACAGTTCTGTTTGACGATTCATTTGACACATTTGAATTTGATTTGAAATTTTGTGGATTTGTCAGTCTTTACGGAGCTTATTTTATGTTATTTATTATTTATTCTACTACTGATAGTTGTATAAAGGTAGTAAATCTAGATGGAAATTGTGGCAGAACATAAATTAACAGTGACACTATCGCGATTTATCGAAAAAGACTCTAAAATAGTTGGTTGTTTAGCGTGCGGTAGATCTCGGCAAAAATTGAGTGAAACAACTTTTCGCTAGTAAGTGACTATATAATATACATACGTGTAGTAAACCGATTATTTAGGAAATTCACTTAAATTAATAAATTATATATTTTCTTTGCATTTTAGCTTTTATTTATTACTTGTCAAAGATTAGATGTCAAAGAATTTAGATACGTTAATTTGACTTACCTGCTTCAGTAGCGTATCGGATGTTTGTGTTAATAAATACTTATTATAACTTATCTATTTTTATTAGAATTATATATTTTATAACAATTTTAATAACTACCAACATTTATTCACAACGTAAAATAAAACAACAAATTATTGAGTCTACCCCACGTCTACCCTACATCATAGTTTTACATTTTTTAAATAAAATTAGAACGACACTGATAAACCGGAATTTAAGTCGGCCATATTTGAGGCCCATCGCGGTGTACCTAAGATTTTTGATATGCTCCTTCCTTAGTCTTCTTATTCAAAGGTTGAAATCAACTGAAATGCACCAAGCCTATAATGTCTATGGATAAGACAAAGGACTGTGTATTAAGGTGCGTTCACACCGGCCGCACCGTGCAATTCATTTTTTTAACATATACTTTTGTGCGCGCTAAATAAAATACACTTCAAGAGTACATGTTAAAAAAATGTTTTGCGCTGCGCAGCCGGTGTAAACGCACCTTTACAGTGTTACATTGATGGTTTTACAGGTGGAAATACCTAAGTCTCCATTACTGAGGAACGTCCAGAATCCAGAAGAGGAACTGGACAGACTGCTTGACGGATACGACGTGTTCGAACGCCATATCGGCTACAAATTCCGAGACCGCTCCTATTTGCTCCAGGCAATGACCCACGCTTCCTACAGTCCGAACCAACTGACCGATTGCTACCAGAGACTGGAATTCTTAGGCGACGCCGTCTTGGATTATCTGATCACCAGGCACCTGTACGAGGATTCCAGAATGCACTCGCCTGGAGCACTTACGGACTTGAGGTCAGCCCTGGTGAACAACACGATTTTTGCTTCACTTGCCGTGCGACATGGCTTCCACAAATACTTCAAACACCTGTCGCCAGGCTTGAACGAAGTCGTCGAGCGGTTTATTAGGCTTCAAGAGGACAGTGGACATACGATTGTTGACGAGCTTTATCTTATTGTTGAAACCGAATGTGAAGAAGTAAGTAAATCGTTTTTATTTCTTTATTTCTTTAAATTGTTTAGTGCTTTTATAATAATTTGGAATCTCTCCAAAAAATCCTATATGCGTATTTCGCCACTGCAAGAAAATCTATACTAATATACAATAAAATTCTTAAGTGACAGACTCACTGATTAATCACGATCCTGCTCAAACCACTCAACGTAAGAAGCTCAATTTTGCATACAGGTTGATTCTAGGGTGTAGAGGTTCAATAAGAAGGGATTTTTCGAAATTCCAGTTCCAAGAGGGTGAAACCTCCCCTCAAATATTACAATATTGTTTATTTAAAAAACGGTCAAGTTTCCGAAAAAAACGCTTAAACACATATATTTTATCTTGTTTTTTACATATTTTAAGATTTTTTAAAAATGTATACAGGGTGTTTCGAAAAATCTGGTCATTGATTAATCACGATCCTGCTTAAAGCGCTTGACGTAAAAAGCTGATTTTTGGAAAACGGATTGACTTTAGGGTGTAGAGGTTCGATAATAAGGGATTTTTCGAAACTCGAATTCTAAGGGGGTGAAACCACCCCTCAAATATTAGAATATTTTTTATTTAAAAACCGGTGAGTTTTCCGGAAAAACTCTTAAACACGTTTATTTTATTTTGTTGTTTTACATATTTTAAGATTCTTTAAAAATTTATATAGGGTGTTTCATAAAATATGACCATTGAGTAATCACGATTCTACTTACTGCTTGACGTTTAAAGCTGATTTTTGGCAAACCGATTGACTGTGGGGTGTAGAGGTTCGATAAGGAGGGGTTTCTCGAATCTCAAATTCCAGAAGGGTGAAAACGCCCCTCAAATATTACAATATTTGTTATTTAAAAAACGGTTAGTCTTTCGGGAAAACGCTTGGACACGCATAATTTATTTTTTTTTTAAATATTTTGAAATTTTTTAAAAATCATACAGGGTGTTCCAAAAAGTTGGGTAATTTATTAACCACGATTTTGTTTAAACTGCTTGACGTAAAAAGCTTATTTTTGACAAAAACTTCAAAATTAACAATTACTACCTGATAACAATTACTTAATAAGGTAAAACCAAAAAAATCTCAAACTTTCTGTATGATTATTTTTAATTTTTACGTATGTGAGGTTTATTTATGTTATATTCTTTAAAATCAAAGAAGCGACTGCCATACATTACTAACATCTACAGATACATGAGCAATACATTTATTTTTATTAGATTGGGCGCGTTCAGGGAACACAGCCGCTGACATTCAGCGTAGAATTTCGCTGACCAGCAGCTCACGATATTCCTTAAACGGCACAAAGCAGCAGAAAGAACAAGAAACAGTAGCTGTCTCATGCGCTTTCTGTCTACTATAAAAATTTGAGAGAAATATAAATAAATCGTCTTCGTCAAACCGGTCTATAATCGATCTTTAGTCTTTAGAATAAAAATTATTTTGAAGAAAGAATTATTATTACTGGCTGATCATTTAATAATTGAAAATATATTATTTGACAATACAGTATAAGCATTAAATTTCTAAAAAATAACAGTTTATAAAAATAATTTTACCTATACACCTTAACAAAACAACTTAAAATAACAGGAACTGGCAGTTCGACCAAGTCACTTTTACGCATTTTTTTTTCGATGGCGTGGTACAAATAAAATTACTGAAGGTGTAAATACCCTACAATAAAAAAACGACGTCAGGGGTGATGTGGAGGTGAAGATTGCTGTTACTTTATATGTATACTTATATAGGGAATATTATCGATCGTTATTTATAAGCCTATTATAACTAGTCGCATTTTTTTTCGATCAGATGGTATTATAATTACAATCAAAAGTTATTTATGCTGATTTAGATTTTTTCAGACAGTAGTATTTTTTCTTAATTTCATTGTATTTAGAAAATTCGACATGAGATGGAAATCAAGTTGAATTTTCTTTATTTCTTTAACTTCTTCGATCTCTATTTACAAGTCTTTTTCGAACGTTTTAGATTAACCTACCTATTTTTTGGAGAGATGAATCCGTGTCACATAGGTATAGATATTTTTTATAATTTGTAATATTTTTTAAGGTGGAGGATATTGAGGTTCCCAAAGCTTTAGGAGACGTTTTCGAGTCTGTAGCAGGAGCGATTTTCTTGGACTCCGGTATGTCTCTGGACTGTGTCTGGAAAGTCTATTACAAAATGATGCAAACCGAAATCGAACAGTTCTCGAACCGAGTGCCGAAGTCGCCGATTCGCGAGCTTTTGGAACTGGAGCCTGAAACGGCGAAATTTGGCCGTCCAGAAAAATTGGCCGATGGTAGAAGAGTTCGTGTCACTGTCGAGGTCTTCGGAAAAGGCCTGTTCAAGGGAATCGGTCGTAACTATAGAATAGCCAAATGTACGGCAGCTAAATGCGCTTTGAAGCACCTCAAGAAAAAGGGTTTGATCAAACGGTCGGAACATGACAACGTTTTGGGCCGATAGAACTTATAGAAGATGATAATTTTTTCTCGAGCCGCTTTTCCAAGCCTAGTCAAAATTTTGATGCTGAAAGAGGCATTAAGAATTAACTTTTTTTTATTTAGTTTTTAGTTAAAGGAAATTTAAAAGAATTGCCTTTTTTTGTTATGTTTTTTTGTATTTTAGTCTAATAAAATTTTCTTAATTATAAATTCCTTTTTTTTGTCATTATCTTTCTAAAAGTAAATATTTACGACTTTTATCAAAAATAGATTTCTCTGGCATTTTTTTCAAATACACACACCGGAAAAGTCTAGGGATATTACAATTTTATCCAGCCATCGTCAGTAATTTTATTATTTGCATTTCTGATATAATCAAATTAAAATAAACAAATAGTTTACAGGACGTATTGGAAATAAAAATGCGAAATTTACCGAATTTTTCAAATTTACCTTGATTTTTATTGAACTCAAAAAAATACACACATTTTTTTTTTATTCTGAACTGTGAATTAAAAAAAAGATAAAACCATTTTACTTAATAAAGGATATGGCCTCCTCTACTGTTCATTACAGCCCTACATCGTCTCTCCATGCTCCTGATCAGGTTGTCGATCTCTTCTTGAGGTACAGCCTGCCACGCTGCATTCACACTGAGTTTGACGAGGCATACCCATTCTCAAAATTCTTCTTTGGACCGCGTCCCATACGTGCTCGATGGGGTTCAGGTCAGGAGATTGTGCCGGCCAGGGTAAGATGTTTAATTGATGAGCATTGATAAACTCACTTACCACTCTGGCTGTATGAGGCCGTGCATTGTCATGCATGAGAATGAAGTTTCTCCCAAAATCATTGGCATATGGTAACACGACAGGCTCAAGAATTAAATCACGATATGTGATTCTTGTTAGAAACCTTTCAAGAAAAACGAGATCGGTTTTTCGGCCTAACTGGACTCCTCCCCATGCAGACCATAACTGTTCCACCTTGATAAGGGTGCACTTCCTGAACATGATACAACCGAATAAGATTTCCCGGTTCTCTCCATACCCTAAGCCTTCTCGAATCCGGATGAATTCCAAAGCGTGACTCATACGTGAAGAGAACATTGGCCCATTGTTCATTCGACCACTGAACATGATCTTGAGCCCAGAAATATCGTACCTCTCGATTTCCTCTCGTTAAGGGTTGAGCTCTCCAGGGGCGTCTGCTTCTTAAGTTGACCTCTCTTAATCTATTGCGAACAGTGTCAGGACTAACGGTTACATTATATGTTTCCTGGAGAATTAAACTAAGCTCTGGTGCTGTAAGAGTCGGTTGGCGTCGAGCATTTAATTGTAAAAAATGATCTTGCTGAGGGTTAGTAATGCGATGTCGCCCTGTGTGCCTTTCAGCAACATCACCACTTAATCGCGATATTACACTTTGCGTTGTATTTAATGCTCTAGCTACGTCGATTTGGCGCATTCCAGCTTCGAGCATACCCATGGCCCTTAGCATTTCGTCTCTGTTAAGATGTCTACTCTCCATAATGTCGTTTAATACTAAACAGAGTTATTTGAATGAATTCTGACCAATTATCATAAAAACATAGCCAGTACAGGTTAAATTCGAACAATTGATGCTAGTGCTTTTTATACATTTGACAAAAAATGCACAAACACTTCTGCAAATATCCCAAATTTAGAAATAACTAGTGTGACTACTTCGTTTCAATCGAAGTAGAAAGAATCGGCCTACAAATATGTGGTTGTTTATTCAAAACATTTATTTTTAATTTTAATAAAATTATATCCCTAGATTTTTCCGGTGAGTGTATATTTTATCTATTCAGAATTATAAGCCCTTAAAAATATCTACTGAATAAAATCAACATAAATTTTTAAAACATTACGCTTTATTTCCTGGATTTTATAAAATAATTTAATTTTTGTATTAAATAGCATTACAGAAAAGAACTAAACAATAAAAGAAATACTGGAACATGTAACACATATAAAACAAGTTTTGCATAAAAAAATAACAAAAATAAAAAATTAATATACAAATTAACAAAAATTAGTCTTTGAATTAAAATTAATATAAATTAAAAAAATATATAAAACAATGAAAGCTAACTACAATAAAGATTTTAAAAACGTATTAATTGTTTTTTGATGTGTTAATAAATTAATATACAAATTCAGTACGTATCAGAAAAATCTGTTAAAATCATTATACTTAACTCAAAATGATTAGAAAATAAGTACATATATAAAAATAAATTATATAAATTAACACACATACGAGTAATATACCTTTAAATATTACAATTATAAGAAAATTTTTCAGTTTCCAAAAAAAGACATAGTTTTTATACAGATTATTTATTAAAGTGGCCAGTGTTTCCTTATTATTTTTAAATGACATTAATACCTTTTGCTGCTTATATGTAATGTTACATACATTAAAGAAACTAATTTAAAAATTTCTTATTTAGTTGCTAGTTAAAATGCTTGCACCACAAACACACGAAAAGGCATATTTTATGTTACTTATATTAATAACTCAAGTTCTCTGGACTGGAATATGACATTAAAAAATAGGAACGTGATAGTTGCTGAATAAATATTTTAACAGAATTATTCATTCCAAATAAATGCGTTGACTGAAAAGTGTTTTTTTTTAGAATTAATATAAGAACTTTAGTTTGCCCTGTGTAAAAGAAAGCATAAAACATTTACAAATACAAATACAGTAAAATTAAAAAGCACATTCATCTTTTATTTAGTAATATGAGAATTGGTGCAGTCACCTTAAACTCCTAAGAGTACATACGGCTTGAAATGTGTTATATTCCCTGAAAATACTTACAAATACTATGTAAATTTACAAAAGCATTTCTAGAAATTAAATCTCACTGTATCTTTGAGGCTAACGATACTCAGTATCAACTACTAGGTGGCATTTCAATGTCTTTGTTGTGATATTATAATTTCAAATGTATCTTTTACAGGTCACATAATATGTGCTTCAAGACTATTGTTCCAACCACGAAGGAAAAGTGGAATTCGGTGCTTTTACTTTGATATTGAACTGTTTTAAAGTAGCCTCCAGAGCTTGTTGATTACCAGAAAAGTATGCCGATATGGCATTATGAAACAGCAGTAGTTGTTTGTGCATAACTTTAACCTGAAACATTAACATACCGTTAATAAAATCACGTATAATAACATTCCCCAAAAGAAAACTTACTCTATTTTCATCCAGAAACTTCATTTTAATTGCAACTTCAGTACGGAGCTTCGTAAAATTTTGTCTGTGGAGTTCATAGCCTTGCTGAGCCTCTTCTAATCCAATTGTTCCTTCAGGTTTTGTTGATAGAGATTCCAGATCTGTACGGTAAGCGTCGTATTCAATTCTCGCGGCCTCATATTGTCTAATACTCTGTAACGTATCCTCAATCGTTTTGTGACATAGAGTATTTACAGATGCAATAAAAAAATGTAAAGCTCCCAACAGAGTTTCGCCGTTTTTGGTCAGGTTTCTTTGCGTTTCAGAATTGTACAGAAATTCCTCTTGTAACTCTGGAGATTTTTGTGCTAAGTCAGAAAATGCTTCTCCAAGAGCGTGCTGAGTTTGTACCATATAATAAAAATGGCTTGTTAATGCTCTAGCTAGTCTAAGAATATTTATATACTTTTTTTGAGTTTCCCTTAGCTGATCTATTTGTGTTTCTAATTCTGAAAAGGGGTTGAATTGAAAACATAAGTAGGCTGTAACAGGCTGTAATGTTAAGAAAATCTCACCTGCATCATGAGTTCTAGAAGTTTTTCCTAACTTTTCAAACATTAATTGTTTTGTGCACTTATAAGTTGATATAGACCAATTTTTAAAATTTTCAATTCGAGAATTAGTCTTGAGAATAGTTGAGTCTTCAGTTTGACTTGGTGTGGAAGGAGTCAAGATTGCTGGGGAGCTGATGCTATTTGATAAAGCATTTGTGACACTGCTTTTGGTTTCAAGGGCTGATGTATCTTTTAACATATCATGTATACTAGTTTTTTCTGCAGTCAGGGAAATTGAATTTTTCATGTGTGACATTTCCTAAAAGCCTTTTATAAATGTAGAGATACGTAGAGATATTATTTTTCTCAAAATTACTTACGTTAAGTTGTTAGAAGAAAATAAAACAAAACTCTGAGAAAGGATATTTTTCTCCTAATATTAATACCTAAGTATATCACTTTCGGGATCTCTAACAATCACATTATTTTAACGAGACTAGTTTAAGTTAAATTACCTAAATATTTAATTTTTAATTCATTATTTTATTATAATTAAAGGAACTACCCTAAGCGGCTGTATAAATTAGATTTTTTGACACTTTTATCAGTGGTACCAATTTTGAGGAAAACAAATAGGGTAACAAATGATATTTGTCAACTTCATTCATTACAAAATTATATATGATCAAAAATTAGCAATCAAAAATAGAACATTTTAAACTATTTATTGCCAAAAAATTTCAGTGGCTTCCTAAGAAAATAACACAGATTTTAAAAAAATGTAAAATACTACTTTATTTCGTATCTATTATTTTATTTTTATTATTATTTGAAAAAAGTAGCATCGATATTTTCCACTAAAAATCTATCATGCCCATCTCTACATCAGAAAAATCGATACTCATTCAAGCTGGATTTAGATAGGGCGATTGGGCATAGATTGGGTGTTGTGATTGGGCGTTTGTTTATGGTTTGTTTCTTGTCAGGTCTTGTCACTTGTCACCTCCGCCAGACCTCCGCTTTCGGTGCTTTCTTTTCGTTGTCGTCGCCATATTGTACTGGGTTCTAATAAGTTTCCGAGCAAATATTTTGCAGTTTATTGGTGTTAAGAGTGTTTAGTAAGATTAAAATGGCAGATGAAAGCAAATCTGATAAAATAGAATCTGTAACGGAAAGCAATGGCGGAAGTGGAGGAGGCCAAGAGAATAGAAATTTCGGTGGAAACCGGCGTGGAAGTCGTGGAGGATATACTCGTGGCGGATACAACTCGAATAGAGGTGGAGGTCCAGGAGGGCATGTAAGTTACCCGTTTTCTTATGTATATTTTATATGGTATCTGTATTTATTATACTGCACACATACCAGTCATTGCCCTTTCCAGTTGAAAGAATAATAGAAGATAGAAGTAAGGTAGTTTGGTCAAAGTTTTTGTTTTATTACCACTGTTTTTATTCAGAATTCCATGTAAAGACGTGTTTCTTTTAGAGAGGTGGTGACAGATCGGAGGGAAATCAGGGTGGTGGAGGTATGAGAAGAGGTGGTGGAAGGGGAGGGTTTCGTGGTGGTCCAGGAGGTCGAGGAGGTGATGGGGACCAAGGAGGCGATGGTGATGGAAACAGGAGACCCATGGATAGGATTCTAGAAAAGATTAACACATTGCAAGGACCTACTTATGAATTGCCCCCTGTTGACACGACGGAAAAGAAATTTAATGGTAGAAATCGACTGTATGTTGGAAATATAGGATCAGAAGTGACGGAGGAGGACCTAACTGAACTGTTTAAAACTTACGGAGAAACAGCTGAAATATTTGTCAATAAAGACAAAAACTTTGGCTTCATCAAACTGGACTACCACAGCAACGCAGAGAAAGCTAAACGAGAGCTAGATGGCAGCCTGTTAAAAGGCAGAAATTTGAAAATTAGGTTTGCTCCTAATACTGCAACGATAAAACTGAAGAATTTGACTCCACAAGTAACTAATGAGCTGCTGCATTATGCCTTCAGTCCTTTTGGTGAAATTGAAAAGGTTCAAGTTTTAGTTGATGAACGTGGGAAACCAACTGGAGAAGGATTGGTTCACTTTGCTAAAAAGTTTTCTGCAGCAACTGCCATTAAAAAATGTCATGACGGTTGCTATTTTCTTACATCTACTCTACAGCCTGTAATAGTTGAAGCATACGAACTTGTGGAAGACATTGACGGCTATTCAGATAAAAATATCAACAAGAAACACCATGAATTTATGAGCGAAAGAGAAAGACCTCCGAGACTAGCACATCCAAATAGTTTTGAATACGAATATGGTCAAAAATGGAAAGTTCTTTATGAGCATCACCAACAAAAGAAGGATGCATTAAAGAAGGAGCTTCAGCTTGAAAAAGAAAAACTAATTGCTCAAATGGCATATGCCAAGTACGAGCATGAAACTGAGATGTTAAGAAACCAGCTGAGGGCAAGAGAGTTGGATAAGGAAAGACAGAAAAGGGAATGGGAAATGAAGGAAAGGTTGGCGGAGGAGGAAAGGTTGAGGCAAGAAGAGCTAATGAGAAGATCCCAGGCCGATATGGAAGCCCGTATGGTATCCAATCAGGATGATATAAGGAGAAGGCAACAAGAAAATAATCTCTTTATGCAAGCCCATAACCTAGATAATCTTTTGGACCAACAAGAACAAGCTTATGATCAACCGCCATCTTATTCATCTGAAAATTCTGGGCACAGTGAGTATAAACTGATTATGATATGTTTATTGTAATATTAAATGGATTACTTTTTGTTTCAGTCAGTGGTGGAGGAGTCGATATGGTAAGTTTTAAAACTGTTTTTTTAGATATTATTTTTAAAAATCGCAAAGAAATAAGTAGCCCTGAATTAACCAGTCTTTTTATAACTGCCTTATTTTTGTGAGAAATGGATGTCCTCAGAATATACTAAAACTAAAAAAATATAGACGTAAAGAGATAAAGAGAATCACTAATTTGTTTAAAAATATTTCTTCTGTTATACCTGAAATTTCAAATACATTATTTTAAGTAAAATGGACTGGCTAATTTAAAGTTCCTACTTAATATATTGATTTTTATGCTATACTCAGTCAATAATTGGATTTTTCATTATCATATATTTATATGCACTCAGATTAATTTTTAGTTAGTAAAAACAAGGAGAGTAAGTATCTTCTGTCATTCTAAAAGTAACCAACTTAAAAATTCTTTATATTTGTAGAGTTTTTCTTTACTTTGATTTTGTATCGTATGTTTTAAATTAATTTTCTAAATCTATATTGAAAGGCATATCTTATTCTGTATTAGACAGCTGTTGATCTAGGTTTTGATTAATTTTTGTGCAGAATATGATAAAATGACTATTCCTGATATGTTTTTCATTTTACTGACTTCAAAACAACTGATTAGTCAAAATAAATTATATTATGAATATACATACCTACATACCATCTCGGGGACAATAATGATTATCAAGCGTTAGAACCATTGAAAAGCTCTCATATATTATATTATATAGCATTAAATATGTATGATGACGCTAAACAAGATGAGCTATATGAAATATAGTGAATTACCTATTATATTAATTACTAGTTCATTTTGCACAATAAATTAGTTGAAATTAGTTAACAAAAGTAGTCTTGTATAGATAAGATTTAAAAAAATTACAATATGTTTATTACTGATTTAGTAATTCGGTTAGTATACATGTATTAAGATTGATTTTGTTCAAATTCAAATTTATAGGATTCATTTTAATTGTTTACACGTCCAGTCAATATTGTTTGAAAATTATAATACATTAAATAATACATATAGGAGCACGGTAATATTTTTGAGTAATAAATGTCATAAACTTTGGTTAAAAAAATAGTTATACAGTATATTTGGTCATGAAAAATCTAGAGATTTTTTCTTGTGGTATTTGTTACTCAGCAATTAACGCTATAATTTCACTATAATCCAAGTATTTAATAAATAAATAATGAATAGGTCCGAAAATTTTGGTATTATAGTAAATTTAAATTATAGTATTATATATTTTTAATATTTGGTATTAATTATTTACTGATTTTTATTACTTTTACTTTGAGTATTGTGGTAATATTTTTATTGGACGAATCATTAAATTACATTCGAGATTTACTGGACTCAAGTTTTTAAATTGAGGCGTCATCTTGAAATTACGCTCAAGGTCAGGCTACAGGAATTGTAACTTCAAGAAGAAAACATAATTTAGCAAGACAAACTGAGATGAGAATGTCTTGAATTGGAAAGAATATCATAGGATAGTTCTTGAAGTTGGTGTTTGAAAAACACTAGATATTGGATTGGACACCTTTTGGAGGGAGTAGACTTTTTTCCTCTGTACTGAGTTGGATGGACATCATATCTTTGTGTAGATACTCGGATAAAATTTATTTACTTCAAATGGATTATTAATAATTATTTTTTAGTGCTTTGATAACAATATTTATTTCTACTTTACTGTATTTCTTAAACAAAAAAATATGCTGTCGGGCAGCATTTATTAGATACATTTTTATTTTATTATTATTAATTAATATTAAGCATTTGAATTTTATTATACAGTGTTATACTTGAGTAAGCAAATAAGCAACTTATTTGAATAACATTTCTTGTTGAAATTATAAAATTAAATATTACGTCTTTTATTATATTCATAAAATTATTAATTTCTGATTTTTATAATTATTTCCTTTTGCATAACTATTAATATTCTTCATTGGAGATGATTACAACTTTTTATTATAATTAAAAATTCTGACATTAAGAGAGACATTTTTTTAATGATTTCAGAGTAAAAACATATAACTATATACATTAAATTAAATGCATACATAAAACGATTTAAATTCATACTACTATACTATGAGTTTTTAATAAAATATATCGTGGGCGTACAAGGAAAACCATGTAAGTCCAAAAACTAAAAAGGTGAGAAAAAGTGATTTTAATGTTTGAAGTGATATGTAAAATCCAATTTTATTTTTTGACTGTATTAAAAGAAATCGTTTGACATTAGGGTTATTTAGGGCTAATATAGACTAAATTAAAATACAGGGGTTTTAAGAACAAATTGTTTATTGACATTTTTATATAATAATCTGACTTAATGGATTTTTCTGAAAAAAAAACTTAAATTTTACTGGAGTTAGTGGGTTTTTCTTGATTGGCTCCTTTACTTTTTGGGATCAAATAATGAGCCAAAGGCTCATTATCGGAATCACAATCGCTTTCTTGATCAGAAATTCCCACAGATCCATCTTGAACATTTTTTGCAGAGGAAAGAGACTGGTACCATCCGTGAAATTCGTGAGGAATTGCACCACTTTTGCACAGTTTTAAAAGATCTTCTTTTTTCTTTGTGCTTATTGGTAACAAGTTTCTATACAAATTTTTTAATTGTTTTGGAGGGGCTGGTGGTCTGCCTCTTCCCCAGATTTTTATAACTTTATATTCACTGCTATGTTCATACTTATATTCGATTATATCAGCATGCTTTTTTGAGTAACGTAAACTCTTAATTAGCAACCAATTAACTGTGTTCCCCTCAATGTCCTTAGATCTGTTTTTTATGAGCAATTCCGACAAAGCTTTTAAATCATAAAATTCATTGAATTTTAGTTCTCTGACATGGTATGGTTCACTATGTCTATTGCGATTCCTTCTGGATCTTGCTATACGGAAGATATTCAGCCAATCTTGAATGGTATACACTGGTATATACTTTTTCGCATGTTCTATTGCACTGTGCATCGAATCTGCTTCCATATAGGAATGACCACTCTCTAAAAATTTGTGTTCAATCACTTCTATATGGCTCACATTTACTAAATAACACAATAGCGCTGCCACATGTTGGTTTCTATTCTGTCCTCCGCACGTGTCTGACCAAAGCGAAACTTCTTTTATTGTAAGTGGCAAATTGTTCAAATATTCAAAAAGACAAGAGCCGATTTCAGAGCTTCCCCGTTTCCCATTCAGCTCCGTCCAGCAAAAGCAAAACGCATTATTTGGGGGAGCTGATTCATAAATAGTGAGATTGTAAACACAAATTTTTCGCGAATAATACATTGGACTAACATCTGAACAGGGAATTTGTAGCACAGACTGTAAATCAAATGTTACCGAGCAAAATGTTTCTTCTCTTATAGCTCTCTCTTTATCTTTCTTTTTTTCTGCATAACAGTCTTCTTTTCTTCTTAGATGACTGAGATAACTCTCATAATTTTCTTGCTGATGGTCTGCTGTGACTGGCTTGCTTTTATTTTTTTCGCATATCTGACAGAGATCCTTTTTGGGTTTAAAAAAAGATAAATTATAATATTTTCCAAATATTCGCTTATAGGTAATGAACGAGGCAGCTTGTTTCTTCTCTTGCTCGCATTTCTCTTTATATAAAGAGTACATTTTTGATATTGAAAGAGTACTATCTAAATATTTCTTTCTTGTTGATTTTCTTGTGTGATGGGACTCATTCGTTGGGAAACTTTCAATGTGTGATTTTATATCAGCTACAACATAGTCAGGAGTTTTATTCCCAGGTTTAGATTTTCCTCTTTTATCTTCTCCAATGTAGGTGCCGGCTGGTCCTTTATGTGAGAATGCATTCAGAACTACATCATTAGAAATATTTAACGTCTTTAGGAAAAAAGCTTGGCATACCCTCAATTTATCTTTGTTTTTCTCAAAATAATATTGTTTGGAATCTTTTCGTGGGGGTCTATTATTGTTTCTGTATCTACGCCTTTCTGGGGTTTTGGCAGTTACACAATTTAAAAGAAAATCTTTTTGTCTTCGAAAGTCGGTAAGTTTCCAATAACTCTGACAGAGTACTTTTCTTTCTTCATCAGAAAACTTATTATGGCACTTGTACCTACACGTTTGGCAGTTTATTGGTTTTGGTTGCTTAGCTGGTCGTTGTTGTTTTTTTATTTCATAACTCAAGCTGTCACTTCTCCTTTTTTTTGCTACATTATACTTCCATGTTTCTGGATGACTGGTTTTCCATCTGCTTTCAGTTTTACCAGATGTATTAAGTCGCTCATCTTCTAGTAATTAAAATATTTTAATTATTAATTTCTCGCTGACAGTAATTAAAAACAACAGTACTTACCCTCGGAAGATGTTCTATGGTCCAAATCATTAAGGGCCTTCTCTTCTGGAAAATTGAAATAACTCTGTTAAATATCTTGCTATCGGTTGTAAAAACAATCGTACCTACCTTCGTAGTTTGGATCCTTTAATGAATCGTCACTATCTTCAGAATAAGCCAGTATTTCTTCCAGATCTGGAGTGCTATCCACAATTATTACTTTTTTATTAATTGTGGAACTTCCTAAAAATAGGTAAACTCTATGAAAAACTTTTTTTTTTAACTTGATAAAAAAGGTTGGTCCAGAATTTCAACCTAAGAAAAGATAAAAAGTGAATACGTACCTTCTTCCGGTTCTGGCACTGAACGGTTACAGTCTACTAGATTATTGGTACCACCATTATTAACATCTATTTCATTATTAGAAGCCATAGAGCCATCTCCATTCATCGTAGAAGATTCTAATATAAAAACACAAAAATCAATTAAGTCCATAATAAGCAGGTATGTTAAGTAAAAAGCAATTAAGTCCAGTTGAACGAAAACATTTCGTTAATAACACATTCACATTCACAATAATTTAAAATATATTATTTTATGTTTAGATTCAAGATTTTAACATATCATAAGTACTCACCTGCAATCTTTATCTCTCCAGAATAACTTGGTGGTAGTGTTTTTTTATTATTGATAAAAATCCGAGAAATTTCAAAGTCTTTATTTTCACAATTCTCTTTTACTTTTTCATAAGCCAACATTATTTTCTTTATTCTAGAACCCATTTTACTGCTTTAGTAACACTGAAAAACAGCGCTAAACGAAATACCGACCCGGTCTCTATCGAAGCGTGGCGATAACTAACAGGTCACAACAATTGTTTTTCTAACCTCATTTTGGACCTCGTTTTGGACTTAATGGATTTTTGCAGAGTGTTAAAAAATTCATAAATCCATTAAGTGCACAATAGATTTTTCTGAGCGAAATTTAGTGTCTGTGGACTTAGTTATTTTGAAGCTAATAATATCTCGTATATTTGAACTGTATTGGATTTAAATGATATTTAATATGAGAGGTTATACCTAAATGGACTTAGTAATGTGAAAAAACGATTTTACGAAAAAGTGGACTTACATGGTTTTCCTTGTACGCCCACGATATATGAAGTTTTTTATTATTATTAATATCGTTAAAAACAAATTGACTGGATGGTATTACTAAATCAGTATTAAAACATTGAAAGATAACTCAAGTTTAATTTGGCTTTTAGTATTTGATATATTTATATCCTTTATTGTTATTTTTTACTTGAGCCTCTACATATACATCTTGCAATAAATGTTTATCTTATCATTCTTTTCTTGGGTAGTTTACCGGTGTTGAGATTTACATGGATTAAGATGCATCATGAAAGTATTAAATCAGCCAAAGTAATTTTCTATGGCCTGGCTAACATATTTCTACTACTTGTTGTCATGCTGTTTGTGGGTCATTATCCACTTTCGTGCATTCCCTGGTTATGTTTATTTTTTCATATTAAGTTGATAATGGTAAAGAATAATAAATTATAAAATAACTTCGTTGGGGGACAACAAATATCTAATTTACATCTTTAATATTACATCTAAGATAATAGTAGCCTTAGAGAAATTTTGTCAAATATTATGATGTATCTTAATTTGTGTCGTTTAGTACAATGGTTTGATATGCAGGGTGTTTTGAATTCCTTGGACCAGATTTTTACAGAATACCGGGGGCGTCTCAAAAACGATTCACCTACATATACAGGGTTGTTCACCACATACGACACGGAGTATTGTAGCTAAACGATTAGATTTTTACAAATTGTAAGTTTTGGGTTCGTTGAACGACTATTAGAGCTACAATTTAAAAATATTTTTACAAGATACAGAGTGTCCCAAATAAATAAATAAAAAATATCAAAGTTGTATTTTTTTAAATGGAACACCCTGTATATTATTACATTTTTAGTTTCTACGATTAAAATAAAGGTAAATTTGATAAAGGTTTATTACACTTAAACCTTACCGTTTTTGAAATATTTTCAATTTTGTGAAATTGCAATCAAAACTTTAAGGATTCATTTCTCCAAGGGTATCAAAGTTTTTAATACCAAATATTTACTGAAGTTTATTTATTGATCAGTTATTGTGTTGCAAAAATAAAAATTATACTTCCTTATACAGAGTGTCTAAAATTTCATTTTAAATAATTACTAGTTTTAAACGGCAAGAACTTGTTTAATTTAAATGGAACACCCTGTATATTTTATGAGAGTCAGATGCACAGAGTACAGACACTAATATTGTCCAATCTTATATAGTTAGTTTATTTCATTAAGAAATAAAAAAAAAGCTTTTTAAGGACCAATTAATATGATTCCAGTATTCAAACTACATTAATTGACTGTTTGCGTTGATTAATAATGATTGCTCCAAATACAAAAAAAAATGAATTTTGTATGTGTATTAGACAGTGTGGTAAAAAGTAACACTTTAAAAATAATATTTCATTTTTGACAAATGTTTATTTATAAAAACAGAGACTTTCATTTTAATAACTTATTATTATATTGATTTCTGATTAAAATCCACATTTATTTAGAATAATTTATTAACGAACATAATTAAGTATGTAATTAATTAGTATTTGGGCGGAAATAATGGTGGTATATTAATTAATGGTACCTCAGTATTTTTTTACTTTATTCGATAGAAAATGACACTCTGAATAGAATGACATATCATATGTCCACTATTGACATTTTCGCTTTAAAAAATCGTATTTTAAATTTCAATCTAGATTACCATGGCTGTGTGGAAAACACTAATTTTTAATTATGGAGCCTTCAAAAAATAGATTTGATCGTCTAATGTTTTTAGTGTCTTGTCCTGGTCGGTTAAAAGATTCCCAAATCGTATTTTTAATCATATCTCAATTTTTTCAAATGGAACAACTGTGGCTCATTAGCATATTTGGAAAAAGCATTAATTACGAATAAATTGGTACCACAGACTTGGTATTTCGAGTCAAATTGTCTTTATGAACCAATATTACAATTTCTAATAAACCATATACGAAAATGTCTAAAGTTGACATATGATATGTCATTCTATTCAGAGTGTCATTTTCTATCGAATAAAGTAAAAAAAATAGCGAGGGTGTCATTTAAAAATTAAAAGTTGTAGTCATTTCCGGTGAAACAGGAAGTAACCAAAAATATTTGAATACGACAATCAATCCGAATTTATGCCATATACTAACATACCAAATATCGTTCTTTTTTAAGTGAACAAATAAAAAAGTTATAGGGGCGAGCCACTTTTGAGATGCACCTGGCATAGTCAAAATATTTTTATTTTTTTGGCATTTTTGTACTATACGGGGAGAGTTTAATAAGGCAGGTATGGTTCTTGTAATTCGTGACACCCTGTGTCGAATCAGAGTTAAGATGAACATTTGGAAAGAATGCAATGGTAACGAGGCTGAGTCGCACGATCGTCGCAAAGTATATGTAACCGAATTTATTATATTGTACACCAGGATCCAAAACAATTCATGAGCTCATATGAGCGTCACAACCGGTACGAAGGACGGGAAGCCTCAGGAAGAGGCTCGAATACGCACGGCCAAAGAGGTCACTGGGTCAACGATAACAGGCGTGACGATTATCAGAACAAACGGCGCAGATTTTAGACGTTTTCTCGGGAAACTCACTAGTTTTCCCACATTGGAAGTAATTCTCCTTCACGTTGCTGGTTTAGCTGTGTAGCTCTTAATTCATTTGTGTTATATTAAGTCATAATAAGCAAATTTTAGTGTTTCGATTATAACTTTATTTATATATATTTTAACTTTTTTTTAACTGTAATTAACTGTATTACTGTATTTAACAGTAAATTGACAATGAAGGGAAACGTAAACATGTATGTTTTTTCGTGTGAAACTCTTTTTCTTGGAGCCTACTAGGGTTTCCAATTTTCGGGATCGGGATCCCTTTCTGAAATCCCGGGATTAGAACCTATTATAATCCCCACATCCCGGTCAAAGTCCCGGTTTTCACTATCAAAATGAGAAATTTAATCTAAAGAATACTAAGCAGCTACATACAGGGTGTTTCAAAAAACATGTGCTATCTCTCGTGGGAGAATTTACCAGGGACGGGCGTAAGGGTTATCACTGGAATATTTTTCTAATAACAAACATGTGCGCCACTGACTTTTCTTTTCTCTTGTTAGGAAAATTGTGTAATGTCGTGTCGGTTAAAAGTTGTATCATATTTTGTCTATTTTATTAATCACAATTTATATAAAATAAAACTAATAAATTATTTATTCTAATTTATTATTAGGTCAATTTTATTAAATTAACACTAATGTTCAATGCTATCTACATCAAATTCAGACAAAATATATTTAAGATAATTACAAAAGATAATCATATTTTTTGATGAGGAATCACTTTAATGTCATTAAAATTTTTTGCTAAAAAGTTGCTATTAGACTTGGATGAAGGCAAATTATTAAAAAAGTTGAATCTTTTTAGATTGGGCATTACATTTTTCAAGATTTTTGGAAACCCTAGAGGCTACGCGTTTATTGTTATTAACCCTAGAAAGGACTTTGAAGCATGCTCAGTATTTATTTTTATATATTTATTTTAGAAAATTCTTTATTTTATATACAACTTAAAAAGGCGTAAAGGATACAGACATTGTTATCTCTGCCTGGTCTCGTACCTTAGCATATTAGCAAGCAGTAGTTTACTGTGGTAGACTTGTGAAAGTTTTACAATTAAAGCAAAGACACTATTTCGTGTCTTGTCCGAAGATTGGACTGCAAGGTTTGATTTTGTATTTTTTCTCCAGCATTGGTCAAAGAACACGTATTTCCTTATATTGACAGTTCGTGCTATTTGTATTTTAGTCTATTTGAATTCCATTATACACAAGGTCTTGAAGTCTTCCTTCAGCCTGGTGAATGTGATCCCTGATGTAAGGCGTGTATTAGTCATTTTAGAGAAAATTTGATGTGTAATTCCAACAAGTGTTTTCCGTATTCTTCGTTACACTTCAGATAGTTCAGATTTGTTTGTTTATTTGATAGGCAAAGATAATACAATAAATTGGTGGAATAATCGTTTTGCTAACCTTTCTAGGGTTAATACAGTCACTGTCATCATTATCGATTCAGTTTAATCAATCTCTAAAAACAGAGCTTTTTTTGTTGCCAGTTTTCACGAATGTTTGGATCTCGAAAATTTATTAAGGACTTTATATCTCTTAAATATTCCAATTCTCTGAAGTTCATTACTGTATTTCACTAAGATGGAATCTTATTTTTCAGTTTTTTGATCTAATAAAACTTAAGAGTAGAGATGATGAGAAAATCCGTCATCAGTTTTAGATTCTAGATCAGAAAATTAATGTATTTTTGTCGTTTAAGAACTTGTACTAAATATATGACATAGATATAAAATAATAATAGTATTTTTTTAAAAATAACCTACCTTGTTGAATTTTTTCAAGCTAGTGCATACTATTTTTTATTCAAATTACTACATATATCGTTATATAATTTAAATTCTTTTAATAGTTAACGAAGTACTACTATAAATTGAAGGCCACTAATCATATTTATTTTGAACCGAAGACATCTATTACTTATTATATACCTATTTTTTATAGGATGTCTTTGAAATAATTGACTGGAATGGGAGTAAAAAAATAGAAATTAAATTTGTTAATTCAAAAACTCTCAGGATATATCACCGGTTAACTTAGTATATATTATAAAATCAATGGGCTGCTAGACATGCAATGAATTTTATAATGCATTCAAAAGTAAAATATGAGTAGTTTTTGAAGTGTGTTTATATTTTTTAATTATTCTGACTAGCAAATATTCTTTTGAATTACTAAAAACTCTCAGGATATATCACCGGTTAACTTAGTATATATTATAAAATCAATGGGCTGCTAGACATGCAATGAATTTTTTATAATGCATTCAAAAGCAAATTATGAGTAGTTTTTGAAGTGTGTTTACATTTTTTAACTATTCTAACTAACAAATATATTTTGAATTACTTGATTCAAAAACTCTCAGGATATATCACCGGTTAACTTAGTATATATTATAAAATCAATGGGCTGCTAGACATGCAATGAATTTTATAATGCATTCAAAAGTAAAATATGAGTAGTTTTTGAAGTGTGTTTATATTTTTAATTATTCTGACTAGCAAATATTCTTTGAATTACTAAAAAACTCTCAGGATATATCACCGGTTAACTTAGTATATATTATAAAATCTATGGGCTGCTAGACATGCAATGAATTTTTATAATGCATTCAAAAGCAAATTATGAGTAGTTTTGGAAGTGTGTTTACATTTTTTAACTATTCTAACTAACAAATATTTTTGAATTACTTGATTCAAAAACTCTCTTGGATATATCACCGGTTAACTTAGTATATATTATAAAATCAATGGGCTGCTAGACATGCAATGAATTTTATAATGCATTCAAAAGTAAAATATGAGTAGTTTTGAAGTGTGTTTATATTTTTTAATTATTCTGACTAGCAAATATTCTTTGAATTACTAAAAACTCTCAGGATATATCACCGGTTAACTTAGTATATATTATAAAATCAATGGGCTGCTAGACATGCAATGATTTTTTTATAATGCATTCAAAAGCAAATTATGAGTAGTTTTTGAAGTGTGTTTACATTTTTTAACTATTCTAACTAACAAATATTTTTGAATTACTTGATTCAAAAACTCTCAGGATATATCACCGGTTAACTTAGTATATATTATAAAATCAATGGGCTGCTAGACATGCAATGAATTTTATAATGCATTCAAAAGTAAAATATGAGTAGTTTTTGAAGTGTGTTTATATTTTTAATTATTCTGACTAGCAAATATTCTTTGAATTACTAAAAACTCTCAGGATATATCACCGGTTAACTTAGTATATATTATAAAATCTATGGGCTGCTAGACATGCAATGAATTTTTATAATGCATTCAAAAGCAAATTATGAGTAGTTTTTGAAGTGTGTTTACATTTTTTAACTATTCTAACTAACAAATATTTTTTGAATTACTTGATTCAAAAACTCTCAGGATATATCACCGGTTAACTTAGTATATATTATAAAATCAATGGGCTGCTAGACATGCAATGAATTTTATAATGCATTCAAAAAAGTAAAATATGAGTAGTTTTTGAAGTGTGTTTATATTTTTTAATTATTCTGACTAGCAAATATTCTTTGAATTACTAAAAACTCTCAGGATATATCACCGGTTAACTTAGTATATATTATAAAATCAATGGGCTGCTAGACATGCAATGATTTTTTATAATGCATTCAAAAAGCAAATTATGAGTAGTTTTTTGAAGTGTGTTTACATTTTTAACTATTCTAACTAACAAATATTTTTTGAATTACTTGATTCAAAACTCTCAGGATATATCACCGGTTAACTTAGTATATATTATAAAATCAATGGGCTGCTAGACATGCAATGAATTTTATAATGCATTCAAAAAGTAAAATATGAGTAGTTTTTGAAGTGTGTTTATATTTTTTAATTATTCTGACTAGCAAATATTCTTTGAATTACTAAAAACTCTCAGGATATATCACCGGTTAACTTAGTATATATTATAAAATCAATGGGCTGCTAGACATGCAATGATTTTTTTATAATGCATTCAAAAGCAAATTATGAGTAGTTTTTGAAGTGTGTTTACATTTTTAACTATTCTAACTAACAAATATTTTTGAATTACTTGATTCAAAAACTCTCAGGATATATCACCGGTTAACTTAGTATATATTATAAAATCAATGGGCTGCTAGACATGCAATGAATTTTATAATGCATTCAAAAAGTAAAATATGAGTAGTTTTTGAAGTGTGTTTATATTTTTTAATTATTCTGACTAGCAAATATTCTTTGAATTACTAAAAACTCTCAGGATATATCACCGGTTAACTTTAGTATATATTATAAAATCAATGGGCTGCTAGACATGCAATGATTTTTTATAATGCATTCAAAAGCAAATTATGAGTAGTTTTTTGAAGTGTGTTTACATTTTTAACTATTCTAACTAACAAATATTTTTGAATTACTTGATTCAAAAACTCTCAGGATATATCACCGGTTAACTTAGTATATATTATAAAATGAATGGGCTGCTAGACATGCAATGAATTTTATAATGCATTCAAAAGTAAAATATGAGTAGTTTTTGAAGTGTGTTTATATTTTTAATTATTCTGACTAGCAAATATTCTTTTGAATTACTAAAAACTCTCAGGATATATCACCGGTTAACTTAGTATATATTATAAAATCAATGGGCTGCTAGACATGCAATGATTTTTTATAATGCATTCAAAAGCAAATTATGAGTAGTTTTTGAGTGTGTTTACATTTTTTAACTATTCTAACTAACAAATATTTTTTGAATTACTTGATTCAAAAACTCTCAGGATATATCACCGGTTAACTTAGTATATATTATAAAATCAATGGGCTGCTAGACATGCAATGAATTTTATAATGCATTCAAAAAGTAAAATATGAGTAGTTTTTGAAGTGTGTTTATATATTTTTAATTATTCTGACTAGCAAATATTCTTTGAATTACTAAAAACTCTCAGGATATATCACCGGTTAACTTAGTATATATTATAAAATCAATGGGCTGCTAGACATGCAATGATTTTTTATAATGCATTCAAAAGCAAATTATGAGTAGTTTTTGAAGTGTGTTTACATTTTTTAACTATTCTAACTAACAAATATTTTTTGAATTACTTGATTCAAAAACTCTCAGGATATATCACCGGTTAACTTAGTATATATTATAAAATCAATGGGCTGCTAGACATGCAATGAATTTTATAATGCATTCAAAAAGTAAAATATGAGTAGTTTTTGAAGTGTGTTTATATTTTTTAATTATTCTGACTAGCAAATATTCTTTGAATTACTAAAAACTCTCAGGATATATCACCGGTTAACTTAGTATATATTATAAAATCAATGGGCTGCTAGACATGCAATGATTTTTTATAATGCATTCAAAAGCAAATTATGAGTAGTTTTTGAAGTGTGTTTACATTTTTAACTATTCTAACTAACAAATATTTTTGAATTACTTGATTCAAAAACTCTCAGGATATATCA